TGAAAGTTGTCACTCGGGTTGACCCATGTCAAGATATCTCCATACGAATCAGGATTTATCGCCGCTAAGGTATTGATGCCCGAGTCGATACCAGCCGGATAAAGAATCGCTCCATTTGTCTGTAGAGTCCTTGAAGTTATTAGAATTGGTTGTGATGCGGATAGATTGAGTGTGTTTGGAAATGTTATACTTGATCCATATCCGGTTTCATTGACTTTATCGATCCCAAGTTGCAGAAAAGCGCTTGAACCACGGGATCCTCCAAGGATCTTGAACGTTTTACTTCCAGAGGTTGAAACAGTTAGTCGTCGAGTCACTCCATCGTAAGAAACACTGTATGGCTGCGACCCCGCTGCAGTCATTGCGCTTCCAAGAGCACTCAAAATGTTTGTTGAGTCATAGGTCCCTTCGGGCAAAGTTGCTTTTCTTAAAGTCGTAGATCCTGACTCTGCAAAAACAACTGCGTTGTTGAAATCCGATGTCGCACTCCATGACTGCAGTAGAGATACCGAAATCAGTCTCCATGCATAGCACGGGACGGTATTTTGAAGACGAAATGTACAATTATTCATATCTGGTAACGTACCAGAATTGAGGATAATCTCTCGAAACATCGATTTCTTATCTTTTGTATAATGTAAAGAGATTAATTTTACGAGTGCGCTAAATATGAGAATTGCTAAACCGAAAATTCCTTCCGAATATCAGATACACCTAAAGGACAAAACGCCCGATGACTATCCGAAGAAATTCTTCACTTTGACTCTAGTCGGGAGTTCAAGAGCAGGGAAAACTACTTGTATTATCAATCTCATCCAGAATTGTGCAAAAGCGTATGAAAATGTTGTGGTTTTCTCTCCAAGCGCTGACTCGCCGGAATGGACCAGTTTGAAGAAATGCGATAATGTATACATGTCCAGCGTAGTATCGAATTACATTCTGAACAACCTTTTCGAGAAGCAGAAACTTCTTTATAAACAAGACAAATCCAAAAATCACCTTCTTCTTATCCTCGATGATTTCGGAATTCTCGCAAAAGAAAATGGCCCCGCAATCGGAAAGGAGCCTAAAGAACCTGAACTGATATCGAGCGGCATCCGACAGATGTTAGACTTACTTTACTCCCGCTTTCGACACGCAGGGGGGAGTCTTTTATGCAGCCTGCATGACACGAAACAACTCACTCCTTTACAACGAGTGAATTCCACCCATTGGATTTTGTATCGACTTAATCAGAAACAGTACGAGAAGATTGCGGGTGAGATTCGCTGTCATTTGTCAGAATCGGAGTTTGTAAATTTAGCAGAGAAATATACTGTCAAACCTTATCATGCGCTCTACGTCGATTTGAAAAGCCCGACAAACGAAGGAGTCTTTAAAGAATTGCAACCAGAAACGCATTAAAGAAAAATTTCGTGTACTTAAAGTATAGAATGGTTGATAACATTTTCTATTTGCCAAATTCGCTGACCAAAGAATCTTTTGACAAACTTCTGGAAGACCTATCACAGGATAGGCTTTGGTTAGACATGCCGGAGGACGTAAGGACGAGAACTTTACAGCAATGTAAGGAAGAAATAGTTGTGAATATCGTTCAGTCGCATTTGGACAAGCAGGTTCCAGTTCAAACTCCAAGAAGAAAAAAGGCCGCTTGAAAGTTTCCAAGATTTCCGTCCTAAATATGACGTAAAACTGTTTTCCTGCAAGTTAAGCAACAAAGACATCTTCCGCGCGACCAAACTCCTGAACAATTAGTGCCATTTTAATATTTGGGTTGTGCTTTTTCAGGTTGATTCGGGCTTTACCTATACAGTTTGACTTCTTAATTGACTGCATCAAGCCCAAGAAACAGGCCCAGGTGTTTTATCAACTTCACCCAAAAATGACAAAAATTGGCCACAACATTAATTTGTGGTCAATTGATAAACAAAGATGGACTCCGACAACACAGGAACCTCCTCTCTTCGATATGACCCCATCACTGCCGAGGATCTCCGGAACCTCACTACGTTTTATTATCAGAATCAAAACTTTCTAGGACGAGACAAATTGTGGTATGCATATAGAAAAGCGTTTCCAAATAGTAGGATTTCGCAAAGAACCCTTCTTAACGACTTTCTCAAGAAGCAAGAGATTTGGCAGAGGAGCACAAAAGTTATGGGATCCCGAGGCTCGATAAAACCGATTTTGGCCAGAAAAGAAGGAAACTACCAGATCGATTGTATAAACTTGCTGTCCGTAGCATACAATGGATATAAGTATTCTGTCAACGCTTCAGACATTCTCACCAAAAAAGTGTACAGTATGGCAATGAAGACACAAGATCAAGCCACTGTTGTCAAGTTTCTAGAAACAATGAAACGGGATGGCGCTGTATTAGTAAGTTTCACATCCGATGTAGGTACGGAATTTCAAGGTCTGGTGCAAGAGTGGGCTGACTCGAATAACGTGGAGTGGAAGTTCGGACAACCCGGTGTCCCGCAAGGACAAGGACAGATAGAATCCGTTAACAAAAATATAAAAAATCTGATCTATTCCTCGATCCAATTCGGAAAACGGGATTGGCCAAATTATCTTCAAAAACTCATAGATAATTTAAACAACACGAAAACGTATGCGACAGGGAAGGCTTCAAACGAAATCTTACAAGATGAACATGAAGCCATATTTGATCGCATACGGAACAAGAAATTGAAAGGAGTGAAATCAACAGTTTTGAACGAATTTAAAGTGGGAGATGTTGTAAGAAAGATAATACCGTTACCGAGTGGTATCAAAAGGCGCGCAAAGGTGGGATATTTCTCGTCACAAACTTATAGAATTGATGGGAAAGTGCAAAGTAACTATGCAGGTTATGTTTCATCGTATAGATTAAACCGAATGGATGGAACAAGACTTCCCGGTTTAACATCTGCTAACGATCTTCGCTTGGTTCCTGATGGAACTGTCACCGTACCAAACATCGCTTCCCAGCCAGATCCAAATGAAAACGACGAATACGAAATTGATTCAATACTTGATTCAAGAGTAGTACGTAGAGGCAACAGAAGGATAAAGCAGTACAAGGTTCTATGGAGTGGTTATGATGCGTCCCAATCAACTTGGGAAGATGAAGGGAATCTCGAAAATGCACGGGAGGCCATAGCCGAGTATGAAGAGCAAAATGGATAATAGGTTTTCAAAACTTGTCATCTAGATTTAAATCGTCATTAAGATCGTCGATATCCATCGCATAATCATTAGATGAGCCTTCGTTCTCCCTGTGAAGGTTATAATACACTTGTCGTGTTGCATAGGAATGACCATGCTTTTTCGCAAACTCTTTTTGGACCCTAGGATCTCCGTTATCCAATTTGATCGAGTCAATCACTACGATTTTTCTAAGTTCATTGACTCCGAGTTCTTTTCCGATATGTTGTTTACAAGCGATCTTCATAGCCCTTCCAAAACCTCCGCCTTCATAGGGTTTACCTGCGTTTCGCGCTTTTTCAAACAATTTACTCTGTCCTTTGGCCTTACGAATATCAACCAGATTATCAATGTGCCTTTTGACAATGTCATCGATAACCGTAATAAGAACATCGGTGTCCCCCTTATTCCTATTACATATTTTTATAAGAAAGGTATGGGTTTCCGTATCAAATGTAACATTATCCGCTTCGGAAATGTGCATAAACTTTGCTTGGCCAATGTCCGCTCTTTGAATAACATCCGACCCAACGAAACAAGCCGCTCCAAGCAACAAACCATACTTATAAGGGTCTTTGACCGCCTTTTCTTTAAGTTGATCCAATTTCTCGTAAAGAGCGTTGATTAAAGGGTCTTTTTCAATGAAGCGCTTCGTTTCATATTCTTTATCCATTACGAGATCGCGGGCTTGTATCTCTTTACAACGATCGCTATTGATCTTGAGATAGAAACCTCCCATTTCGTCAATATGCGTAAGTTTGTCCATTGTGCACGCATCTAGGAATCGTTTCTTTGCAGTTTCACCGTAGAGGCTAGACGAAAGCCAATCGTACAATCCTATTTTTTCCTCGTTTGTCATAATTTTGAACATAGCAGACAACACCTTTGTACAATTCGCTCCACTCTTTGGGGTAATTCTTTTTCAAGATTTTCATGACATCGGTTGGCGATGATAGAACGTTCGGATCAAGAGTCCCGTATGCTTCAAGTGCATTACAGGCAGAGAGGTACGTTTTTCGACTACTCGCAGCCAATCCTATCCGTCCATTCTTTTGTTGGACGGTATCGGCATAACGGTTGATAAGTTTCTTTGCTAGTTCAATGTTCATTGCTGTGTCGTTCTTTGGTTGTGCATAAACCATTACTCGTTTTTACTCTTTAAAAAAGAAATTTAATCACAGCGCTAATATCGATCTTAAACGCATGTTTATGTCATCGCGCGCGAATACTTACAGGTGGAACTCCGATTTCATCAGGATTCAAGAAAACACCCACCCCCAAACAAAACTTTAATCAGTACAGAACCACCCCCACTTCCCCGAGTATGATCATGCAGAATCGCCCACACCTGCGCCGTCTATTCAGCCGAAACCACCCCCGCGGCAAGGTTACTAAAATTAAGCATTCACCCACATGAGGAGTGAGTAAAAATGGTACAGAAACAAATCACCCCCAAGAGGGGGTGATTTGACTCTTCTCGAAACAAAAAACGGTGGGTGTTTTCTTTCCATAACTGAGCAGAGCAAGCGGGGGTGTTTTTTACCTCCCGTTTTCCAACACCCGCGGGGGTGTTTCCTGTCGGTTACCACCTGGGTACTGTTTCTACATGTTGATATCATTTACTTTACAGTTAGGTGAGGTTGCGGATGTTGTTCTTTCCCGTTTGCGGAAAGGAAAACCGCCACGAAAAAATATAAAAGGGTAAAAAAATGTTTGTTTCCCTTCAAAAAATTTCAAACAGTTCCTCACTCTTAACAACTATTGCACACAACCGCTTTCGCCATAACTTTCAACCAACGCACGTTCTCAACATGCAAAAACGCCAAAACACCATGGAATTGGCTCCGAAGCGCATCAAAAAAGCCAAACGTACCGTCCAAAGGGCTGAACCGGGGTCTTTAAATGTGATCAATAACGAAGTGAATTGCAATGAAGACCATATCGACTTCCCAGTTGCGTTGGACTTGGACAATATTTTCGATATCGATCCTATGAATTTGAGCATCGAGCCATTGGATTCTCCTTCGACTCAAAACACTCCGACGATCAACAAGCCCGGTCTCGTTGGCTTGCAGATGGATGTCAATCAAAATGAAAACGTCATGATTGACAACCAAACCGATGTCAATAACGATCATCCCCAGGTACGTCTGGACGATGTGCCTGACCGAATCCTTCCGGGCACTCCGAGTGTCAACCCGCCCGATATCCCTAGATTGCAGATGAAAGTCAATGAAAACGAAGAGATCCAGATTGACAACAACCAAATCGCCGCCAACAATGATGACCCCCAGGAACGTCACAAATCTATCGATGGCAGCACCGCGCTTGTTTCTCATGAAGATCTGGCTTCTTCGCAGAAGGCAGGATCGACTCATGATATGTTCCAGTGTCAATGCAAACCGTGCACTATCCGTGTTTCGTTTTGGGAATTTGGCCATGCTTTGATAGCACACATAAACCCGAAATCAACAGAGGACAAAAAGAAAAAGGGTCAATGGGTAACCCCTGCCGCCGAGTTCTTCGAACGGTTTTATGGGCATCTCATTCGATTGAACGACACCAAAGGCTTCGTACGATGGAATCCTGCGACGCGCACAAACACCCACTTCGACAAAACAGCCTTCACCGCGTACGTTGGTCAAGTATTATTCGATTGTTTTAATACCACCGACAAGAATCAAAGCGAAGGCGCAAAGCATGAAATTGGTAAAGGAGCCAAGAAGGTTGTCGACATCATATTCGGACGATTGCGATGGAGGGAGGCTGAGGACGCCAAGCCTCCTGTGGACAACAGCCATCTGATCGCTTTCAGAAACGGCCTTGTTTACGACCGAAAAGTCGGTGAATATCGGGAGCGCACCGATGAAGACGGCGATATTGAAGCGTTTGACTATGATCTTGTTGAGTGGGATCCCGAGAAGTATCCCAAACAGCGGTACTTGTGGGATGCCTTTTGCAAAATGTGGCCTGATTCCTCCGATCGTTTCTTCGGGCTCACCAATCTCAGTACCATCCTGGGAAGCAGACGCGGTCTTCGTGAACTGCTTATACTTTACGGTCCAAGTTCCAATGGCAAAAGTTTGGTTGGAAGATTGATGAAACTTATGACATGTTATCGGTTTCTGGGAGCGACCGCCAGCAGCCTACAAAGCAAACCGGGGAACGGAAATAAGCCGTCTGACATTCACTGGAAAATGGGGCAAAAATCAACACTTATCACTTGGTTTTCTGAAGGGGATGAGAAGGATTTGTATTCCGGCTCGGCCGTCAAAATGGCTGTCGGAGGAGATTCTGCGTACGTTAGGAGGGCTTATGGCAAGAATGAAGAACTTACGATAACGGGATTGGTTGTTCTCGCTACAAATCATCTTCCATATTTCGATTGTGGACTCTACGACAACGATCACAGAGATATTACGGACAAGTTGGTTGTAATACCTTGCAAATCGAAGTTCGTCAGCGCTCATGAACATGAAGATCCGAGTCAACATGTATATTACAAGGACGGTGAACTCGACCGGCTCATCAACAACGAAGACCGGGACTTAGCGAGTGCCATGATGGCACTCATGGTTTCTTTGCATCACGATCATCTTCAAACGGAAGAATATCCATTACTGAGCAAGCCCGCGTCAGTGATTTCAGCGACTGCAGATTTAGTCACAAGAGTGCATCCGTATCGAACTTTTGTAAAAGAAATGTGCGCTATTGAAGAAGGCGCCAAAATGCGACAATGCATGGCTATGGCGTGCCTCCAAAATTGGACAAAACAGCATCCAGTATGGCGCAAATGCTCACCGCGGACCCAGGATTTCAAGGCTTTCCTGCTTCACGCGTACCCTGCCGTCTCCTTTGGTACGAACCGACGAATCGACGGGGTCCAAACAACCGGGTTTTACGGGATCCGGTTGAAGGAAGAGGAGGGGGACAAACATGGAGGACGTGATAAGTTCCTACTGAGCGATATTGACATCCTATCAAAAGCCATTGAAGAGTAGTTTGTGGAAATATGCGTTACAATTGTAAATAAGTAAATAGTTCCTTGTACATATCAATTTGAATGAATTTCAAAGAAACAATGCGTCCTTGGTATCCAAAGCGCTCTCCTTCAGGCAAAATTAATTACCCGGAAGGAACTCGAAAATGCAAGACCGCTGAATGCCAATCAGAACCTATTCCCTACATCAAAAATCGGCCATACTGCTACGATTGTTGGGTCAAGTCAAAGGAACCTAAAGGTTTCAAGATAGAATTCGATTCGGATTGATCCCGATCATCTGATTTCGTACTCAAAGGCTCTTTCAGTGTCCTTTTGATGGTGATGTGTCTCCGCGTCCTGCATGATTCTACATTACCCAAAATTCGCGCAACAGTGGATGCGGCAATATCTAGTTTTCTAGCAAGATCACGGACGCTCCGGCCTGTGACAGTCTTGATTTCTCCATCCTCAAAGAGTGATGCAATATAGTTGTAAGGAATGTACATCTTTGTAGCAATAACGATGCTTCTTTATTGGTACATATATGTTTATTTTTGTTACTTGCGTTTAAATGCCATTTAAACTTCTAAGTGTATTCTTAGTAAAGCACCATGTCTTCCAAATTTGCTGCTCACGTTGAATCCAAACCTATCAGAGACATCTATCATTTCAAGGAATCTTACTTCGGAGGTGTTCCCGAGTTCAATTGGACACTCGAAGAATACGAAAAGAAACATATGGAACACAAGTGGCTTACCGAAAACTTTACAAAATTGGGCGCCAATGACAAGATCAAATTGTTTGTCGATTTCGATATGAGATTTGAGGAAGAATCCGATCTGCCCTCTGAAGAAGTCGAGACTGAAATCCGTAAAGGTGTTGATAAAGTATTTACCTCCTTGTATTTAAATGAGGATATTACTTTTCATTCTGCGTTCCGTACAATGGGATACGCTCCTAAGCACACCAAGGACAAAAATGGTAAATACGTCGAAACCGGTGGTGGATATAAAGTCTCTTATCGCCTATGGGCAGACGGTATGTATACGACCCGGAATGAAATGAAGAAGAAACTCAAGAAATTCATCCCAGATTTGTCCGACTTCCCGGATGTTGTTCGAGACTACAATTTCAAGGATGGATTTTTTGATCTTTCTGTCTATGACAACAATCGGTCCATGGTGATGGTGGACAAAGTCAAAAATCGTTGGGATAACCGACTTCTCATCAAAAGCGAACCGGATGCACCAATCTCTTCGTATATCATTCAATATGTAGAGGCGGACTGGACCCCGGTTGAATGGACAATTCAATCTGATAGTAGAAAGCGTCCTGCCAATGATGAATTTGTCCTGGTTCCGGACTCGGACCTTGAAGACCAACCGCAACCAAAGAAGAAAAAGGCAAAATATCCTATTTACAACGATGCTAATACGGAGGTAATCAGCACTATTTACGATTCAGTTACCAAACTCTGTGGAAAAACGGAATATTTGGAAAGAGATTTTGGGGCCGTACAACAATATGAGGATGCGATTGTGGTATTTTTGAGAACCACATACTGCATGTTGCACCACGCAGAACACGATGTCTCCGTTCCCAAAATATTCTTCATAGTGGATCGAAAAAAATTCACGTTCAAATGTCAGCACTGTGAACGCTCAAAAACCTATGTTCATAAAAGCAAAAAGATCTTGGACTTGTTCCCGCCCATTACTGAACCCGCAAAAACGAGTGAAGAAAAGGATATTGTTGTAACTTGTGAAGATTTGGAAGGTCTAACAGGTTGGGAGAAGTTTGATTTCCGCCGAATTTTGAATATTAGCCACAAGAATACCGCTGAATGGTTCATTGAAGAGCGAGGTGAGACTTTATTAAAACATTCAAGCGGCTTGATGTTTGTTCTAGGCAAAGATAATATCTGGCGAAAGTATGAGGGCGGGGTCCGAAATAGCGACTTGAATCTTCAGATTGCAGACACGTTGATTAGCAGTTTTGAGAAACTACTAGATGATTTTGAATCACAAAAAAGTGAGCACGGTAAGTATTTGAAACTGCGATTGATTTACGAAAAGTTTCGAATGCTGATCGAGGAGACTACGTACTCCATCAATGTAGCACAGAACGTGGAACGGCTCTGTATCGCAAACGACACCTGCATCGAACTTTTTCTCTCAAAGCCTCACCTATTTGCTTTTAACGATAAAGTGTACGACCTGATTGAAGGAGAGGCAAGACCCATCAAATGGGATGATTACATACTATTCACATGTGGTTACAACTATCCGACGACACGAAGCCCTGAGATGCGTGAGAAGATTGAAAACTTTTACCAATCTATATTCCGAACTGAAGAATTGATGACTTACCGACTTTGCAATGTTGCGAGGTGTCTCTACGGAGAACTAGTTGAGGAAATCTTCACAATCCTCAAGGGGCCGGGTCGGAACGGAAAGGGTGTGGAAGGTACTCTCCTTGCTGTTACGTTTGGAAATTACTTCTATACCTTGGACAAGAAAAACTTTACCCGAGAGCAGCAAGATGTTGACAAAGCAAACTCGCAACTATACAATTGCTTCGGAAAGAGGTATCTGATGACAAGCGAAACAAATAAGAATGATCGATTTTTATCTGAAATGTTCAAGAAAGTGTCAGGGAATGATAAGATAACAGTGAGAACACTTAACGGTAAACCCATCAGTTTTCCAATCACTGGGCAAACCAATGTTCAGACAAATGAAGACCCGGTCTTTGATAAAATAGACCTCGCATTGTGCAATCGGGTGCGAATGCAAGAGTTTCCATACAGTTTCACTCTCAATGGCTCTGAACCAATCGAGGAAGAGGGAGATGGAATTCAGGAGGAACAACTTCAAAAAGAAGGTGATATGAAATTGAAAGGATACTTCAAAACGAATGCATGTCGGGACGAGTTCATCTTGCTTCTCATTGGCATATTCCGCAAACGTTTTGTGAAGGAAGATAAAACCCTCAATATGAGCATTGAAGTCCCTGCAGAGGTACGAGCCTTCACCCAAAAGAACCTAGCGAACAGTTTGGCAGCAGCGAAATGGTTGAAGTTCCACTACGATATCACAGGAAGTGATGAGGACCGAGTGACGAGATCTGATTTATACAAGGAGTATTCCGTTACGGTTCTCGATCAATCGAGGCGCGTCGGAAAGCAGCAATTCTTCAAAGAACTAACAACCATTCAAATCAAGGAACGAAAAATAAGAGGGAACATATGGTTCCTCGGACTGAAAAAGGCGACCAGAGAAGGAGAGACGTATATAGAATAAGCGGGGGGCATTTTGAGAAGTGGGGCAAAGTGAAAATGCCCCCCTAGAGGAATGTAGAGAAGTGGAAAGAAAAGAGAGAGTGAGGACGGGATAATAGATGTAGGGGGGCATTTTGGCAGTTTCAAAACCTATGAGAGAATATATAAAAAGTATTTGAGAAGCAATAATGAGAAAAGAAGTGTGATTTGTGTGGGAGAGGGTGGGTTCGAAAATTGCCTTTTTGCCCCCCTACATGAAATATGGTATGGGCGAATAGATAGGAAGGGTAGTTTGGCTAGACGCATGTAGGCGGCCTTTTGTTTTGCCCCCCTTTTTCAAAAATGCCCCCGCAGACGGGAAAAAGATACAGGGGGGGCATTTTGGCAGTTTCTAAACCTATGAGAGGATATATGAAAAGTTTTGAAAAGAAGAATGAGAAAAGGATGTCTCTTTTTGGTGGTGAGAGTTGGTTCGAAAATTGCCTTTTTGCCCCCCTACATGGAACAGGGAATGGGGAAGTAGTAGAAAGGTTGGTTGGACTCGACGCATGTAGGGGGGAATTTTGACTTTGCCCCCCTTTTCCCAAATGCGCAAGGATGGTTAATGGCTGAAAGGCTTGTGCGGTTAATGCATAACACCGAAGGTGTAGGGTACATTGTTAATACATTACACCATACACCCGCCAGTACGGTTAATGCATTACACTTTCAGCAGCCGTTACGGTTAATGCACAGTGTTGAGTGGAGTCAGTACGGTTAATGCACAGTGCAATTGTATAGTGGATCAGTGCATAGCATAAACCAATGGTTTATGCTATGCACTGATCCACCCGTTGACGCACCCCACGACGGCGACGAAGAAGACCCCAACAATGACGGCAAGGGAAACGACAAAGACGGCCAGGACAACCAAGTCAGCGAGAGTTCCCACACCGACCAAGCCGAGCTGCGCAACAACCCGGACGACGACAACAGCGGCGCAGAGGAGCTTGACCCTAAAAGCCTCCTCAAACTCATGGCGCAGATGGAAGCCAGCTTCGCCGACGTCGTGAACGAAACCCGCAAGCAAGCTGCCGCTGACAAGGCCGATATCCTTGCCCGTCAAGCCAACCTTTACCGTCTTGTTAAAGAATCCCACAAAAACACCAAACGCCTTGAACGTCTCCTTACCCTACAAGTCCAACAAAACCAACAACACCCAACCCACACCACCGCCAAACCTCAGACCCCCTTTACCTTCAGCAACGTACGCCCTGTAAACCGTACACTGGCCTCACCCGCTCAATCCCACCTACCTTCCCCGGTAACACCCCCTGAGCTGCAAGCGCGCGGCGACACGACCAACTTCGTCCCCGAAGGCCCCATCGCCAAATCCCTCCGTGAAGGCCTCGCTACGTTCGACGGCATTTCCCGCCCAACCAAGTCGGCGAACGAATTCCTCACCCGCCTCGACCGATACTTTGCCGCAATCCCCGAAGTCCCTGATGTCATGAAGATCTCGTTGGCGGCATCCAAGCTCAAAGATACTGCCGAACAATGGTACGAGCAGGCAGAGGCCACCATCCTTACCTGGGAAGCGTTCAAGGACGGACTACGCAACCGGTTCATTCCACCCAACGCGGAAGAGCATGCTCTCCTTGCCCTCGAACGGCTCTGCCAGACGGGCTCAATCGACGAGTACTACCAAAAGTTCTCTGCACTCCTCCTCGAGGTACCGGAGATGTCAGACAAACAAGCCTGCCACGCCTTCCGCAAAAGGCTGCCACCCGGGATCCAACGATTGCTCGCCGCCAACCCATCGAGCTTGACCATGTCCCTTGCCGAGCTCGTTACGTTAGCCGACAACGTCTACTCCGTCGACAGCGCCCGGCGCGAAGAAGCCTACAAAGACTAACGACCTCCGGCGAAACAGTGGCCCCCCTCCAACAAACGTGCTGCAGTCGACGCTGTGGGCACCGGTCCGGCTACTAAGCGCCTGCGCAAGCTTACCAACAACGAACGCCAACGTCTCCGGGACCAAGGCGCCTGTTATGGACGACGCGCCCATACCATAAGCTCAACTACTGACAGCCGCCAATGTCAACCGCCAAATGTCAAACGCCAATGTCAATGTCAATGTCAGTGTCAATGTCAGTGTCAATGTCAGTGTCAATGTCAATGTCAATGCCACTCCCCCTCTCTCCTCTCATTTCGCCAATCCTCTTGCAATATCGTTACTCCTCCTCTCTCCTCTCATTTTGCCAATCCCCCCTCGGCTTCTCCACACCCCCCACTACTTCCCCATAGCCAGCAGCTGTAGCAATGCTCTCGACGCTCGCCACGCACGCTCTAGGAGCATAGCTGGCGCCCCCCCAGTCCCCTCTTGTTGTTGTTGTTCTCTGATCTGCTGGGTTGCCTATCTATAAATAGCCGGCCTCTCTTCGTCCATTCCCTTCCTCCCCAGCAGATCAACACCAGTTCTTCTCATCTCCTGTTCCAGTCCTTGTTTCTTGTTTCGCCAATACAATCTCTTGTCGCCTATCACACTCGCCCTGTCTTCTCTACTTCGCTTCCGCCCCCGTCGTCGAGATCATAACAGCGCCTGTTTCCGCTGTCGCCAGCCGGGCCACATGCAGAGCGAGTGCCCCAAGTATCCGAAAGCCCGCATCAACGCAATCACCACTGAACCCCAAGACTCCCCAGACCACGACGTTCCCCAGGCCACCCAGGGGGATTTTCAGTGAAGCCTGCTAGTACGACGAACTATGCAGGCTTCTCCCACACCAGTCGACCCCCCGACGGAACGCCCACACCGCCAGCACCCGAGGCGCCCCAGGTACCGACCCCCCTCACAGTCCACAACCGCCCTTGGTCCCCAAACCAACGTCACTAGCCCGACATGGCGGCATATCCCCCCCGGCTGCCACCTAGATGCCTCGAAAAAGAACCATCAGCCCTGCGATCGGTGAAGCGGCGCTCACCGTCACTGGCTTCATCAACGGCGTTCCAGCCACGGTCCTTCTGGACACCGGCTGTACCACTTACGTACTCAACGATCAATTCGCAAAACGCCACAGCCTCCCCCTGCGCCCAACAAAGATAACCCTTGAGTATGCGGATCGCGAGTCCTCTGGGACGTCGTCCAAATACACCATCGCCGACCTGCGTATCAACGATTATCACCAACGGCTCCCGTGGATTGTCGCTCCCATACGCTACGACGCGATCGTGGGCCTGCCGTGGTTCACCGCTCACTGCCCCTCGTTCGTCCAAGTCGGCCCCACGATCTCCCTAGCCCTCCACGACATCCGCGGCAATGAACATTTGATCCCTACCGCAGCTGTGGCGGGCGTACCGACTCCCAAGAAACCCCATAGAAAGCCCAAGGCAGTCGCGACAGACGGACATGACTCGGGTTACGAAAGCGATACCCCCGTGTCGCGTCATCAACTCCGCCGACTTGTCAAGAAAGGCGGCGCTATCGTCGCGATGGGCTCAGCCACCTTAGATTTGAACAACGTCGCCCAAGTCCATGTAACCCACGCAACCCCCGAGCCGGCCGAACAGACACCTCGAGACCTCTCCTACATCCCCGATGAAATCCGCGACGTTTTCAGGAGCACCTCGCGGCAGTGAAGGACCCCACCCGGAAACCAAAGCCGATAGTGGAGCACACCATTCCGTTGCGCGACGGCGCCAAACCCGTATACCAACGGTTATACCACATGTCTGCCGCTGAGCTTGATGTCCTTTGGGACCGCCTCCAAACCTTGCTCAAGAAAGGGTACATTGAGCCATCGTCATCCCCATGGGGCGCGCCCGTGCTCTTCGCGAAAAAGAAAGACGGCGGTCTCAGATTCTGCATCGACTACCGCGCCATCAATCAGATGACCATCCCAGATCGCACACCTGTCCCCCACCTTGTCGAGATGCGCGACCGGCTGCAGGGTGCCAAGTACTTCACAACCCTGGACATCACCGACGCTTATTACGGTATCCCCATTGCACCCCACGACATTCACAAAACAGCCTTCCCCACGCGATTTGGGCACTTCCAGTGGAAGATGATGCCATTTGGCCTCACCTCAGCGCCGGCGACGTGGAACAAGCTCATGAACCACATCTTCGCCGACATGCTTGACCAAGGCTTGATCGTCTACATGGATGACCTTCTCATCTACGCTTCAGATCTCGAGACGCACCGACGCATCCTAAAAGAAGTCCTTCGGCGCCTCCGGGCACACGGCCTCCACATCAACCTCCGCAAATGCGCTTTCTACAAGGCCTCGGTCCTTTTCTGTGGCTTCGTCGTATCCAATGACGGATTGAAGCTCGATCCAGAGAAGATCGCGACAGTGGTCGAATGGCCGCAACCCACCGACCGCGCCGAGATCCGCTCCTTCCTTGGCTTCACCAATTACCTGTCCGGATCCATACACCCCTACGCCGAGATCGCGCTCCCCCTCTCCAACCTGCTGGCCAACAACCGGACCTTCACCTGGGGCGACGCTGAACAAAAGGCGTGGGATACGCTGCGCGAGGCCGTTACCACCGCACCCACACTCCAGTGGTATGACCCCAATGCCCAGCTATTCATCACCATCGACGCCTCGGGCTACGCGATGGGCGCTTGCCTACTTCAACCCCCGCCGGGGAGCCCCCGCATACCCAAGAATGCGACATGGGAAAACGTTCTACCCACACTACGCCCCGTGGCATTCTGGTCCCGGAAACTGGTCTCGTATCAGACCAAGTACAGCGTACACGAACGAGAACTCCTAGCCCTCGTAGAGGCCATCAAGAGCTTTTCCCCCTACGTCCGCGGGCGCGAGTTCACGGCTCTCACGGACCACAAGTCGTTGACATGGCTCCGCACCCAACCACACCTATCCAGGTGCCAAGCCACATGGGTCGAACTCCTCCAAGAACACCAGAACACCATCGGTTATGTGAACGGCCAACACAACACCATCGCCGACCTCCTCTCCCGACGCCCCGACTACGCCCCACGGTGCCACAAGTGCCGCGGCGTTGTATACGTGAACGCGGTCCTTGCCAGCACCAATGACCTCGAAGACATCGTCCGCGCCGAGCTCAAGAGCGACCCTTATGCGATCGAAATCATCCAGGCCCTGGACCGAGCGCCACAGTCACAAACGGTTCACATCCGACGACACCGCTACGCCGACGGCCTGCTTTTCTACGACAACCGGCTTTACATCCCTGACACCCCACAACTCCTTCACGATTCACACTCGGCGGAGGCGGCCGGCCACCCCGGATGGTACAACACCTACGAGCGCGTCCGGGGTCAGTTCTACTGGAAGCATCTCGAACGTGATGTCAAGCGCTACACCAGCACATGCGACTCCTGTCTTCGCGCGAAAACCCGACGGTAGAAACCCGGAATGACCCAACCCCTTCCGATACCTACCGCGCACTGGACTGACCTCACGCTGGACTTCGCATACATGCCCAGAGACGCGAATGGGAACGACGCCGTGATGGTCGTAGTCGACAGACTGTCGAAGCGCGTCCACATTGCGCCATGCCGCCGCGACATCACTGCTTCGCAAACCGTCCAGCTCTTCGTCGACAACATCATCCGTCTTCATGGTATCCCGAAAACCTTGGTAACCGATCGAGACCCCCGGTTCACATCCGAGTTCTGGCTCAACGTCTCCGATTACCTCGGCTTCCGCACCGCCATAGCAACCACCGGGCACCAGCAAACCGACGGCCAGACAGAGCGCGCGATCGGGACGATCAAACAGATGCTGGCCTGCATCCCCGACCTCTCAGGACGCAACTGGTCTCGTTACCTTTCCGCCTCGAATTCGCATACAATGACGCACGAAACCAGTCAACCGGCATGACCCCCTTTGAGGCCGATCTAGGATACAGCCCCCTGAAGCCGCATACACTTCATACCCCACGGTGAAGTGAAAAACGGGCGTAATTTAACCAGCCAGAAACATCACCGTCCCTATTCTCTATTGGTGAACATCCCAAAAAAAATGATATGGAGATAACCAATGAAGCCATGCAATAGTGTCCCGCGAACGAGGGAACACGTGGGGTGTAGGGTGTATTCTCAAGTCCCATGCACTTTCCGATTGCAGTCCATCTCTGCATCCCACCCTGCGTCGTCGTCGTCCTTGATTAGTGCCTCAGCGCCGCCCTTTCTTGCCTGGCGATGTGCTTCGCGATCCCGCTGTGGTTGGTGGTAGTAGGTAAAATTAGACGGAAAAGTTAATGGAACGTAAATGACGGGAAACGACGGTGTAAATTGACTGTAAAAAGCTGTCAGGTCACCTCCCAAAACCCTTACCCTTGGGCGCAACCTGCTGCATTTGCGCATACTGCACCAAACTGGCGATCATCTTATTATGCATCTCGGCGTCCATCACCAGCTGCTCCTTCGAGTCGAGCCAGTAGTTCGCCTGATCTTGCAGTTTGCGGTGGTACGTTGTCAGTTGCGCGATGAGTTGGGAGAGCTCCGTGAGGGATTTGTTGCGGAGGTCGTCTATGATTCCATTAGAGGGGTGTGGGTGGGTTTAGTTTGGGGGTGGACACAAGGGACGGGAGAAAGCACGGAGGGAGAGAGGTGAAAACGAACCCTCAGTCAAATCACACAACCTCTTCGCCTCACTCAACTCCTGTTCCCTCCCCTTGCCCTTCGCCACAGAAAACTCCGCAGCACTGCCCACATCCGACGGCTGGCGGGACAACGCGGGGGTTGTTAGCGCCGAGGCAGGTGGGAAGGCTGATGTGGGTGTGCTGCCTTGTTGAGGGAAGTTGGAGAAGAAGGCGGAGGAGGAGGAGGATGTTTCGTGCAGGAGGGGTGGGGCTGTCGTGCGAGGTGTCTGTTTTGAGGAGAGGGAGTGAGATAGATGAGACGTAGAGGGGTTAAGATGAGGGGGCGATGTGTGGAACGTACATCGTCTAGGTTGACATGGATATCCAACCCTTGCAGGAACGCGTGGCGGATATGGCTCTTACGCCAGCGGAACTGTTTGCCGATGTTGTCGTTGTAGCAGGTTTCGGAGGCGAGTTTTTGGTAGGTTTTGTACCTGCCGAAGGACAAGGGAGGTGTCAGTTCCTGCATTGATTTATTTGATCGGGCGACCAGAGAAATGCAAGTTGTTCCATTTTCACCCTTACCATTCCTCCCCAGCAAACCCCGCATTCGGCACAACCGTCTTCGGCTTCCCCTCCCCCGCTGTTGCACCAGCACCATCATCAGCCGCCGACTCGTCAGTGGCCAAAAAGGAGACCACGGCACCAGCCTCGCTGCTTTCCGGTAACGCGCTCGCGGGGAAGAGTTTGGCTAGCTTGGCGTTGAAATCGTCTACGAGGGTTTGAATGGATAATGCGGCGTGGGGGAGGTGGGCGTCCTGTCATTCACAATGAGCGTGAGTCAACGGCGGGGCAATGAAAGGTGTTTGATGGGAGTGGGACTTACGAGTAACCGAGCAATCCGCTCCTCAGCTTGAGGATCCGGCGGGACATCAAACACATTGCCTATCCCCGCATCCCTATTCTGTGCGGCCGTCGTTGGTGTCGGCCGTACATCGGGTGCAGCGACAACCCCACCCCCACTCGGCTGAGCAAAATCATCAAAATCGCCAAAATCATCCTCGCCATCCGCAGCTGTCGGTGGCGGGGCGCTCAACACCGGCGCTGCAACCACAGGAGGGGCCGCATGATGATGCCCCCTCCCAAACTCGCCAAAATCACCAAACCCATCGTCTGACCCAAACCCGTCGTCGTCGTCGTTGAAACCCGTGGAGAGGGGTCCGGCTGCTGGCGGGGGCGGGAGGAAGGGGGTGGAGCCTAGGAGGGAAGTTTGGGAGGATGTGAGAGTGGATGAGGGCGCGGGTGGTGGGGGAAGGAAGGCTGTGAAGGCGGATTGCGAGGGTGGTGGGGATTGTTGGGAGGGAGATGATGCTGGAGGTTCATCTTTTGGTTGTGGGTCTGGGGAGGGAGCATCGAATGCGTTGTCGGTTTGAGGCTGTGATATTGGGGTCGTGAAATTTGATTCGTCGGGTGGTTTGTGGGCGGTGTCGTCCAGCAGGCTGAAATCGAGGACTTGCGACTGTGACGCTGGATCTGCTTGGATGATAGTGGAGTCCGGATCGTCCGGTGGTTTGTGGGCAGTGTCGTCTACCAAGCTGAAATCGAGCGGGGGTCCGGCCGAGTCCAGCAATGGTGCCGTCTGCACATCGGCATTGGCATCAGCATTCCGGACGTCGTCATCCAGCAGACTCGTCTCCCCCGTGTCTGCCTTCGTTTGCGCACCCACCAGCCCTCCGATCTGCTCACTCTCCCCTGATGCGTCCACCCTCGCTCCTGCACCATCCCCAAACGCACCCCACTCAACCTCGGTAACAATTTCCGGCTCATGCGGTAGAGCCACCGCCTCCAAGGCAGCATCTATGTGCGCCAAGATAGGCGCAAGGGCGTGCTCGTCCTCTTCTTCTACGTCGGGGGCTTCAACGTCATTCGCTACGGCCTGTGTTTCAGTTGTTCGGCCATCTTCACCCGCGTCAATGTGGGGACCTTCGGTCGGTTTGAGACTCAGAAACTCCTCAAGAGGCGAGTTTCTGCGGGGTGGCAGGCTTTTCAGAGTATCTTCCACTGTGAGCTGAGCGCTGTCTGTTGTTCCTTCTGGCTTCACTGATGGACTTTCAAGTTCCGCGAACGGGTTGGGGAGTGGTGATTGTGCAAGTTCTGCTGCGGGTGTGACGAGAAGACTGCTGTTGATACTTTCCGTTGGCACAAGGGTGTCTCCTGGCGTAAACAGTTCCTCGTCGGGTGGCAAGCCTTCAACGGCTGTGCTGGAGCCTGTGTCTGTCAAGCCCAAGCTGTCGCCATCGGACGACCATACTTGGGACGTGTTTTCCAGACCTGACATGTAGGGCCGAGAGATTGAGACACGGGGCAGCAGCCGCTGAGTTGGATGGGTAGAGAGAGGGAGAGAGGGAGAGAGAGAGAGAGACGAGGGACCGGCTGGCTGGCCCCTGAGAACGGGAACGGATGCAGCAGTGTGTCTTATGTCGTGATGGAGGGGTTGTGCTTCTCTGGACGAGGAACGTAACAGTATTACAGCAGGACGTTACGACGGGCGCGTCGAAATCGACGGCATTTTGTACTGTAGGTTCGTAGTCGCGGCTGGCCGGCCCCCAGTCACCCACGCAATGCGCTCTAGACAAGGAACGTATAGTCCTCTAGAGTCTATGGACGAGGAGGAGGTCCATTTCAGAATTGCACTGAGAAAGGGGACGGCACTCACAAACGTTGCATTTATCCCCCAAGCTTGTGGTAAGGTTTGTTGGGGAAGTCTCGGAATGCAAGGTATGCAGCATACCCCGGTCTTGGAATGTATTGCCCATGAGAAAGGTGAATTGATGTATCCTCCGACATAAAGTGAACCGTCGCGGTTGTGACTGGCCTGAGGTTGACCATACCAAGGAAGAACTTCATCGCTGGTGCTCTTCGGAACCTTTGCAACAACGGGGTAACATCGGCCATACTCGTCTCTTGTGTTCCAAACTGCACACCCCCTTCTCTGGAACTCCCCTGCGATGAAAATATAATAGATTTTAAGGATGTTACTTGCAAAACGAAACCAGCCTGTGAGATGGGGAAATTGTGCAAAAAGGTCCATGCGAAAACCGACGGAAGGTAATGTCGATTTCGCGAACGAAGCGCCGGAATTTCGAAATTGAACGTTCTACGAATTATGCTAGGGCAGTACAAAGGGCTGTGATCGTCTACTGTAAGTTACACATAATGATACTAGAGGCATGATTGCTCCCGGCGGAAGAAGCAGATTCTCACAACTCAGTCGATCCGCCTGCCCTTCTTGCTGCCTTTCTTGCCGGTGGCATTTTGGTTGGTAGTGGAGCTCCTTCCGCTTGGGGTGTCAGAACTTCCAACTCCCGTGGTAGAATTGACAGCCGCGGCGAGAGCTTCCTTCTTGTCCTTCTCGGCGAAAATCCTGCGCATATGAGGATCTTCAATCTTGTACGCTGACACCATGAAGACGCCGTAAAGCAACGCTGTAAGAGCTGAAAGGATGAAGCACGTCAGCGTCTTCATTCTCCCGATGCCGAACTCGGTTACCACTGCTCGCATATTTACCATATCCAACCATAGATTGAAACTTGACAGCATAGCCGAGCAATGCAAGGGTGGTGCCGACATATTGCGGATGGTCGAAGAGAAGGTAGGGACCATCCTCTACTCGCTTTGGCAAGTAGTGGCCGAAGCTGTCGCCGTTGTACATCCCTTTGACTCCGAGGGCTTTCAAAGTCCACAAGTTCAAGAACACGCCAAAGAAGATGAGGAACTTGCTGATGGTGGATGCGAGATTGTGGGGAAAGAGGACGAGCTGCGCATATGAGCAAACATGCGTCAGTAGCGGTGGTAGATGATGCAAGCCGTTGCGCGTCGTACATACCGAGTTCACATCACTCTCCACAGCCTGCATGACATAGTGATCTCTGACCAGCGCGGAAAGGATCAAGTAGACGGCATATATGTAGATGGCAGCACCTCTCCCAAAGATCTACGAAAGGAAACAAATGAAGAATGTTCGATTGGAAGTGAGATCGTACGTCTTCTCAAGTTTTCGCCAACGCCTCGAGGAATCAGCGTCGTCAATGGTCTGCCGTGTTTAGCCCATATGATGTGTTCCATTTCCCTTCTTTGTCCACCCTATCCACCTAGAGCCGGCCCACTGCAGATCACCGCTCCTCCAGTTCACACCTCCAACGCCAGTCCCTCACCTTCTCGAAATAACGCTTGCGGTATTCAAGGTGAGCAGTAGCATTGTAGTTCGCAACGTGCAAGACGATAGCAATAGCAGCAATAGCCGCAATCGGCACTTTAGCGAAAGTCGGCAGGCTCTCCTCGGCGGATTGTGCCAGTTCGAAGACGGGGCGGATGTAAGGTGCGGCGGCAAACTGAAGCTTTGTGAGTTGGAACTTGAGGTCGACGATCAGGGTAGCGAAGGGGCCTGAGGCCTCCATGACGTAGGTCGCAAAGTCGTCGTAGTAGTCCGCCATCTTTGATGCTTGTCGCTTCTATGGAGTCAATGTACCAGTTTGATGACCCCACAACAAGAGCCTTTGCAGTATGTAAATCAGTCCACGGCGTCAACTGGGGCCGCCGCCTCCAGAAAAGACTCTCCACGCCCACGGATATTATACCGCAGATTATCATCATGTTCTCGCGTTTATTTGTTTGAAACAGACAGAAAACCATGCACCACACGCCTTTGCCTCTTTTCTCATACGTATTGAAACTAGGTGTGCGTGGGTTAGGGTTAAGGGCTAGGGTTAGGGCTAAGGTTAGGGTTAGATGCGGTGGTTGGAGGACGCTCGCTGGGTTGGAGGAAGCTCACTGCGCTGGATGCGTTTGTTGGAGGACGTGATGATGGGATGCTGGGGGGATTGGGTTAGGGTTAGGGTTAGGGATCTCATCATATTTCCAACGTCCACAGCGGGTTCCCGTCCCCGTGAACTGTGAGACTATGGTCTCTTAGTCCCAGGACACCTCCTCCCGCCCCGAACTCGCACAGTCCAAACACTTAACGATCAATGGAAGTTATAGAACTGCGCTCCGCTCACTGTTAGTGTTGTCCCCCCAGTCTTTCCGCTGACCCACCAACTTCTCCTGACACTCTCTGTTCCAGTGAGCAATGCAGAAGTCCTCCAATTCCTCAAGGAGGTTCAACAAGACCAGGTCCCACCGAGCGTGCCAGCACGGTTTGGGTTTGCGCAGGAGGATCCGCTGGATGATTTACGGTCTGTCGAGAAGGAGGTATGTATCGCTGTGCCCATTTCTATCCGTCTCTTGGTCTCACCCGTGAATTTCACCTCGCCAGACAATAGCCTACCTCGAAGGCACCCCCGCCTCCAGCCAAACCGAACCCGAGATCGCAGCCTTCATGCAAGCGCTCCGGAGTTACGACCTGACCAAAGCCGAGAAATTGATGCTACTGAACGTGCGGCCGAAATCTACGGCTGAGTTGAACGCTGTACGTTTTATTCTTCCCATCAAAATTCGTTATTTCCCACCTATGAGTTTTTTCTGACGCCTTGGACTTTTAGCTTATCGAGTGCATCGAAGACCGGTTCTCGGATGACCAGCAGGAGGCTATGGTTGCGGTTGTGCATGAGCTGTTGCCGTATGAGGAGCCGGAGGCTGAGGGGGCGGGCGAGGAGATGGAGGGGGTTGAGGGGGCGGATGGGGACATTGCGGATATGGAGAGGTGATTTGCATCTCGCAAGGGAATGGTATGCGCGATTTTCAATTGCGTGTGATGGCTCATCCCAGAACAACCCGGAGCCACTAGCGGTAAAAAGTTTGAGCAGGGATATGAGCGCACCCGCTCCCTACTGCAAGACCGCACCGGATCTGCCCTTATTGTGAAAACTGCTTCAAACTATAGGAGCGACTCGGAGTCCACGACAGGGTTCAGTCGCTGGGTTGGGGGACATCCGGCCTTACAAGCGTATTCAATCCAGCGGTGTCCCTCAACAAACGCATCCAACGCAGCGAGCCGAATGGGTTGGACGACATTCGTTGTCCTGGAGTTGAAGGCGACTGTATGTTCACTCATGCCCATCTTTTGTTTTAACACCCGCTTCGAGAACGTCACCATGTTCCGCGCACCTTTTCGCAGTGATTGTATTGTAAATAAATACACGATGGGGGCAGGTGAGGTGTGAGCGCTCTACACTGGATTGGTCGGTACAGGAGACGGTCGTATGTGTGGGCAAGCCGTGAGCAGGCGGGTGCGGCGGCGCGGCGATGCGGCGTTATACGCCATCATCTCCGAGTGGGGTAGATCACCCCCTGGTGAGATTCGCCTCTGAATGTATCCAAAGGGGGACGCTCATGTAGAAGCCGTAACGGGTCCCTGCCCATTCACAGCTTTTGATTTCGCTGGGTTGGCCAAGGCCGAGGCTTCCGACTCTCGTAAGTTCTTGCGCATGGCATATGCGTCCTTTCAATGGGACGACGGTTAGATACATCATAAACCTACACCCCTCCGGATACACAGGCTCTACATACCTCTCCATCCGCGTAATAAGCCTTCTCGAGGTCATGCACCTCAAACTTCAGCGTATCCCGATACAGATGCAGCGCGGCGCGGTTGCTTTTACGCACGTGCAACGAGACGTAGTGCGCTTGGAAGGCTTCTGCCATTGCCTTTTCTAGCGTGGTCAAGTAAACATGTCGATATGAGCCATGCTGGCGCGTATTATTGGAATCTCGTATGACATTCCTCAACTTACGTGCTTGACTCATGAGCTTCTCCGCAAGCCCCAGACGCCGCCAGTTTCGCATGACTGACAAACTCGTGATGTGCCCGTGAGGAGAGTCTGTCGAGTCTTCTTCCCTGTATCACGTATCAGACATCAGCCCCTCGTCCGTTTCGAAGTACTTCTCCGCCCCTCCAAGCATTCTCCGTCCTGATGAAGTCCGTAGACTCCCATTCTCCTCCATAACTATCCCGTCGCCAACATACATTTTCGCCAAAACGTAGCCCACAATCCTCCCTTTCGGATCGGTCGCGACATAGGACAGCTGCGGCCACGATAGCGCGTGGTAGATGTAGTACTTCATCTGGTAGTTTTCTGGCAGGTTCATCAAGTTGCAGTTCTGCATCGAGAGGAGATCATCGACCTGTTTCTCGGTTGAGGAGTGGACGTCAAACGACATGGTCAGGACAATGAATTCGCAAAAAAGACAACGAAGCAACTTACGGTAGCTGGTCTTATGTTGATCATGGTTTCGATATTGCGGTTTGCGAGGAATTAAACTATGGATGTCAACGGCAAACGGGGGCAGGTGGTCCTTGCAAAATGCTTTCGATGTTCCCCAGGATGTTCCCCTGTCGGGAACGTCGCAAGGATTAAACTTCTTCCTCACGTGACGAGTTAATCTTTTGCGCACTCGTTACAAGCGTTAAACACCACATAACTCCACGTAGCCCAACATCATCACCAACGACACCAGTGGGACATGCCTACGTCGATGGAGCTGCTTTTAACCCAGGAGGAGGGGGGGAGGAGGCGGGGGAGGCGTAGGCCGGGGACCCAGTGCGAGCGGTGGCGGTAGCAGTTCACACGCTGGACGCGGCAGCCTACGCACGATCGGGGGCGGGCGCACCACTTCTGCTGTTCGCCGTGGGGGGGGGGTGCGGAGCAGGGCTGGGACGGGCATGCGCAGAGCTGAGGCAGAGACTTATGACAGCGCCGGGGAGAACGACGTGGACAGCGACAACTCCTTCAACATGAGCACTGCAACCCGCAGGGCCCGCGTTCATCCCGACATATGAGGAGTTCGACACCGAACCTGAGGTAGAGTTTGCTCGCCAGAAATGCAGATCTCTCGAGAAGGAAATTGGAAAAGCCTTTGCCCATAAGAAGGGACATCCTGTGCTCCTCCGAGATCTCATTCGGATCTCCAAGCGGGGGAAAATGAAGGCGAACTTAACAAACTTCCATACCACCGGCCTGACGCTTCTCGCCCACAAACCCACCCTGGGGATCGATCAGGAGGACCACCCGCTCTACATGTACCTTCCTGGCGTCGTTGGGCCCAAATGGCATGGGGAGGTGGTGGAGGCCGCGGAGAAGCTGCTGAGCACGCAGGGTGAGAGGAGGAGGGAGCAAAGTGGGAGGGAGGATGTTCGACATTGGCAGGCACCGTGCGAAAACGTGGAGGGCACGAAAGGTCTCATGCACATGGAGGACGCAGTGTGGGCACTGTGGGGACACCATGGTGCCGCGTGAGTGCACGGAGTCTTTCGAACGCGTGGGATCGCGTCCAGAAGGTGAATTGGATGCTCGGTATCGGCTTGTTTCACCTGGCCCGCACATACCACTACCGGCTATCGGAAGCCATCGCTCACCTACACACCTCGTGCTCTGAAGCATTTCTGGCTGGACACAAAAGCTCCGCGCGTCAATGCAACAAACGTGCTTGTGGGGAACCATGAGACTGCTCGTCAACCACGACCGCCGGGATATTCCTGATGGATGGGCCGCTATAAGCTGTTTTGGAAAGTTTGGAGTGGACCCGGGGCCTGTTCTGCCTTCCCGACCTGGGGATCATGCTCCCTTACCAACCTGGCGATGTTATTGGCTGTTGAACAACTCGCGCGGCAGGCTGTTATTATGGACGAGGAGGATGTCCATTTCAGAATTGCACTGAGAATAACTGACAAACGTTGCATTTATCCTCACAGTCAGAGGTAGGATTGCGCTGAGAACTAGGCCAAGAAACGGCGCCTGTATGGCTAAGTGGCAAGGCGTCTGTCTTGTAAACAGAAGATCCCAGGTTCAATCCCTGGTGCAGGCAGTTAGATTTTTTCTTTTGGTCCCGATTTTTGAATCGGGAACAACGATCATCCTGCTCCCTATCGGCGAAGTTCCCGCTGGACATGGGCAATGATGTCGTCCGTCGCAGTGTTTGTCGTGGGCTCCTGGACAACGCGAACGCGTTTTCACTCCGCCTTTTCGAACTCGCTCGAGACAACACATGTCCGCAGCAACCGCTACCACATCGATAGGACGTCCAGGTGCTGGCGGGGACGTAGCGGTTCCTTCAGCCGTTGCGCCGACTTCCATCGTGAATGGTGTCGAGCACTTCGAAAAAGAACTCCACTTCTCAACACGGCCCGCTCTGCCTACGCCTTCCAAACAACGTGTGTCGTCTTCAACCGACCCTTCCCACAATGGGCAACCGATAAACTCTTCGAACGCTTCGCCAGCGCGTGGACTGGGTGACGGCGGAGACGGCAGCACCTCCCACAAAGCGCTCTTCGAACGGGCGGTCAGGCGGTAGGGTACCGTAGTCATGCCGTTTCGCCACTTCCTACCTCTTCGTGCCCTAGCTCACAAACTTCCTACCGAACATCCTCATTCAGGTACTACTATCAGCTATCGGTGGGATGTGGAGATTCGTCATGTAGTCATAAGTTATGCAGATCTTGCAGAGCGGGTCCGCGTCTTAACCACGACGCCGCGGCGATTATGGCGGTCCAGCTCGCTTCGCGGCCTCGTCACTTCTTCTGCCCAAGGATACCGCTGAATCCGGTGATCCCCGAGGACGAGGCAGCTCGTGGAGCACCATTGCAGTCGGTTGTTGGGAATGGAGACGATGAATCGCTCAGACTGGTAGAGGCGTCACGGAAGTTGCCGAGTCAATCACAGCCGACATCATACGCAAAGTGTGTTTCCCTCGAACCATCACATACAAAGCGAGTGTCGCAGCCTTTCCTCACCACGCTGCTGGCTTCAGGACCCTTCGCGAGCATGTTTCGACCAAGCGGTGGAGACGCATCAGGGATGCGGCGATCACGCTCAACGAGCGAGCTGGATAATGTCCACCATGGGGCGAATCTAGCCGCTGGCCGGCGCCCAGAGGTTGCAGATGCGGATACCGAGAGGGATGTGGAATACGGAACGAAGCGGACTTTGGTGCCTTACGACGATGGATCGGCCCTGGGATTGCGGTTGCTGAGCAAGATTGTTGTCGATGTGAATGATGTGTCGATGGGCGCGCGGAGCAGGTCCTCTGCCGACTTACCCAGTTTGGGAGCAATGACAGGTGGGTGCTTCCTTTCATGATGCTCATTGGGGAAATACGTTCTAAACAACTTCTCAATTCCTGCAGAATCGCTGATGCAACCACCGTCGGTGTCAACGGAAAGCACGCCCATGTCATCCCCCGAGCTGTCGCGTGCCAACACTCGAGATGCGAAATCGCGAAAAGGCTCGCCGTTGAAGTTTACAACCAACACTGAGGAACTCGGAGCAAACCCCGTATTTGCGGAAGAAAGCCATGGTACAAATGGACCACTCGAGCCTGCCATCATCAACCGTCCGCAGGCTTTGACCGCCATGACACTACCGTTGCTGAAGTCTCTGGTGGCCGCGTACGACGACTCCAACGACACCAAACCGCTGACTGACCGACTTCGCTCCCTCTATTCCGACAGCGATGCTCTCAATCGCAGCTTTCTCGCTGCAGATGAAGAGCGCACTCACCCGTCGGGCATCGACATGTCGGCACTCCGACAAGCGTCCTCGATTATTGCGGAGCTGCTCCCGCGAGAGGTTTTCTATATGGCCATTGTGGAAGCGTTGGAGATCACACTTGCACGACTGCAAATGAACCTGAGGAAACTCAACTCCGCATCTACGCACCATTGCCGCCAGCTTCTGATCATTCTGGAATGTCCGTTATGGCACGACGGCGCGCAATCACAAGAACCGCTGTTGCGCCGACTATGTCTAGTCTTGGGCGGTTTGAAACATAACATGGAGCGAACCCTCTCCCGTTGGCTGTCGCGCTACGAGTCGGATGGCCTGCGTCGGATCGTCAATCTGTTCCTGTCGTACCTCGACACGAATTTTCAACCCAGCACCAAGATCGATGATGGCCTGTTATCCTGCATCAACGTGCTGAAAATGCTCTATACAGCCAACGAGACCGCAAAACCAGAGCCTTTACTGCCTATCGCGGCCTTCTACAGCGACGCTGCGACAAAGAAGCTCAATTTCAAAGAGGAGTACCGGATATGGAAGCGCACAACTACTACCTCGAAGAAACAAGAGCCTTCCCGTCAGGGCCACGCCTCTCAGCCTCAACCGCCCTCCCCCCAAAACATCCACTACACCACCCGCCTCCCGACCCCCATCCCCGAATTCAGCTACTTCCACCACCCCTTCCTCTTCGACCCCGTCTCCAAGATGCGCATCATGCACATCGACGCCATGGCGCAGATGTCGCTCGAGTTTGAGGATGCGTTCGTGCATCAGTCCCTTGTGCTGAATGCGCAGAAGTTCTTGCAGGCGTCCCCCGGTTTGGCGATGCTGGAGCAGTCGTTGAAGGATCGGAGTAGCCCGTATTTGTTGCTGGATTTGAGGAGGGAGAGGTTGGTTGAGGATGTTCTGGAACAGGTGGGTGGGTGAGATGTGTCCCTTCTAGTCGTCATAAATCAACGTTGTTTATGCCTTACTGAATCCCGCCTCACGTTTTTACAGCTCGACAAACACAAAACCGAGCTCAAAAAACCGCTCAAAATCCGCTTCATCGGCGGCGGCGAAGAAGGCATGGACCAAGGCGGCGTGCAAAAGGAGTTCTTCCAGATCCTCATTGACCAGCTCGTCGATCCTTCCTACGGCATGTTCACCTACGACGACGAGACGCGGCTGTGCTGGCTCAACGGCGCATCGTTGGAGAGTGAGCGAGAGTTTGAGCTGGTGGGCACGGTGCTTGGGCTGGCGCTGTATAATGGGGTGATGTTGGATGTGAGGTTCCCGAGGGTTATGTATAAGAGGTTGCTGGATGAGGGGCCGACTTTGGAGGATTTGAAGGAGGGGTGGCCGGTGAGTTACTACCCACTTCGATTTGTGGTTGCGGCACCAATACTTACTCAACCACTTCCCCCGACTCATTCATAGTCCCTCGGTCGCGGCCTCGAGCAACTCCTCACTTGGACCGACGGCGACGTCGCAGACGTGTTCGTACGCACTTTTGAAATCTCCTACGAAGTCTACGGGCAAGTCAAGACTTTCCCGCTCGTCCACGGCGGCGAGGACGTGCTCGTCACCAACGAGAATAGGAAACAGTATGTGGATTTGTTTGTCCGCCATTTTGTGGTCGATTCGACGAGGAGGCAGTTTGCGGCGTTTAGGAAGGGATTTTGGAGGGTTTGTGGGGGTGAGGCGTTAAAGGTGGGTTTTCTTGGCGCATTCATCAAACCCCCTCATATTTCACAACTCACACCTAGCAATAACCCCAGATGTGCCGCCCCAGCGAACTCGAACTCATGATCTGCGGCACCGCCTCCACAACCCTCGACTTCACTCAACTCCAAGCCGGGGCCGAATACGACGACGGGTACCACCCCACCCACCCACTCATCGTCGCCTTCTGGTCAGTCGTCCACACCGACCTAACCCTCCTCCAAAAAAAAGCCCTCCTGAATTTCGTCACCGCATCCGATCGCGTCCCGCTGAACGGCCTGCGGAATCTGACGTTCGTGATACAGCGGAATGGACCGGATTCGGATCGGTTGCCGACGGCTTTGACGTGCTTTGGGAGGTTGCTTTTGCCGGAGTATGAGGGGAGGGAGAAGTTGAGGAGGATGTTGGTTACGGCTGTGGAGAATGCTAAGGGCTTTGGGTTGGTGTAAGGGCTAATGATAGATGGTGGAGACACGAGATCTCGCCTCGGCTCGATGCACCTCCACCTCGGGGACATGTATATCTTTACACCACGATCCTCCGCCACCACCATCCAAACTCGCGCCAGCAAACAGCTCTTATCAACCCCCGACAAGTGCGCTCATCTCTCGCGCTCAATACATCGCCGCCGTGCGCGCCAGCTTCGTACCTTACTTGAAGAGCCTCATGCAGTCATGCGGTGAACTACTGGACTTCGATGGACGCTGGGGTGATTTTGGAGAGGGAAGGGGTTGGCGGGGGGTATAAGATCCCGTACCGTGCAGCCTTCATCTGCCTTCATTGGTTGAGATGCGAACAACTCGACACTGTAGGTCTATGGGAAGGAGAGAATAAGAGGAAAATGACGCTCTGACGCTTATTCTGAGGGTCGCTGGTCCGTTGCATGTAGATACCATTTTTGGGATTATTCAACGTGGGTTTCAAAGACGGCATAAAGAAGCGGAAAATGATGTGCCGGGGTTTCGACATGTAAACTTGCGAGAGCGTATTTGACAAAGACTGCAGGACCAGGCACGGTGGTTGTCAACACCGCAGCGCTTGTTGCGTTTTTCGCCGTATTGAAAAAATACCACTGGAAAAGTCCGTCTGAAACGATCGGGGAAAAGACAGCGATGTAACTCATCCTCCGATCTGGTTTATTGAGCGAGCGCTGCTCGGACCGCGTCCTACGCCTCGAGGTTACTCTTCGGGCGCTACGGAATGGCCCTCTCAAAGGATTCTTCCTTCATCGCTCCACGCCGTAAATCACATCGCTCAATCACATCTCACAATACGGCGTCCTGCCGCAAAGTGCGGATTCGACGAGATTGGGCGTTCATGTGTACCCCATCCAGCCTGACCCTCCCCATTCGTACAAGGCATCCTTCCACATGTAGCCAGCTCGCACGAAACTACTGAAATGCAATACTAGGAAGCGTCGCAGCGTCGGGTGCACATCACCGGCGTGACCCAGCGAGTTTCAAAGATATGATTTACAAAATACTCGACATGCGAGTAGGATTGGCTGTCAAACTGACCAGATCAGATACAGGATATCTTGCCAGTCCATTCTTGATAGTCATCATGTCATCAGAAACGCTTGAAATGGTGAAACGCGTACAGAAGCACGAAATTGACAGAAGTTTGACAGCAACAGATTTCTTGTCACGGCAAACCCTTGGGGAGAGGTGAATTACGTCAATGTAAGCTACATCTTAGCCAAAGGGCCTGAGAGGGATGAGGCCTAATACAGTCCGCCGTAACCCCCGCCGTGGCCTCCGTAGTTGTCGTCATAGTAGCCTCGGCCAGAGACCTTCACTTCGGCGGAGTCGGCGTCCCTCACTTCGCCCTTACTGTACCGAAAGGAGGCTTGTCCCGACGAGGAGATGATCCAGACCCCCGAGAACGAACCCGGCTTGCCCAAGGCCGGCGACGTAGCGAGCCCCACGAGACCCGCCAGTATCGTTCGCCTTCCGTAGGACACGGCATCCGTTCTTCGGCGCCTCCGTAGCGGAGGTGACACGGGACCAGATCCGCGAAGTCGAATCCGATTCGCCCCGGGCCGGCGGGCCGGACGACCCGAAACGCAGCGAACTTGGGCCTTTTCAGCCTTTGTGAATGAAATGAACAAGAAAGGGTTAGATGTCAAGGTCGCAAAACGAAACGCGTGGGACATGCAGTGCACTACTTACCAGCCTCATACTCCTCTCCTTACTCCTCCTACAATGCCGCAAACGGTTCGCAAACTCACCGTGTACACGTGCCACACGATGGGTTCTACCCCCCTTCGTTGGTCGTCGCCCACGCGGGGAGACGAGCATTCCTCCACGTGGGTCGGTGAGGATTCCGATACCGCAACCAAAACCTGAAGAAAAAAACTGTCAGAGAGGGTGCTGAGAAGACGGGTCGTGTTGCTTTGACGCGTTTACAAGTGCCCACGCGAAAAACCGACAAAGTCCAACCTTCCTACCACTCATACACAACCGTACAACCGCAAAACGCAACAATCACCTCAAACCCTACCCATGCCCTCACCCGACGATTTCCGCGAAGGCGCCACCAACCTATGGACCGCCCTCGACTCCCTCTACGCCAAAGACCCAAAGGTAGCGTCTCAAATCCTTTCCCTCCTCATATCCTCCTATCATCCACCCATGTAACATCCCTCTCCCAACCCTACAGGAATACAAATCCCTCATCTCCACCCTCCAAAAATCCGCCACAGCCGAAGGCATCAACCCCCTCAACCCGCTCGCGCCAACCCGTGCAGTCCGCCCGGGATGGTGTCTCACCACCACGGATGGCAAATCAACACATAAGATCAATCTCGCGCAGACGGATCGGATCAGCGAGCCGAGAAAGGACGGGGCTGTTACTGTTGTGCTGGGAGGGAGGAGGAGGGGTGGGGATGGTATGTGTTGAGTCAGATCAACGTGGTGGAAGAATGGGGGATGTTCTAACTTTTTGAGGCTGGGTGTAGATGGGGGGAGGTATACGGTTTATGACACGGTGGTGCATCCGAGTATCATCGATGAAGCCGAGCAGTCACCAGCTTTTCTTGAGCAACTGGTTGAGCTCGCCATCGGATGCGTTGAGGAATCTTTCGATGTGCGGTTATCTCGTCACGGTGTGTCCCAATTTTCCTTTTCGCCCTCTGGTGATCTGATATGCTAAGCATGCTGAATCGTAGGAATCAAACGCGAAAAGAATATCTACGCAGACCCCTACGGCTGGCACACCTCCGGCCGCCCTCTGGAAGAGGGTGAAGTCGAATCATCTCCTTTCACGGACACGGACGATCCGCTTTCTGGTGTCGGGGGTATGACGACCGCTGGGTTGATTTCGCATATCCAGCGTGAACAGCATTCGGTGGATGATGCAGGAGGATCAGGGAGGGGCGTCAAGGAGGAAGGGAAATTACCGACACTGCTGCCTACCAAGCTGGAGAAGAAGAAGGGGAATATCATCCAGGAACTGCCCCATTACATTCCACGACAATCGAAGGACATGACACCGACGTTAGAGGCGTTAGCAGCATCGTTAGACAACACTATAGATCCCGGGACGCAGAAGCTGTTACGCCATCTCGTCGAACCGACGTGGAAGGCTGGGAGTGTGGATGGGGTCTGGGTTTTGGAGGTTTTACTTCCTGGTATGGTATGTATCGTGCCCAAGTCCTGCCTTTGGTTGCATACGCGATGTGCTGATTTGGATCATCAAATCATCAAAACAAGCAGAAATCCGCACGGGAAATCCACGTCTGCCAAACCTGCACAACCCTCGAAATCATAACCCTGCACCACAAACTTTCCCACAAACTCCCTCACACAACAACAGATACCCCCAACATAACATGCAAACTCTTCTTGAAATCACATATCTTGCAAATATCATTTCCACTATGAACACCCCGCAGCTCGCATCGTTTCTGTATATACTGGTGGTGGGGAGACGGGAATACTATTGGTCGGTTTCCATGGGCGCGGCACCGGTATCGTCTTGTGCTGCTGGTGCGTCTGTGGAGGCGGGGGCCGCACCGTCGCCAAGGAGGTCGAGGTATCTGTATGTGCGGAGAAAAAAGTCGTGCGGATGAGCATACTTGACAACTCAATGCGCGTCACGATTAAGGCCTGTAATGGTTCCCAAACTCACTTCTGAACAGGCTCGCCCTCCAATGAATGGTACTTGACACCCTTGCCCACAATCCCAATAGAGCAGTTCTTGATATCCAGCTCCTTGTCCTGCTGCATGGTATCCCGCAACGCTCGTAGGCCGTGCACGATCAGGTCGTCGAGGGATGCTGTTTCATATCATCTAATGAGGAACGGTGTTCGACGGACGGAAAGGAGGATTTTGAGAGCGTACCATCTGCGAACGACTCAAAATGCTTCTCAAGATACGTCTTTGCGGATTGGGACCGGGCGCCAATCGAGATGGCGTAGTAGTCGAAGAAGTTGCCGGAGGGTGCGCATTCGAAGAGGTGTGGTCCGGCGTCCTATGGGTGAGACGGGAGTTTGGGATTAGGCTCGCGAGGTCGAGTTCAACGAAATGGTATCTCGGTTTTGCGTACTCACGTCGTAACCGGCCACGAGCAGTCCTACACCGTAGGGGCGGCGACCGTAACGTTGTGTGTTCACTTGGGCCTCTGAAGAACATCACATAACATCACAGAAGTTGTTAGTGCAACGTCGTCAAGCTGCCGATCTAGAAAAAGACGGACTCACTGTCTCCAATAGCAGCGACGATCCGGTAAATAGGCAGCGGTCGGTCGAAGATAAGTTTCGACTTCATAGCTTCTGCGCGCATATATGTGCTGGATTCGTAACATGTATCAGTCTCAGCGTTCCTCCCTTCACTTCAGCAGCCTCAAAAACAAAGGCACACACCTCAACACACGCGCATCTGACATCAACCCAGCAATCGCAATCCCCATATGGTCGTCAATACGCATCAGCTTCTTTTGGTACGACGCCAGTTCGCCGGGTGATCTCTGCAGAGCATCGTGAGGATCAGCAACTCATCCCTTTCCCGTTCGCCTAACGCTCTCCTCCGCATGAACACGCACCTTGAGAGCTAATATCACAACATGGGTGTTGGAGCGCAGACCGACGCACGCCGAACCCTGCTTCACGGCTTCCATTGCATATTCCACCTGATGGATCCTCCCCTACAAATGAAACCCCAGTGTCAGCTATGAATCATCTCGACAACCGCTCAGGGCTCTCGCCCAAAATCGTGCTGAGCTCCAACGTTTTCTTACCTGCGGAGACCATATCGTGATGTCCGAGTCGTACCTGGCAAGATCGCGTTAGCGGAAATAGTAGGGTGCTGGCAGTGCACACGGCACGTCACGGGGGTGAGACAGGGCGGGATGAGGCAGAACTTACTGGTTGCGGAACATTGGGTGAAGGTGGATTGTATAGTAGGTCGGGGGTGGGTGGTCAGCGTTTGTGATAGATGTTTGGGGTGGGGGTTTGAGGGAGGTTGTGGTGCTCGTTCGCCGAAAATCAACGCCGTGGGAAAAGACGCGTCACCTTGTGAACAAACTGCCTCGGAGATGGCATCATTACTTCCTTTGCAAACAACCGCTCCACTCTCCCTGCAACACACACACATGCATAGCGTCCGCTGAGAATGCTTGTATCGGCATCAAGGCTAACAGATGTCACTCCATTGGATGGAAATATTTGATTCAAAAGTGACGATGATACACCCATTATGAACCACAGCTATATGAAATCTGATATGCTACTGATCTACGAAGAGGGAACGATGATTTCTCCACAACATCTGAGCTTGCGGCGTTCCTTGCTGCCTTCGTCGGTTCCAATTCGTTGCTCCCTCTGGCGTCTGCGTTCATTCATCTTGATAGATGAACGCAGATCGATCTGTTGATTCCACTGTTCCCTTATTCCACTTCCAAAGACCCATGCCCGCTCATCCGCCCGCAACCAGGACGTATTGATAGAAGATAATGTAGCAGCAAATTCACAGAGAGAAATACCTGGTAAATACATCATCCTCCATCAACCGCTCAATCTTTGGTATTGTTTTCCACTATCCTCGTCATATCGATCGGAGACATGGTCGCCTTACAGAGGCCGGGCGTGTTGAGGTGTTGGAAAGAAGAGGGACAGCTTTCCCCGTTATATCGGAGGACGTCTTTGCAGCGGTCGCCGATCCCACGACCACATTCGGCCACGGCTTGTTGCACGGTATGATGAAACGTACTCGTACGGTCTTGCTTCATCGATATGCAATCCTCGAACAAGTTGTCAGACAATTGATGAGACAGGAAGAGGTTTTTCTTTGCGTTGTCGTTTTTTGGCCGGTGCACTCTCCCAGTAGCTAGTCGTCACCATCTTTCGCTTTCCAGGCTTTAACCTCCTCTTCGACCTACAATGCCGGGTTCCGGTGAAAATCATTGTTGACTTTCTCGTCACCCGTCCCCATCAACGATGATGATAGGTAAGTGAACCACAAGGACCATCGCGTCGTCCACGAAATGTCCGGATCATGATTTGACAGCTACTGTTTGGACGCCTCTGGGTTCTGGAAGGGTTAGGTATCCATCGTATCGGGCAACGGCGGGGAGACGGTTGGACGAGCATTGCAACTCGGGAGACTAGCCAATCGCCGAAGTTGCGTGCGTGAACGGGAATGCATGGCTACCAGGAGGCGCAATCTCAGTCGTCGTTGTTCTGATTGCTGAGCCTCCCCGCCGTCGCCGTCGTCCCGTCCAAATCCTCCCACACCACCAATATCTGCGCACTGGTCGCATTCTCGATCGCGCAGGCCACAGCAATCAGTGCTTGCGTTTTGACAGTTGCCCTCCCGCGCCCCTGACATTGCGACCTTTCCCACTGCCCACTGGACTGAACTCTGATCGGGCGGCCTTGCAGGGCGCTGCTAATGGCGTTGCTGTGGCTGATGATCCCGGCTGTCGCCGCTCCACCCTTCGCATTCCTCTCCGCCGCTTCTGCGGGGCTCGCTCCCACTTAGTGACTGATTGCGTCCGTTTCGTGAGAGCTGTAAATATCGCTTGAGCCGCCAGGGCCCCTCTCACACCATCTTCCCTCGACACCAAGTCGAATCCCACTAATCCATTCATCCCAGGCGTCAGCTATTGAACGTGATTCTGCTTTGCGCAACAACTTTAGCAGGTTGGCTGAAGCCTGTCCAACTTTCTTTGAGAACCAGCTTGGAGTGACAAAATTCCTCCGTGATGGACGAGGGTGAATTCGGCAAGGCTTATGGTGCTAAGGACGATTGGACCGCAAGTGTACTATGCTGAAGGTGCTAGCCGGGGACTTTCACCGCGACCAAACTGGGTAGTTGTCCACACCGTCTGGCCCCGAACCAGGAGTGACCGCCAGAAACCGTCCATGCTTCCAAAAGTCGCAGTGTCACGCGTTTTTAGCCGCTCCGTCAAGTTTCAACATTCCAACGCCAGAACTACGACAGGCATCTTACACAGGCATATAGAGAGTAGCTGCATACGCTCGATCACCTCAGTAGTGTCAGGAGGCAGCGATACTCCGGGACCCACATTACGGAACTTTGCTCAAGCTACAACCGTGCAGTGAGGACGTTCCACTCAGGACGACACACACCTCAGTCTCACCAAAATCAGCTCCGAAATGGCCGCAACTGCCTCCCGCGTAGGTAGGTTCAGTCTTCGTATCCCATTCGCGGCAGAATGCAGAGGTGACCAACAATCCTTTTGCCGTGACCAGACTTAGATCTCGATGTGGACGGGGAGGACATCCGGTTCGATTCAAGTAGCCGCGTCGGCTCGACGCGTAGCTCGACGCGTAGCTTGAAAGAAAGCGACGGGGAAGGGGAAGAGGTGGTGGCCAAGAGCAGGTGGGTGGGGAACCTGCGCGCGCCATTTGTCGGTTTTGCGAGATTAGAGGATACGATGGCGACGCAGAACTGGCTTCCATATTTAAAGCGCATGAAGCCAGGTCAACAGCATTGCCCTGATCAAAACGCTGATTCCGCTTGGCCTTTCAGCAAATGCAGCAGTGCAGATGTCCAGTTCGACGAAGTCGTGGGCGAGCTAGAAGATATGCTCATGGGTATGTATGTCATTTCAAATGAGACATAACATTTGATACTGGACTACGGGCTGATTCAACCTGCTCCATCAGACCCATATTTCATTGAGCTACAGGAGACGTTCATGGCAGAGAACTGCGATGTCTTTACCGATGACGAGGAGAACAAGCTTGTCTACACTGATCTCTTTCACAGCTATGTATGTGTCTGTTTGGTGAGATTCCATGTCCGCACTGTGACCGATGGAAGCTCATGCCAGCATCATCTCTTCCAGGTGAAGCTCATAGAAACATTCATAGAGAAGCGGTTGAAGGCGCGGCTGAGCTGGTTCAGCATGTCAACCTTTTTGATGATGATGAAGTGGGACCTGGTTTGCCTTTGCTGACAACTTGACAAAAAGAACTGACAGTGACCTGTTTGGAACGCGGTAGATCTCGGAAGGAAGCTCTAGATGGGGATGTATTTGATGTTCTGAGCAGCCTGGCGGAGTTTACTGCTTTCAAGGAGCTGATGCTGAGCTACAAGAATGTACGTGTGTGCATGGGATGCATGGCCTTGAGAATTCTGGGATGAGGACTGACTGCGGCCAACTCTGGGACTTCATGTAGGAGCGTCAGGGCACATCGATCGACCTCTCGGGCCTGCTGGCGGTACATAGCGCTGGCAAATAGTGGTGAGGGCGCCATCGGTCTGTCTGGCAGAGAACTTGACCACTGATGTGCATTGCGGCGCTTTCATGCAGCCTTATTGAGAAGAGTCGTCGACGTCCAACAGGACATGTAAATTTTAAATTAAAAGGTCGGAATATGCATCAGATGGGTTGTAAATTGTAAGCTATTGTCATGACAGAAGAACTTCCATCCCGTAAATTGAAATGCTGAACCAAGTCAACATAATCCGAGCGTCGCTGAAAGGGCATAATCAGTCCCAATTTGAAAACACACGTAGCTTCTCGTACCGTCGTAAACTCCGCCAGACGCTCCCAGGGGGGCTCGCACGTCCATCCATTTCCAAAACCGTTCGTATATGTAGGGAACCGTGTCGAGGAAAGCTTTGGTGCAGCACCACCCATCACAAGAGAGTTCGCATGATCGACATCAAGAACTATACCGGGAGGGAATTCATGACGCACCAATAGTGGGCGTGCGCCTCCTTTGGCGCGAACAGGGGAGCAGGCGCTCAAGAAGGGGCAGGAAGTCGCGGGCCATGAAGAGGGAAGAGGGGAGGAGGCAGGAATATGAGAGGCGCGGGAAGGGCGGCGACGGATGGAGATATGGAATAGGTGCAAAATAGTGCACGAAGAATCCTCTGCACGCTCCAACCGCCATGGTTGCCTCTGTGATGGTCCGGTTGAAGTGGAACAATTCTCTGAGCGCCGCCGCGGAAGTCGCGGGATTGCGTCTTGCTCGGTCGGGCGGGATGGCGTTGCAAGTCCGGCAGCTCCTCCGTTCCTTTCAGTCGCTGGCAAAGTTTCCATTTCAGCGGCTCGTCTTCGCAGGCCAAAAGTGACAGCTAGTTGCGCTGTCGAATTATTGCGTAGTTGCCCAGTTTTAAAGGACGCCGCGACGGTATTCAGGAGCTCTGCGATTTCCGAGTCCGCTGCCTGTCCAGTGTCGAATAACATCCAGAACCTTGTTGTGGAACCTGATGGCGTTGGGAAGGTTGATTTTGCTCTTGGCCGGCGCCGTCCAAGTTCCACAATGTGATCCTGACTGCAGATCCATCCCGCATACTGCATTGAATGCTCCATGTGCGTTCCTCAAGTGTCATGATATTGATTGGTCAGCGGGTAGTTATGGTCCATCGTCTTCATTGTCAACCCTCTGCCCCCAAGGGCTCCGTTCACACACACAACAAAAGGTTTGGTGCTATGATATGGGCTTCAAATACTGTAAGATGGAGAATGCCCGCTGTATCCAGACGTATCGCTTTCCTCACTTCCTACTGGAAAAGAACCTTCCATGCTGGACTAAAAGCGATCTGCCGGAACAGTGAATAAAAACCTACGTCCGAGCTTACATTACTCATCTTGCTGAAGATGGGGGATTGTATGGCGACCAATAGGAAACAAACGAACGATGTGTGCTAGAGATTGCAATGGTTCACGATGAGCCGGGGTCTACCATCGATCGCAATCACCTCGCTGAAGCCAAGAAGTGGAAGAAGGCGAAACGATTCCGTCGTACACACAAAGTAGGCAAATCCTTCCCTTTTCGAGGGCATCCCAAATGGGCCACGTGATGTTGCTGACCATCTGGCTTTTGATGACGATCGGTAGGAGAAATTGATACAGGAAGTGATGCGGAATCAAGTGTTGGCTGCTCGGTTTGTGGTGGCAATGTGGTGCTTACTTTGGCACGAACGGAATAAGACCAACCCACTCCCCTGGACACAAAACGTAAGGAAAAGAATATGATCTGTCCACGCAAGCTTTGGACCACCGCGGGATGATCTTGCAGCTCTTGCTGACCGATTGGACATTCTTCATGACGATCAACGGAAAATATGGATACTCGAGATGGTTGTCATATACATCTGGGCCACATCGTTCTTATCCTGTTGTTTGGCATCCTTCCCAACGGACTGGATTTGGACCTCTGCTCGGCCATTTCCTCGGTTTTTTTTGACCCGTCGCTGTTCTATGAGCCTATATGCAAACTTCCCTTTTCGTTGTGTTTCCAACTGAACGCCTAGGGTTAGGTTAGGGTTAGATCAGGTCCAGGGTTGAATACTACGTATGTATACATGACCGTCTCCGTCCACTTGGTCGCGAATGCTTGGAGTGGATCTGGAGGGTTGACCGACGCGTGGGAAACCAGACAGTTGCGTCGCTTCCGGAAGTTGAAGGTGGACGCTCGACCCAGCTTCTACCCTTTAATCGTCTCACTTTCCACTCGTCCTCGCCCGCCCGCACGCGCAAACAATGGCAACCCGCTCAGCAGGTGGTAATATCTTCGGCGCGGCACCCGCTGCCCAGCACGGCGCTGAAGGTCTCGTTTCGTTCAGAGCCGGTAGGGACATCCCGCCTAGCATCTCCCGGCGACCGACTTTTCCGCTAACGATCTCCGTACGTCGCAATTTCTATTTGACGCTGTTGGAAAAAGGCAAATGCACCCGAGAAGGCACTCGCGTTACGCCGGAGGCTCGCAAAGGGTATGTGTCGATGTTGGGTGATCTGTAAGGCCATCACCCACGCTCACATGACGCGTTCAAATCCCGCAGACTGCTGTACATGAACCAGGGCGATGTAAGGAAGAGCCCTTTTCTTGCGATAGAGGGAGAGACGGGTGGTGGCACGCACGGTGGGGAGCGGAAACTGATGACTGGATTTGGTTGGACACTTGGCAGGATGGGCTTATGCACCTGTATTGGAAAGATCGTCGCACGGGAGCGATAGAGGATGATCTTATTATCTTCCCAGAAGAGGCCGATTTCCTGAAGGTGACGCAGTCCGAGGGGCGCGTGTATGTGCTGAAGTTCAAGTCATCATCGCAACGACTGTTCTTTTGGCTGCAAGGTATGGCGAAGCGATGAGCCGATATGTGGTACTCCTGCCCGTCCGTGTTTCCGCGAGGGGCATCACATCCCACAAATCGAGAGTCTCACGCAAAATGCGATTACAGAACCAAAAGCGGACAGGGACGAAGAGTTGGCGCGGAAAGTGAACTCCATCATCAACAACCCTCCGTCGGCTGGCGGCTTCGAGAGCGACTTCTTGTCCGTTTTGCAGCAGAGTCAAAGGTGGAGGGACCTACCCCTTCGATGCCCCCGATCGAACGATTGGTACTGATTTTCTCGCGCGCAGAGAACAAACCCCATTGTCGCCTGATGGCTCCACCACTGCCCAGCTGGAACAGATCCGCCGTGTTTTGGCAAATATCAGTGTTTCAGATAGGGAGGCTGAGCCAGGTAAGCCTATGGCTATCTCTTTTCCTGTTGGTGTTAACATGGCCTCCGAAGCACGGTACGCGAATATGGTTCTCATGCCTACAATCCCTTTTTTTTTTCCAGCGGATGAGGTTCTGGGCGTGATCACTCCAGAAATGGTGCAACCGATCCTAAGCAACACCGAAATTTCAAGGGCATTGTTCCCAAACCTCCCGCCAAAGGACAATCGTACAACCGCGGAGATTCAGGTAAGCTGCGCCGACTATTCAATCAAACGCTTCATCCTCTCCTAAATTTTCATCTGTTGCTCAGACGATCATGAACGGCGCTGACTTCCGCGAATCGGCCCGCTCTCTTAGTGCAGCTTTGCGTACCGGACAGCTAAACAGCTTGATTGGACAGCTAGGTATGTGGTTTCTCCGCTTCTTCTGTTAATCTGTTATTCCATTGTTTGCTAATTATCGCCTCCACGACTTTGCGAACGACTCACAGGTCCGAACAGCAACACGGAAGGTTAGAGAACCCCGACTAGACCATCTGCTTGTGAGGTTCCCCTGACCCGTCTACTAACTCATTCTCCCCGCGGGGTTCTATCAGCTTTGCAAACGTTCCTCCAGGCGGTGCAAGGTATGTAATCTCTTACTTCCACAATCAACGTTAAGCCGGAAAGGATACTGATCCTCTATCCCAAAAACGTGTAGATCGTCTGAACCAGACAGGAGGGTCCGACTCTATGGAGACCGACTGACTTGAAAGGTGGAATTCTACTCGATATCGGGAAGCGTGGATCGACGGCTACTCCTATCGACTACTTCTGCCAAACTACTTCTAGGGGAGTTGTACTATATATGAGATGCAATTGTGATGAGAAAATGAAACAGGAAATCTGTATTCGGAAACACTTGTGGATTGGAGTCGGATGTGGAAGGCAATCGTCTGTGGTCGATCGTCCACGTCCAAGATAGCAGAAGTACATCAAACACCCATCAATCAACACGCCGACTAACCCTCACTTCCACGCTCCACCCCTAACCCTCCCCCAGACCCTGGACACCTCCACCCCATCCCCCGCACCCACCCTCACCCTCCTAACCAACCGTTGCCTCAACGCCCCAACAAGCTCCGCATGCGCCTTCTGCGACTGCTGGATAAACAGCAGCGTGCTCGTCGTGTGTACTTTGTGGTGGTAGGTTGTGGGTGCCGGAGGCGGTGGGAGGCAGGGGAGGGGGAGGGAGGGGAGGGATGCGAAGAGGGAGCGTGCTGCTGTTAGGGCGGTTGTTCGGGGGAGAGAGTTGGTGTTAATGAGGGATGTGCGGGGCAGGGCGGGGAGGGGCATGGGTTTGGGTTTGGAGGGGTAGGCGTGTGCGGTGGTTACGGCGGCAGGCCCGCGGGTTGAGGGTTTTGTGATTGTGGGCGGGACGGGTTTGGTGGCGGCTGGGACGGGCACGTGGGGCGTTGATGTGGTTGAGGCGGCGGTATCGGTGTGCGGTGGGGGTGCGGCGTGATGGGCTGTCGTGACCTGCTTCGTTGGGGGGATGAGTTTAGTAAGGGTATCTTGGCCGTCCCAAAATCTCCTTCACAAACCGCAAAGGTTTAGGAACTCACCATGCGATCCCTATGCTTCAGCTCCGCTTGACCCGTCAATTCACCCGACTCCCTCGTCGCCGCCGAAGGAGCTGACGACGCCGATGACGCCGCAGATGACGGCAGATGCTTTCCTTTCGCATCATCACCAACAACCCCCAACGTTACAAGCCCAGCATCAGCGAGCGCGACCCGCCCGCTACGCTGGATCTGCGTGCCTTTGCGGGTCACATCCGTGAATGTGTTCAACAGAACATCCTTAGTTGCAAAGAGTGTGAAAATGATTGCTCGACAACGTTTCGAGTCATCGAGAGGTCGGAACACATACCTCCTCCATGTCTATCCCGCCCGGCGGACCAAACTCGTACGTATATCTCAACGCCGCCTCTTCTTCACCGCCATCTCCCTGTCCCTCTCCTTCCCCATGTCGACGCCCATGTCGTCGCTGTGATTGAACTCCCTCCTCCCCATGTTTCCGCCGCCCCTTGAGCCGCCAAAACGGGCTTTCTTTTTCCCATCGGAGCACGTCGGCGAGGGATTGCGTGCGGGGTGGGTGGAATCGGGGAGGTTTCTTTGTATGATGGGGTTGGATGTCGTTGTCTTCATCGTTGACGTGATTATGGGATGGATCGCTGCGATGGGGAGGTGGTAGTTGGTCGTCGTCGAGGGCTGCTTGGGGTGCGTCGTGTGTCGCTGGTACTGTTTCATCGTTTCTCTCGACCGGGGCTTTGACCCGTTTTCTACCGCGGCGCTTCGTATCCCCACTTCCCGGGACCGTTCCAGCGCCAGTCTCCAGGACAGCAGCACGGGCTCGTCGATGTCGGCTGTCATTGGGTGCGGAGTGCAAATGGGCGTCTTGGACTTGTTGCATGAACTCGGGGTCGCGGCTGAGGCGGCGGATGAGGCGTTTGGAGAGTGGGATGGTGGTGGCGGAGTGGGGTGTGCGGGAGGCGGGCGTCGCTGTTTGATGTAATGGAGAAAAGCATGGGATGGGAGATGCGTCAGGAGTGCACTGACGATCGAAACAACAAAGTGAAGAGAAGAGTGGTGATGTGGCTAGCTATATGCTTACACTCCTTATTTTCGGCTTTCGCGGCGAGAGTCTGTGCACGGAACACGAGTATAAAGCGAGAATTCGGATTGCTCTAGGAAACGTTAAAGATGAGCATTCAGCGGTCGCAGAAAACAGCTCCAGCATCTGTCAGTTAGGAGGATGGCACGCATCTCCCACAAAGTATTACTTTTAGGAACTCCCTCTCCCTATATGACTGCATGATGTCTTTGCGTGGGAAGTTCAGTTTCGCTTCAAGCATGGAGAGGCAAGTTTCAGAACGCTAGGCGGGAGGGGTCAATGCAGGATAGGATACTATGGTTCCTTACCAGCGTCGCGCAATACATTAGGTTCCGCCTCGATGTATAGTGGGTTGCGGTGTTTGTCATTGGATGTTGGTATGAGTGGCGGAAGCCTGCGAAATGGGTACAAGCATATACATTCATGAATTTTTGAGAAGATCTTGCATACGTCGTATATTTAGCGTCTGCCTACCATCTGACCGTGGACAGTTTGGCCAGCGTGTTGTACGCTGGATCGGTGGGATCGCATGGCGTTGCGGCGCCCGCTGCAGAGATCTCGGCGACGATGGTTTGAGGGTCGGTGGGGTACACTGCAAAGGATAAGGTACACCTGAGCACTAGATCTGGTCGTCCATGACGAGCAAATACAAACCTACCAATTGATTTCAACCGAACGGCATGTTTGGAATCTGGCATATTGTTGAATGCTACGGCTATGCGTGGTCACTTGCTTTGGAATCTACTAAGTTATTGATATTGAGCTAGAGGATGCTATGCTGCAGGCGCCAGTATGCGCTTTGAACTCGGATGAGAAAGAGAGGTCTGAGGGTCTAAGCTGCGAACGTTCGGGTGAGGCTTTCTGGGCTCAGTCTGCTGCAATCAGATAACTTGGATAGCTGGATCACCGGAGGACGGGAAGTGTCTCAGAACTAGGAAGGTGATATCCGCACTCTACATCAAGTCCCCCAGAGGGTGGCGCACAGAGGGCTGCTTGCGTCCTGTCAATATGGGAATCCCGCTGATTTCGACAGCGCGGTTCCGCCTGTGTTCTCCAGTTGCTTCGCTGTCACCCGCTGCTTCCCAAGTTCAACTTCAACCCTCACTTACCTTGACAGTCAACCATCGGGGAACCCATAACATCATCGCAATGGCAGCCAACTGCATCTTCTGCAAGGTATGTTGGGCCTTGCCATATTTGCAAGAGCTTGGTCCTCCCTATACCAGTCAAGCCCCTCACACGTTTTTTACTCTCCGACTCGCAGATCATCAAGGGAGCCATCCCGTCGTTCAAAGTGATAGAGACGGAGCTCACCTATGCGTTTCTGGACGTTGGACCTATCGCTAAGGGACATGTGAGTAATGACTGGTATGGGCTGCCTTTCCAATTTGAGGAAGCACCGAACGCTGACTTTGGAAGTAACAAACGCAGACTGTGAGTAGGAGGCGATGAGTGCACCGTGCTGGGTTACGTGGAGAAAAAATGATGGACTCAACAAACTTCACCATTGGATGCTCTCTTGCCGCATGTGATGCAAACAGTTGGTGATTCCCAAACGTAAGTGTATGGGCATGATGGGGAGTACGCGTCAGAAGCGAAACGGATGATGGTGACTCGATAACGGATGATGGTGACTCGATATTGTTTGATTTCCTAGAACATGCACAATTCATGCACGAGCTCTCCGACGAGAGTCTCGCTGACATCCTCCCCGTCGCAAAGAAGGTCGCCAAGGCGCTAAATGTGCCCAACTACAACGTTCTCCAGGTAGGTCATCGAACCGTTGTTATATCCCTGACGCACCGGCGTCTCTACTTATACCCCTCTCTCCCCTATCAGAACAACGGAAAACTAGCCCACCAAGTCGTAGAGCACGTGCACTTCCACATCATCCCCAAGCCCAACGAGACCGAAGGCTTGGGCGTCGGGTGGCCGGGCAAGGAAGCCGACAAGGCTGAGCTGAAGCAGTTGGCCGAGAAGCTGTCTGCTAGCATGTAGATTTCTGTAGGCTGGTTGATCACTTTCAATATAATGTGGCTTTGTAGATTACGAGTCATGTATGTACATACTATCCAAGTCCATAAAACATCGTTCTATCACTCTCATCAACTCCGTGCATGCGATACTGGCGCTCCCGCAGCAGCAGCCCCAGGCGCCGTACTCCAAAATCGCATCACCTTCGGCACCGCAATCCTCTCCCCTCCCTTACTAGTATCATCATCCCTCCACTTATCAACAACAACCGGCGTCACACCCTTCATCACCGTTGACGTCCACTCTCCCTCCCCACAGGACGACGCTGGCAGTTCGAAAAGACGTTTGGGCATCAACACCCGTTTGGTCTCGGCCGCGGCGCTGAAGGAGATGGGTTGCCAGGTTTTGAAGACTCGCGGACGGCGGCGGGGAGGTGGGGAGGAAGGGTGCGTGGTCAGGGCGGTTGTGGGGAGGGCGGTTGTGGGGTCGTATGGGACTGTGTCGCCGGTGTTGGATTCCTCTGTCTCATGTACGGTATCTTCATGGGCACCCTCATCCTCTTCTGCGAGTCCAACCCCGAGATCATTCCCGCTCGCAGGCTTCGTGCCCGCCCGCCAATCGCCTTGTTTGGCAGACGATCCCGGTGGAGCCGTGGAAGCTCTCACCTGCGACTCCCCACGCTGCTGCTGCTGCTGCTGCTGATTCAGATTGGCACCTGCGCTGTCCCCCGTCGGCGCAGTCCTCAACCTCTCCCTTCCCGCGCCACTACCCCGATCCCCAGTCCCACTCATCCCCCTCTCCTTGCCATACTCCGACTGCCTCGCCTGCGTTGGTTGCTGTGAAGCACTCATCCCCCTCCTCCCCTTCCCCATCTGCTCCACGGCAGCCGAGAGCGCTTCCTCATGTGTCAACACCGTCCCGCTGGTATCTAACATCACTTCCGCGATCCCCGTGTTGAGATCAGGTGTACCCCGACCACCTCCACGTCCGACACTGACACTGTCCCGCCGCGTGTCCACCCCGCCCTGCCGCGTAACTGCGATCATCGTCCCGCGTCGTTTGCCACCTGCACGGACGGGGACGCCGAATGCGTCGACTTCCATTGTCGTGTCGTCGGCGGGGATGGTGGTGGACTCGCCCGTGTCGATGAGGTCTAGATTAGGCGGTGGGGAGGAGCGGTCGGTCCGTGCGGTGCGGAGGTGGAGGGCGAACACTCCCAGGTCAGTATCCGACATCAGCGCCGTCGGCTCTTTCGCCTTCCCACCACCATTCCGAGGTGGTGGCGTCCCGCTCCTCCCCGCCGCCTCCCCGCTCCGCAGATTCCCCACCACCCCGCCCCCCGTCGTCCCCCGGCTCTGCACAAACGCCACGGTTCGTTTCCGGTTCCTCGTCGCAGACGTGTACATCGCCACCCTGCTCGCCAACCGTGTCCCCGCCGGGCCGGCCTTCTCCTCACTGTTCTCCGTCTCTTCATCCGGGATGTCTTTGTCTAAATTCGGGTCGTTGTATTTTTCTTTGAAGCGGCGGAAGGCGGCTTCTGTGCGGAAGACTTTGGGAGGGGCGGTGGCGGTGGGGGATTGGAACTGGCCGGCGGCGAGGAGGCGGAGTTGGACGCGACGCCAGATCTGTTTGCCTGTGTCGGCGGTGCTGGGTTTCTGTGATTGCGTTGTGGGGGTGAAAGGTTTGGAGGATGGTGTTGTGATGGGACGGCTCGCGTCGTCGCCGCTCACATTTCCGACCTCGTCAGCAGGTATTCCTTGTCGGCTAGGCGGCGGCAGTACTTTCCGCCCCGCCTCTGTCCGAACCATGCGCATGTCGGCTGCTTGGGCGTGGTAAGCTGCCGATTTGTGCAGGGTGCGGGTGTGGAGACGTCTGGGGTGGCTTTTCGCGTTGGATGCTAGGCGTCGAGGGTTGGTAGGAGCACGATGGTGAACCGCTGCATCACCGTCTAGATGTCGGTCTTCGGAAATGAGATTCGTCATCGACCGCCGCGGAAGGGATACGTCGGCGCTGCTTGTCTGGAGCCCGGTAAGGACGGTGCGGGAGGGGTTGTGATGCAGTGGAATGGATTGGATGCTGCCTGTGTAGACGGGTGGTGGTGCTTTGGGTGGATGGTGCTGATTCGAGGAAGTGGTGTGCGCGGGCTGGGACTCATCTACGGTATCGGGGATGCGAGAGATGGCTTCGAGGTAGCGACGGCGCTGTTGGTGATGTGAGTTACAAAAGGGACTCATGAGCGCATTCTCGTTTCCAAGATTTTGCACGAAGAGACATCTCCCCACTCACCTCCCTAACACCCTCCCTCCGTGCCCTGGCCTCCTCCCTCTCCCTCGCGACCCTGCGTTTCTCCAGCACCGTCGACCTACGATCAATCGCGGCCTTCTGCACAGCAACATGCTCGGCGAGAAGCGTGCGGCGGGTGGCGGCTTCTTGCGCTTTCATGCGGTCGATGTAGGAGAGGAGCTCTTCGGCGCGGCGGAGGCGGAGGAGTTCTGATGCGGATTGCTGTTGGGTGAGTTTTGATGGCGGCATTTTTTTGGAGGATTTTGGGGCGTGTGATTGTGCTTGGGATGATGGTTTGGCTGAATGATATACTGTAGTTTACACCTAATGAAAACCGTGGTTGGAAGAAGTGACGCTATATATGTAATCGCTTGGAAGGTATGCAAGGCACGGAGGGAAACCAGGCCGAGGAGGGATGGGTGGAACAGCGAGAGTGTCCGAAGGCGAGAAAAGCCCGCCGTGGGAGCCCTTTTCGACAGCGCGCGTGCCGTCACTCTCTTCCCCTTTCGCCCTTCCCTTCGCCGTCTTTCGAGCGGGCATCGGACAGACGCTCAGCAGGCATCAGCCCCTCCTACTGTCGACTCTCAAACCCCCAGAACAGCAACACAACCTCACCCCCACAGATGCAGTGCACCCAATCCCAGCCCCCACCCCCCATCCCACCCAGCCTCCTCCCCCTCCTCACAACCCGCGGCTTCCACGTCCACCCAACCTGGCTCTCCGAATGCGTCGCCTACCTCCGCTCCTCAGCCCCCGCGCCAATCACTACCGACGCCCAGCTTCTCGACAACGTCGTCAACCAAATCCTGCTCACGGACCTCAAGAGCGGGATTATTACGCGGAGGGTGATTCCGGGGAATGTCGGGGATGCGCATGGGGTTGTTCTTGGAGCGGATGGGGGGAGGAATAGGGCGGTGGTGCTGCAGGTGGAGGATGTGATGGAGGTCGGGGTATCGAAGCATACGTTGCTGGAGATGGTGATCGACCAAAAACCCAAAAAAGCCGAGCCGGGGATGCCGCCCACCCCTGGGATGCGAAATCGTCCACCGGCAACAACGCCACCACGCGTTAAACTCCCGCGCAAGATGCTCCGGTTGGTCTTGACGGATGGGTTCAGCTGCATCACGGCGATGGAGTGTGGGTTTATTCCGGGGTTGAGTGTTGATATGCCGTTGGGGGTGAAAGTTGGGGTTGAGGGGGGGATGGTTAGGAGGGGGGTGTTGTTGTTGCATACGGGGGTGTGTAGGGTGTGGGGGGGTGGGGTTGCGGAGATGAATGCTGTGGAGCCGGCTGTTAGGTTGGAGGGGGTGTTGAGGGGGATGGTTGGTGGAGGTCTGGGAGGTGGAGAGGGGGCAGGGAATGGCCATGCGCATCCAGGCGGTGCGGGAACTGTGAACATGAATCAGGGTGGTGGGAATGAGAATATGCCGCCGGCGATGCACGGAGGTGCGGGCGGGACATCGAAATCAACATCAGCACAACGATGCACATATCAAGAAACAACAGCCGCACCAACAACCCGTCGTATCTCAGCGCTCCCCCCTATCTCCCACGCAACAACCACCCTCGCACCACCACCACACCCAGACCCAACCGACTCAGACATGGACTACGACATTCCCCTCGACATCGACCTCGACCTCACACACTACATCCCCGAAACGCCCCTTAAAACCCGCCCTCACCCCTCCATCCCTCACTCCACAACAACAACAACAACAACAACAACACTCATAGACACCATAACAGAAATCGAATCCGACAACGACGACGACCTCGCCTTCGAATCCGCCCTCCTGGCCGTGGAGCACGATCTAAGTCTGACGTCGCAGCAGATCGTCTCGCCTTCGGTTGCGAGTTCGGGGTCGACCACCTCTGGTGGAGATGGGACACCTCCAATCAACCATAACGTCGCCGTTGGGGTCGCGTCACCTGCGCATGTTGTCGACGTCGAAGAAGCACCACCACCACCAAATAAACCATCCCCCCCAATAATCAAAACCCCCCTCCGCCGGCGTCGCAAACTCATCCCCCGCCACGCCACCAAACGCCCCTCCCCAACAACAGCCAACCCCTTCCTCGACCTCTCCGCCGCCCTCTCACCTGGGTCCAATTCCTCCGACTCCGGCGACGAACAACCCCTCCCCAACGAAGACTGGGACAAAGACTTGACCGGTTTCGTAGTCAGCAACTCGGCAGGGTCTACACCGTCTTCTGCCGTCAAATCGGTGGGGAAATCACCCGCGTCTCTGAGAGCGTTCTACGCCAAATCTCTCCTGTCGCCGGCGGTCGGCGGGTTGGGGAGACGGGTAGGCGGGGGGTATCGGTTTGCATGGGGACGGTCGACGCCTGGTGTGAGACAACGGGGAGGTGTGGGGGATGGGGAAGATGGGAGTGGGGAGGAGGAGGAAGGGGATTTGACGGGGTTTGTCGTTGCGGATGATGAGGTTGAGATGGAGGAGGAGGATGTTCCGACCGTTTGAGGAGGGGGACAGTAGACTGGCATCCCGTCCCGAAGTTGCAACTGTGGCAACACGGATGTAGAGATGGGCAATCGGGAGATATTCCCCGCCGATTCGGCTGGAATACGGATTCCCGTACCCGCGGACGGGACTCACCGCCAGCACGTTGCAGGCGCGTGCACCAAGCGCATGTAGGGGCGGATAAGTGTCACCTTACTCCTGACGATGCGACAACCCACGACGCCAAGCCAGACCCCACCCTCACCTCGTACCCCCCCCCCCTGCGGTACGCACCCTCGCTCAGACACGTTGCAAACCTGCCCCTCGTCGACTTGCTAAACCAGCTCTCGACACATGCTTCCCATGGGACGCAGGGACGCAGGCGGGCCCAACGATCAGAACCGGGATCCCAGCACCACCCCCACCCACATGCACGCCAAATCCCGCCATCCGGTCCGCGCATAACCCCCCAGTCTTCACGACGACAAAAATCCCCGGGCGTGGTCATCATGTTCTTACTCGTTCGGGGGGGGGGGGGGGGAAGGGGGGGGGGCCTTTCGCTACACGGGGGATTTGGCCAAAAAAACGGGGCTTGCGCAGATCTACATGGCCGCTCAGAATACACCCCGTTTGCGAATTCTATCTACCTTCCCCAACCCCCGCACACCCGCCGCCGGTATCTCACGCACCCAGTTAGTAGTCCCGCCGTCCCCAACGCCCCCATATCCGATACATTGATCCCCCACTGGATATCCCCCCCGGCGTGCCATCTCTCCCATGTTCAGGGTCAGGGTGTGTTTTCATGGCGAGTCGTTTGTGGATGTCGGGAGGGCAAAAAAAAATTGGAATGGCGTATGTATGGAGTCCTTGGTTCCTCGCATGTACCGTTTCTGTGTTTTTTGGGGGCGTCAATACATTTGTGGGTCTCGGACTGTGTATAGTCATGTTTATGTGACTGCTACAATTGGACGAGGGGGGAGTTCCATGTCTGAACCCCCTAACCAAGGGAACCGCCCCTAGGGGATTTGGGAGTAGCGGGGAGGTAAACCGGTTGTCTTCCAGAGTCCCAGCTGGACGGACGGAAGAGGCTCGCTTTTTTTCACCTCCCGTGTGCCTGGACCATTTTTGCCCTCTGCGTTTTCAGGACGCCCCAAATGGATAAATTCGCTCTTTTCCGTGAACCTGTCTCTTTTTCCCTGCCGACCGGCCCGCAAATCTTCCCAAATCCCCCACAGAAGACCACACAAATAGCGATAGGCACAAGCGAGGTTGGGTAGATATCCTGTAGTTTTGTATAATGGTTGTGGGTGTATATCCATGGGTGGTGGTTTCAAGAGATTTTAGGTCTAAACGAAGGCCAAGTCGCGAATGCGCAGCTTAGAAACCGACGATGAATTCGCCGAACCTGTGTGAGAAGAGGGGAGGAGGAGGATTTTGTTAGTTTGTGCTTATCGATGTCGATTGTGGCGTGAGAGTTTCGCAATATGCTCCTCTTCTCCCTCATCCAGAAACCCCAATCCCTCCTCTTGGTCCTCCCATTGTCCCAAATCCCCACACCCCGACCCAAATCTCCTCCCACATTCCCAAAATCCACTCCCAGCGAAATCCCTAGAATACATACCTCTCGTAGTAACCAGGCACCTTCCACTGACCACGCTTGACCATCTTCTCGACGGTCTTGTCGAGTTCCGGGTAAGCCTTTGCGACGTCGTCGACGGTGAGCTGGTCGACGGGGCGGGCCGTCTCGATGTTGGTCAACAGAACCTTGAGCTCGTCTACCTCGCCTTTCACTTTTTGCTGCGTCTTTTGCGCTGCCGCGACCTAAGATTGAGAGAGAGATGGGATCATGAGTTTGTGGGAATTTCGGACTGGTGGACTCAGATGCGTGGCAATTCCGGTGGGAATCTCGGAGATGACGGATGAAAGCGATAACCTGCTCCCTCCGCTCGCGACAAGAGTGCTGGGTTGCGGTGGGCGGAGCGTGCTCGCTTCGCTCGCAAAAAGCGCAACGCTCGGCGATGCTCGCTAAAAAACCGTTGTGGGGGAAGCATTGCGCCAAAGGCGCAATGGCAACTCGCTCCGCTCGGGCTCACTACTCCTCGCGGAGGGTTTGCTCTGGTCGCCCTCGCGGGCACCCATAGGGCTGTCGGCCTCAAGCATCCCTGCACCTCGCTTCGCTCGCCGCGGTCAGCACTCGTCCTAGCTCGCAGCGACCCTTGCGCGAAATCACCATCACCGCTTTGGCTCCCTTGTACGAATCAACCGCACTCGGTATCCCGCGGGCTCTGCTAAGTATCTCTCCCTCCTCTCTGCGTCCATACATACCGCCTTCTGCTGCTGGGCGTCGAGCGCACGAATCTGCTCCCTGAGGTCGTAAGTCGCCGGTTTGAAGCTAGTGAAAGCCCTTTCAGCGTCGTCGACCACCTTCGAGTTCTTCAGCACCGAGCGGTAGTGGTTGAAGTCGATGACGGTAGCGTGGTCCTTGAGATCGGCGACGGTCTTTGTGAGTTCGATGTGCCTTCTGCGGAAAGCGTTTACGGCGGCGAGGGTGTCCGGCTTGAGCTTCTGGCCGAGAGTGGCCCAGTCGACCTTGACGGCCTGGCGAGTGGCGGGGGTTGCCATCTTTGCTGCGTGTGCGGTATATGAGGAAGGATGGGGAGGGGGGGAGATAGCGCAACGACAGGTCGACGTTCTGGGGGGGGTCAAGACGAGGATTGTTGTTGTCGTCGGTCGGGTCCCAACGGGAGCGCTTCGCCAACGCCCGTTTGGGTTGCGCCCGGGGGGGTTAGGGTTGCGCGCTCCCGCCCCTGCACGTGGGACCCTGTGGCAGACAGATGATTTATCTATTCGCGCAGTCAGTCTGACGAGTCATGCAGAGAGAGCAAGACGGACATGACATGATTTACTTAGCAGCCCGCGCGGGTTCTAATCTGATTTGCGAGGAGGCTCCACAATAGGAGTCTCGCAGTAGGGGGAGGGTGGGTGGACCAGCGCGTTGAGAAATCCCTTCGCAAAAGTTCAAAAAGCAAACACAAAACACACACAGACAGACGGTCTGGCAACTGGCAGTCGTCGTCCTACTCGACCTAACCCCCTTCCTCTTTACCTCCACCCAACCCCCGTCAACTACTCCCCCAACAACCCCCCCGAAAACTCACCCAAAATGGCTACTCGTAAGGTCAAATGAGTGCCACTTCCCACCGTCCGCTCCTACTCACGCATGGTTTCGAACAGGTGCTCAATTCGAAAACAGCAACGACATTGGGGTCTTCTCCCGTCTCACAAACTCGTACGCTCTCGTCGCTATCGGCGGCTCTGAGAACTTCTACAGGTACATATCCGGATTCCGCCCGCACGGCAGGGAACTTTGGAAGGGGACGCTGGAGTTGTGAGAAGGAGGAATGGCAGAGTTGGAATGCGGATCGGAATGGACGTGGAAGTGGGGGATGATATAGGGAGGATGGTTGAGAGTATGGAAAGCACGGAGGTCACTAGAAGGGTTCAGCCCATGGAGAATCCCGCTGGCGAGGAAGCTCCCCGTGGAATTGCAGGAGATCAGCCCATTCTCTCGAACAAGCCTTTTTCGTATGCAAAGCCGTACAAGACACCTTCTCAATCTCTATCCTTCCCTCCTCTCTCACTTAGCGTCTTCGAATCCGAGCTCGCAGACGTCGTCCCCGTCGTCCACACCTCCATCGGCGGCACCCGTATCATCGGCCGCTTGACTGCCGGAAACCGCCACGGCCTCCTCCTCCCCAACACCACCACCGACCAAGAAATGCAGCACCTTCGCAACTCCCTCCCCGACACCGTCGCCATCCAACGCGTCGAAGAGCGTCTCTCCGCCCTCGGCAACGTCATCGCCTGCAACGACTACGTCGCCTTAGTGCACCCAGACGTCGACCGCGAGACGGAAGAAATCATCGCCGACGCACTCAAAGTCGAAGTCTTCCGACAAACCATCGCAGGCAACGTCCTCGTCGGATCCTACTGCGCGCTCTCAAACCAGGGCGGCCTCGTGCACCCAAAGACCTCCGTGGAGGACCAGGACGAGCTCTCGTCGCTGTTGCAGATTCCGTTGGTGGCGGGAACGGTCAACCGCGGTTCGGACTTGATTGGAGCTGGGTTGGTGGTGAACGACTGGAGCGCGTTCTCTGGGCTGGATACGACGTCGACGGAGCTGAGTGTGATAGAAAGCATCTTCAAGCTGCAGGATGCTCAGCCGACGTATATTGTGAATCAGATGAGGGATTCGCTTATTGACAGGTATGTGTTTTGAGACACGTCTATACGTTTATCAACAAACGATCATCTCATTGACGTATTTTCTCTTCCGACCACAGCATGGCATAAACAACCCTCTCACCGTCCTACACGTCCCATACTGTTGCGGCCTTTTCGCCGCATCCACCTTCAGAATCCCAACCCCACACATTCCACATATTTTCCACACACAACCCGCATAGAAAACACCCCACCAACCCGCTTGCTTCAGTTCACCCTTCGATCCCCTTTTATTTTTATCTATGTATATATTACATACACAACATTGTTTCACACATACTTTTTTGCATGCCTTATATGAGATGGGATACGCCGGGAATCTGCTATTTAGTTATCTGGAGGCCCACATCCCCGCTTTTGCGTACCAAATGCGGCTCACAGACGCATCCCTGGCTTGCTTGTCATGTCATGCTGGCAAGAATGAGGACGGGCTACCCATTTGCTTCCGACTATTGGCGCGCGGCCGTTTTCGCTCTTAGATGGAACGGGACGCATAAGCCTCTGTCCGGTGGAGTATTGTCCCGAGGTTGCGGTTGTCACATCATTTCTCGTTTTCTCGCGATGGGACTCGCGTATAAATGACGCAAGATTGTACATTTACAGCACGTTTCTCGTCTACGAAACATCCATGTGTTCCATCTCCGCCCCCAACCGCTATCCTACGATTCTCAAAAACAGTCCTATCCTACACCAAATCTACATCAAGCTGAATTCAGAACCCCCCGCATCACCGCCCAAACCCCTCCGGCACGCGACACCTAACCACCCCGCGCTGATCATACACCCCGCTCACGAACGCCACATCCTCCTCCACATCGACCTCAAACACCGTCGACCCCGCCACCACCCCGCCGTCATCGCTCCACACCCTGCTAATGCTCCCATCCGCGGTGATGGCGTCCGCCCACGACGGGGCGGTGGGTGCGTGGCCCTCCGCAAAGGCGAGGAACGCGAGCGCGCGGGGGTGTCCGACGGGGGTGAATGTGTCCGTGACGGGGTCGTATCCGATGTTGTCGGGGACGTAGTCGAGGTTGTATCGGGTGGTGAGTTCGAGATGCGGGGGTGTGTGGCTATCTGTGGACGGGTGGTGCCGGAACGCGAGCACGTCCCCCCCGCTGACCTCCGACACCAGCACCAGCCCCTTCCCGTCCGTTGCGACCCCGTTGGCGCTGCGTAGACCCGTGTACGCCACCGAACAGTCCACGGACCGGGTGAAGTCGCAGTAGGTGAGCCACGCGGAGGGGTACTGCGCGAACTCCTCGAGGGTGCGGAGGGTGCCGGAGCGGGCGGCGTGGTCGTTCGAGACGTAGAAGGCGGTCGGGGAGATGGGGGAGAGGTTGTTTGGGGTGTAGATGTGGGGGTGTTGGATGGTTGTGATGTGGTTGAGTTTCGTGTGTCGTTCTTGTGGTTCATCCAAAGAGGAGGTGGTGGGGGTATAATCGAGCACTTCGACGACCGAGTACAGCGCCGTCTTGTTATACGGCACCTCCGCCCTATGATTCACCACAAAGAGCCGCACGGTCCCGTTCTCCAGTCTCAGACTCGCCATCCCATGCGGGTGGAAACTCGGCAACGGGGGCTCGATCTCCAGCTTTGTCATCCCACCCTCACTTTTCCCGTAATGGTACGCCCAAACAGCCCCCTCGGCGCTACTCCCAAACTCCGCGTCCAGAAACCCACTACCGGGCATCCACCCGCGCGACCCGTCAGCTTTCCGGCGGACGGGGTCGGAGCCCATGAATGCGATCTTTCCCACCCGGTCCATGGCGATGTCTTCTACATTCACGGGATATGCGGCCCCAAACGCCTTCCCTGCGTCGTCTCCATCGGTGAGACGAACACACGCCCTCTGCCCGACATTCTTGACCGTGTGCCGAAACAGGCCCAGGTCGGTCCATAGCTCGGGGACGAAGCGGTTGAGGAGCGTTGCGCCGAGGGTGGTGAGGTGGAAGGGGCCGAGGGGTGTGTCGATTTGGGCGAGGGCGGATGGGGTGGTGAATAGGAAGGGGAGGGCGGCGAGAAGTGGATGTTTCATTGTTGAGATTTGTGTGTGTTTTGGTGGTGACGTGGGCGGCGATGGGCGACGCGAGCAGGCGGAACTTGATCAGCGAGCGGGGCTTGAGCCTGTTGACTCGACGTACACTATGGACCGTCGGAGGCTCTTCCTGGAGGGAGTGGCAGCAGTTGCAATATGAGGTGCTGAGGGGAAGGAGTGCAATGGGAATCAATGGGTTTGTTAAGGGGGCGTTCGAAGACTTTTGAGGCCCTTCCAAAGTGGGCGGGCGGGACTTGTGAGCAAACGCGCGCGTCGCACAATCCGTTCAGCTTTCTCGCGGGCATTTCGCAAACATCCGCCCACTCCTCCATTGGGGAAGCTTTACATATGAGGTTACTGTTGATGTATGCATGATTTGGGATGAAAAGAACATGGCGTAAACGAGCTATGGCGAGGAGACGTAAACTAAACAGGGGTTCCATTCAGAATCAGCTGGTGCATTTTAAACACAATAGTGTATCGATAGCCCGGTTGCCACTTGCGAACCATGTGTTCCAAAGCAAAGGAGCGAATGAACAAAATATCGCCAGGTTGAAAAGGAATACGCAACCCCAGACCGGGAAGACAGAATTTAACGTCTTTGAAGTCGCCGAGGCACACGACAGCACACCATCCGTGTTTGGCGTCCTTCAGGTCACGATGCTTGAGAACGTACTCGTGGATGACAAGCACAACCATCGCGAACGAATTCTGGTAGGGGTTTGAAGCCCAGAATCCTTGATGCTCTGGTGCCATCCGTTTGAACGCTTCCCGGTATTCTTTTGCCATGCCCGGGTCGACCTTGTCGAACATCAGACTAACTGAGAAACAGAGCCGCCGGAAGACCTCGGAGCACAGAAAGCTCTGAGCCGCTGTGTGACGGTAGACGGCGGATTCGGCAGAGATGGAAGGCACTGTTGCCGCTTGCGCTTGCCAGATTCCCAGATTACATGCTCCGTATTCTTTCGGTTGCCCTGGGAATGTTACATGACGTGCATCGTCCATCTTCAGTAGGCTGGTTGGGTATTCTACCATCATTTGCTGGATGGCTTTGTTCAAATCGGCGATATTTGTCGTATGAACGGCGTTATTGACGTACGCGAACAGCGGGAGGCCCTTTGCATCTTCTGCAACGCAGATGGCTGGGGATTGGAAGTGCATTGGACCTTTTCCTCGGAAAGGAAAGCATTCCTATTTAGCTCATACCTCTATCCAAGACCGGGTGCTGGAGGACGGCAACGAGATCTCGTTCATATAAACTCATTGGGGAGTCTTCTTTCTTATGACGTTTCCTTGTTTCGTGATTGTGTTGGGTTGACGTTTAGCGGAAAGCGTGGGTATCACGGCGTCAAGATCGAAAGCAGCGATGCGCATTCTGCTTTTGTTCGTCAGTTGCCGTAGGAGGTTGTTGAGCCATCGTTTCTTGAAACGAGCGTAGTCCGGCGGAATGGTTGGTGTCTCTGGGTGATGTGTTGGGTAAGCCAGTGACCCACTGGACGATATATACCACACCACACCACACCAGCCTACGGCCGTAGCGTAGCTTCCCCAATGAACGGCCACCGCTTAGTTCAATGAGATGGACACACCACACCAACCTTGCAGGCGGGGCTTCTGGGTTTTGGTGACTTCAGCCGTGTTCTCTTTGTTGTCTCGTTTCCGCTTGGTCATGGCTAGCGTACGTAATAGCAAACAATGAGGCGACGGCACCCTGATACCCAGTTCAAATGGATAATAAAGCTTACCCTTAGATATTCTTCGTTGTATTGACGACGCAATGTTCTACCCTTGTCGGCGATACCTCCTTCTCCTTCTCCGAGAGAGCGCGCGGGGGACAGAGCGACGATATGAAAGGCGAATGGGCCACGGAATCTTGGTCTTGATCTTGAAATGCTGAGATTGTGGAGGGAAAGGGTGTTTGCCGACGACGCAGCGGATTCATATGTCCGAGCCTTCAGACTCCTTGAGCAGTCGCGCAGCGTTGGAACGTTGTGAGAGCTTCGCAGGCAGCGGTGATTATTCTGCGCGGAAGGCTGTTATTTCGCGCGGAAGGCTACTGCGGTGATGTTATTTCTGGCCAAATCGCGGCAACAGCTTGTAGGATCTCCTTGGACCCCGGGATCCCCTTGGACTCGGTGACATTCGCTCACTTATTGATCGGAGGCGAGGTATTCCAGAAGTCTCATTTCCGAGAGTACGTCGGCGCTCTGCGCACCTTTGGTCAGATACCGATAGACGAGACGTGTGAGAGCGAGTAGAACTTTGTATAAACTCAATAATGCCTATACTCAAACACTATCAGATCGCTTCTAGCTTCTCTTCTATAGTACAATCCAGCAAGCCCTCTCCGTACTCCGGTGAAAAACCAATCACAGTGAATCGTATGATGTCGTTTGTTTTCGGCGTTACTCTCGTTTTCCAGTGTGTAGAATTCCACAGCTTGAATTTCACAAGATTCCCATGGTACTCGGTGATAACGTCGAAATATGTCGGGTTCGCAGGAAAGGTGTACACGACTCTTCCGATGAACGACTTGCCAGCGAGCGTGAAGTAGGAAACGTTGGCGCAACTTGCGGTGTCGAGCGCAGCGAGTAACTTGATGATGTCCGCCATGGCTTTTCCGTTTACAGTTTGCAGAGGATCGAGGATGGAGAAGCAAGGCCACCTTTTGTTCTCTCCAACGATACCCTTTGCGCAGTAGGTTCCCTGAGACATCTAGCCGCGGCTAAATGTTGCTGGGAAGACCTTCTCGAGGTATCATCGTCTCGATACTGTTACTGGCTGATCAACTCACTCTATAGAGAAGCGCGTGAATCCTCCCACAAGTCGGCTTTCGGCTACTGTCTCCGAGAGATGCTGTTTGACCGGCTCCACGGCCCTGGTTTCACTGTCAAACAACGCGTCGGAGTTCTGGATTCGATTACGTACAACGCATTGTGCCGTCAACTCAGTCATATATCCCTAACCGCCTCGTTGCGACGACAACAGCAATGCCCCATACCTCCACTGGCTCGGACACAAATACATCATATATTACTTTGAGGACTATCTGCATTTGCCCAAGGCAGGTTTAGCAAAGAACTGTCAGCTAAACGAACATGCCACTAGAGGCGGGAGAACTTTGCATACATATCATTTGGGGAACGAGTACCTCATAGGATACTCAACAGATCTGTCTGATGTCTTCATCAAGCATAATGATATTTCCGAATGGAAATATGTCAACCTTTCAACGAGCAATACACGAACGAATGTAAACGGCAGGGCATTCAACCGGATAATACTTCAAAGGCAACCCATCGCGTGCATCAAGATCCATCCTAACCGCTACGTGCGATGCATTCGGTCGTATCACGCGTTGCGCCGGCTGAGGCGTGCTCTAAGTAGTGATCGCGCCAAGGAGGCATTCAGGCGCTGGAATGACGCACTCTGGGCGCCTTACGGGGTTTTTGTAAACAAGACATTCCACGACGGTGAACTACAGTTAGCTAACCGTGCATGTACATTGCGCGAATGAGCCTACGAGAGCAGCCTATGTGCCAGCGCACGGTAAACCTCAACGACGCTGGCCACGATTTTCAGCTTGATGTCCTCATCTGCATCCGGAACTGGCGTGCTCATGAATCGCCGCAAGCGTTCGTTGGCTACGATCGCCACCATGCGTGTATCCGACGTCCTGAGCAGATCTGACAGGATCTCCTTCGCTTCGGTTATGTTCGTCTTGGTGAGAGGTATGTCATATTCATGGAACTCGGTCATAAAGCGGTGCTCGGTATCGAGGGACAGGACACCTAGAGAAGCCATGACTTTTGTTGTGCCGGCGCGTTACCCTTTATACGAATACCTGCACTCCACTGGAGGTCGCGTTTTTTTTATCATCGCACGTCCACAAGCACACCATGGTGACTATTATTGTCCTGTTTGTGGCCCTGCTCTGCAGCTGTCTGATGGCGACCGGGTTAAGCGGCGGGTGGTACTTCCTCCGCCCCAAGACTGTGAGCAACGAGAGCAGCACCCCGCCCAATCCGAGAGCAGCACTGAGGCTTCAGGCGGAACCACGCCGGCGCCTGACTGTCCGCCTAACGAGACGTTCACCCAAGGAGGAAACCGGGCCAATGGAGCGAGATTGCGGGATGCCCCAGTGACTATTACACCGGGACGTTCTCCAAACAATTTTGCAAACCGGACGGGACCTGGGGCACCGATGCGGAGTCGTACGTCTCTGATTGCCGTGCAAAGAAATGCGATGCGGACGGGGGGTTTCCCGAGCTGTCCGTTGGCGGCTACAGCGAGGCGCCTTGTCTGACTGGTTATAGGAGCATGCGGAGGACTAAGTGCACCCTTCAGGGGTTCGAGAATAGCAGTACAATGGACGGATGCTCTCGTGCGACAGACTGCCCTAAGACCGAGGTCAACGGCGTAGTGTGGCCGGCAACCAAGTCGGGTGAGAAGGGCGCGGCCCCGTGTCGGGTCGGCTACAGCGGCCTGCGATATGCGCTGTGCAAGGAGGACGGGACTTTCTCCAACTACATCGACGACAGCCAATGTGTGGCCTTGCCGCAAGATTGCAAGGACACTAGTGGCCTCTGGACTCCGGTCCCGGATGGCACTGTGCAATGGGCTTCATGTCCGTACGCATTCACCGGGAAACGGTCGGCCAAATGTGTCAACGGCCAGTTCGTGATCGATCAATCCCAGTGCATCCCTAAGCCTACGCAATGCCTGGATAACGGCACGTTCCCCACCAGAGGCATCAACTATACGGCAACGGCATCATGCCCTGCGGGCTACACCGGCAGTCTGCTCGGGACGTGCATAGATACCGGCATCTGGGATACAAACACGTCAGGATGTGTGCCGATGACTTGCCCATCGGACGGCGTTTTCGCAGACACGAAGGTGGACATGCCTGTGTCGGCGCCCTGTCCCACCGGCTACACGGGACAGCAGACCTCGAAGTGCGGGACGAACCTCAAGGTCGAGCCGGCCGACAGGAGTAAGTGCGTGGGATCTCCTCGCGACTGTGGGACGGATGTGCACGATGTCCTGGCGATGTCCGAAAGCACGCTCGACTTCGGACACAAAACATATAGAGCGAAGAGCGATGAATCAACATGAATGCTAAAAATGCTCACCATCCATCGCCCGCCCCGCATTCAGAGTTACGAGCGGACTGCTTTGCGCACATATTCAAGAAAGCCGGCCAAGGAACTCGCCAAGTCTCCTTCACATGTTGCTTTCGAGAGCACTGGCTTCACCTCGCACATAATCATGATGAAAGATGGAGGAGCTTGGGGATGCACGCAACCAAAGGCATGTCTCGATCCACTTTGTATTGTGGAGGGTGATGTTTGCGAGCAATGACAGCATATCTAGATGGACTTGACTGACGAGACGGGTTGCCGACTCGGAGTGTCGGTCGAAAAGAGGAGAGACTGGTCAGTCCGATGGCTAGTTCTGTAGTAAATGCCATTTGACGTGCACGCTCTATAAGGGTGTAGAGGCTCTGCATCAATGAATGTCAACGTTTTGGCTGAAGGAAAGGCGCGGAAGAAGACCGAAGAGAACTTGGATGAAGGGGAACAGAGGATTCCAAGTCAAGGATAGCGGGCGGGGTGGTGGGGACAGCGCGTAAGGAAGCGGTTTAGCAGCGGTTGTTTATCCAGCGAGCGGATCCGTCTCGAGGGCCCTTTCCCAACCCCCTCCCGGTCCTGCCTCCATGCCAACGCAACCGTTTGCCGTGCGCTTCCTGGCACTAGCAACCAACCCCTTCCTCCGCCACCAGCCTGCGTCTTCTGTTGCCCACCACAAGTGAAGCCGCTACATATACCTAACCTACTCACACGGACCAGGTGTTCACTGCAACCGGTCCATTTCGAACTTCCTTCCGCTTTCTCCCACAACTTCGGGAACGGGACAGCCGTTACTCTCTGAGAAAGCACAAACGCTCTTGGGATATACAGGAACAGGGCGGGCTACTTCACCAGCATCGACACTTTCACCTCTTCGACTCTGTAAATTGCTTCATACTATCACGATGGAGGGCATCTTGGACTTTAGCGGTGATCTAGACACTGGGCTGTTCGACGGCGTCGTTAACGCCATGTTTGTGTATGGGCCAGAGGTAAGGACAGGGTCATCTGCGACGCAGACCTCTTTTGGTGAGATGCCAGGAACATGAATGTGTAGGGGGCACTGACACTGATGCCCGTTGCAGCAATCGGTGGCGAATACAGTCCTCGAGCAATTCAGGCAGCACCCCGACGCTTGGAAGAGGGTGGACGCTATCCTTGAGCGGTCACAGGTTTTGCAGTCCAAGGTAGGTGTCTGGCAAACTTCTCTGGGATCGTTTGATGGGCACCTCTCACCGTACCTCTCGCAGTATATCGCACTGTCCATACTGGAGAACTTGATCAAGAGCATGTGGAAGATCCTGCCGGAAGATCAGCGAGCAGGTACGTGGATCGGATACACCTGGAAGAGACCACTGGCACCCTGCTCAATCAGTGTCCCACAAACCCTAGGCATCAAAAATTTCATTGTTGCTTTCATCATCAAAAACTCGTCCGACGACGAGACACTGGAGAAGAACCGCCTGCTGCTTTCGAAATTGAACATCGTTTTGGTGCAAGTACGTATTCTGCGTAATGCAAGGGACCGATTGTTGGCATGGCTGACGAAAACGCTTTCAAAGATATTGAAGCAGGAGTGGCCACATAACTGGCCGACGTTCATCCCGGAGCTCGTCACAGCCAGCAAGAGCAACCTCTCACTATGCGAGAACAACATGAACATCCTGAAGCTGCTGAGGTATGTTGTGCTTAAGTTTTGACCCAGCTCACCACTCTGTGGGCTCACATCCTGATTCTTCTACAGCGAGGAGATCTTCGACTTTTCCGCCGAGCAAATGACGTCCGTCAAAGCGAAAAACCTGAAAAACACCATGTGTGCCGAATTCTCCGAAATTTTCCAGCTCTGCCACGAAGTCCTCGAAAAGGCGCAGAAGCCGAGCTTGATCAACGCGACGCTGGAGACATTGCTGAGGTTTCTTAACTGGATTCCGTTGGGGTATATCTTTGAGACCAACCTTATTGAGGTTTTGGAACGGCGGTTTTTCACCGTTCCGGTGTTTCGAAATGTGTCTCTGAAGTGTTTGACGGAGATTGCGGCCCTCCAAGTCCACGAACCGGCGTACGATGAAAAGTTTGTGAAGTTATACTCGATCACCGTGGAGAGCATACCAGCTATGCTTCCTGTGGAGACTGACCTCAAAGCCACTTGGGACGACCTTTCGGACAACGACCAGCAGTTCGTGCAAAACCTCGCTCTCTTCCTGACCAGCTTCTTCAGTGCACATGTCAAGGCGCTTGAATCCGCCACCCTCGTAGAGACGAGTCTGAAACAACATCTCATCATCGGCCACCGGTACCTGCTCGCCATTTCCGCGGTCGACGATCGGGAGCTGTTCAAGATCTGCCTGGAATACTGGTACAAACTTGTCGGAGAACTGTACGAAGAAAAACACACCTTCCCCGGAACCGTCGAGGTCCCCCTCCTCAACCTCGCCGGCGTCCGTTCCTCCTTTGGCAACAACCAACCCATGAGGAAGGACATGTACCCCGAAGTCCTGTCCCGGCTGCGCACCATCATGATTGAGCAGATGGTCAAACCCGAGGAAGTCATTGTTGTCGAGAACGATGAGGGAGAGGTTGTGCGAGAGTCGTTGAAGGAGAGTGATACGATTGTGCTGTATAAGAGTATGCGGGAGACGCTAGTGTATTGCACGCATTTGGATGTGGAGGATATGGAACGGATCATGTCGGATAAGCTGAGGGGACAGGTGAGGTTCCCACTTCTCATTCGAACATCTTTCTCGAATGTCAACCCAACTCAGATATCCAATTCCCACAGGCCGACGGCTCCGAATGGTCCTGGACAAACCTCAACAAGCTCTGCTGGGCAATCGGCTCCATCAGCATGGCCATGTCAGAAGAAGTCGAGAAGAAGTTCCTCGTCACGGTCATCAAGGAGCTCCTCAGCCTGTGCGAGATCAAGAAGGGCAAGGATAATAAAGCGATCGTTGCGTCGAATATCATGTATATTGTGGGGCAGTACCCGCGGTTCTTGAAGGCGCATTGGAAGTTTTTGAAGACGGTTGTGAATAAGTTGTTTGAGTTTATGCATGAGATGCATGAAGGTAATGTGCGAGCAGTGTTTGTGAGCGTGACACGGTAAATGAGTTGGTGGAACTTACACGTAACTTTGGTCTGTTTTCTCTAGGTGTACAGGAAATGGCATGCGACACCTTCATCAAAATCGCGCAAAAATGCAAACGACACTTTGTCGCCCAGCAGCTGAACGAGCACATGCCGTACATTGACGAGATACTCGACTCGATGGATATCATCACTAGCGATCTGGCTACCCCGCAGCTGCATACATTCTATGAAGCGGTCGGGTACATCATCTCTGCGCAGTCCGAGCGCAGGGCGCAGGAACGGCTTATTAATCGGTTTATGGAGGGGGCCAACCGCGCGGTACGTTTTGAAACCGATCACATTCGTTAGCTGGGAATTATCATACCCTCTGCTTTCCTCATCACCCCTTTCCCTCTCAAATAATAGTGGGACAACTACATAGCCCAAGCGCGCATCGAGCCCAACATCCTCGAAAATCCGGAAACGGTCAAGATGCTCGCCAACATCATCAAAACGAACATATCCGCCTGCACGTCCGTCGGAGCTACGTTCTATATCCAGATTGCGCGCAACTACCTGGATTTGCTAGCGCTGTATGCTGCGGTGGGCGGGTTGATTTGTCAGCAGATTGAGGTCAAAGGTGAGTCAATCTTGGATCTTTCTTGGGCATTTGAACCAAGATTTTTAATCAATTGTATTTGTTCATGTAGGATACATCGCAACGGTAACACCAACAGTCCGCGTCCTCCGCACGATAAAAAAGGACGTCCTCCGGCTCGTCCAAACCTACATCAGCAAAGCGGAAGACCACGCCACCGTCATGCACAACCTGATCCCGCCCCTCCTCGAGACGGTGCTAAGCGACTATGCGCGCAGCGTCGAGCCGGCGAAGGATGCGTTTGTGTTGCATGTTTTGGCGAATATCATTAATAAGCTTGAGGTGGGTGGTTTGTGTGTGTTTGTGAAGACGTTTGTTGAGGTATGACACTGACTTTTTTGAGTTGTTTGTCAGAGTGCTATGAACGAGCAGGTTCCTGCCATCCTTGACGCTGTGTTTGAATCGACGTTGAATATGATCAATAACAACTTTGAGGATTACCCTGAACATCGTGTTGGGTTCTTTAGCTTGATGCAGGCTATTAACAAAAACTGTTTCCAAGGTGGGCAAAACGAGCTCCCAACATCTGCTTCGTATCCGCTTTACCTGCTGCTGAAAAGATCCTTGATTTCAGCCCTCCTCCGCCTCCCACCCCCCCAATTCCGGCTTTTCCTCGACAGCATCGTGTGGGCTTTCAAGCACACGATGCGGGACATCAGCGACGTTGGCCTCACGATCATCCTAGAGATGTTTACAAACTTTGAGAAACTGGCCGACCCCGTGACCGCGAGCGGGTTCTACCAGAGTTACTTTTTGAGTCTGTTGCAGGATGTGTTTTTTGTGTTGACGAATCCGTTTCATAAGAGTGGTATGTATCGGAGTGGGTTGTGGTTGGGATTCAGAAAGGCACGGTTACTGACTTGTCGGTGATTTATTTATTAGGCTTCAAACTCCAAACAATGATCCTCCGCGAGATGTTCACCTTGGTAGCCGACACGACGCAGCCGCCGAAGCTGACGGTGCCGCTGTTTGACCGCGCGCAGGTGCCGGATCCGACTATGACCAACCAGCGCTTTGTTGGGGAGTATGTCATGGATTTGTTGCAGAGGGCGTTTCCGCATTTGCAGAGGTGAGATAAGAGAAAACGCTGATTTTGTATGTTGTTGGGGTGGAAGGTTCTTCGGGAGTGTGTAGCTGATACGACTCTTTTCTGATTTGGTTCAGCGCGCAAATACAAAAGGTCGTCGTAGCTTTATTCACCACCTGCTCAGACGAACCGGCGTTCAGGACCAATTTGCGTGATTTCTTGGTTACCTTGAAGGTATGATGAAATCACATCCCCCGGTTGCACGCGTTGATTGTGAACTGACCCTGCTTGTTGGATGTAGGAATTCTCGGGCACGGATAACAGCGAGCTTTTCCTGAGCGAGCGGGAAGCCGAGGCGGAACTGAAGAAGAAGAGCGAGCTGGAGAAGGCGTTGCAGGTGCCGGGGTTGTTAAAGCCGAGTGAGATGTAGGTTTTTTCGTGACGGAGTTGTGGCTTGGATTTGGGTCTTTTTTCGCTGAACATGTTGATTTTTGCTCTTTTTGGCAGGCCCGATAACGGTATGGGGGAATGAACGAATGGACTCATTCCGCGTGCATGAACCAGCGCCTCCCGACCCGGCAACCACACAAACACATATAATCGAACATACAGCGGAGAAGATGGGAGAGGAGGGACAGTTGGTATCTGATCTTCTTCTGCTCCAGAGATTAACAGTCTCACCCCTTATTCCTCGCCCCTTATTTCCGTACACATCGCATACCCCTGCTGCAAATACTTCGCACCAAACACAACATATCTGAGTCATATCACCCCCCCCCCCCCCCCCCCCCCCTCCTCTCCCTTCACTCCCATGGTCGCGAGTTGGATTGAGATTTGCGTAAATGGTGGTTGTACGTAGGCTGTACATTTCAACATTGTGCTTATGATGGTTAGGGGTGTGTGTTGGGGGGTTTCCATGTGCTGCATCGGACATGGCCGAAGAACGCGTGACCGAAGCGGTTTTCACAAACTCCGTCCTCTCGATCTCCCATGGCGCCGGCACAAAACGATCTCCGCAATGCCTTCCACAGTCCCCTATACCTCCTGGATAACCTCCCAAGCAGCTCCCTCGAGCATCACACTCTTCGACATCCAGCTCCGTAACCCGGAAATCGTCCTCAACGCGCATCCCCATCGCCACGCCAAAGCAGGCGCGCAGCTGGATGGATATGTACGCTTGCACCTGAAGACCGCGTTGAGCATGGTCGCGGCGATAAAACTGAGGTTCGTTGCGGGCGCGGTGGCGAAGCTGGATGAAGTCGAGGTGGGTGGTGGGGGGTTGCGTACGTAGTGGAGGGGAATGGGAAATGGGAATGAGAACGTTTCGCGTTTTAACCCAGTGATCTACGGACAAACCCCCCGCGCAGTTCAACGTCAACCTCCGCGGCCCGCAGAAGCTCATCGACCGCACCATCACCCTCTATTCCCACTCCGATGCCTCACCAACCCTCACACCCCGCAACCACACCTTCCACTTCGGCCTCCAGATCCCTTCCCACATGCCGCCGTCGACATCAACCCCACGCGCGTTGATCCAGTACGTTGTGCTCGCGGCCATCGAGTGGCGGAGTGCGACGGTGTGTGGGGTGCGCGTCCCGTTTTGGACGTGGGAGGATGTTGTGACCAAACGGGAGGTGCAGGTGCGGAGGGGGCCGGGGAGGGTGGAGATGGGGCGGGTTGGGGGCTTGGAGTTTCTGGAAGGGGATGGGGATGGGGATGGAGAGGGACAGACGGTGTGGATGCCCACGGCGGACGTCAAAGTGGTCATCCCGACCCGGATCCCGATCTCCGCGGAACGTGTACCGGTGACGATCGAGTGTGCGGCGGAGGTGGCGGTGGAGCGGTTTACGTGGTCGTTGAGGCAGGAGTCGCGGTTTGAGTTCTTGTACGTACGTGCCGTTTATCTCTCCTTTCTGCAATGAACGATCGACGGGTTGAGACTGGGGGCTTACTCGCAACTCTTTGTAGGTATAACCTGGCAGTAAGAGGCCATCTCCGCCCACCATGGGGCGCCTCGGAACCCAAACAGCTTGAGGAGATTGAGGTCCTGCATGAGCTGTTCACGTATACCCCATCTGGCGGGGATACCGAACAAGAACGTCATACGCTGAAGGTCCCGTTTCTGGGCGATGATCTGGATCGTGACGTGGTGGCCGTCGAGAACATCGAGGTGGGGGTTTTGGTTTCCGTTTTACACGTCTTGGCAACTTCCAGGGACATGCTCACCATCCCCATCCCACAGACAGAGGTAATAACAATCCGCCACTACGCCCACCTCACCCTCACCCACCGCCCCCCCAACTCTTCTTCACATACAACACAAATCGACATCCCCATCCTATTCTATCAACCCTCCACACTCCGTTCATCCCATGACGACACAGAAGACTTGTATGATGGGGGCGAGGCGAAACCGACGGCGGAATGCTTCCTCCCCCCGGGTGCGGAGGCGTGTGTGGGGAATGAGCCGGGGGAGAGGTTAGGGGACGGGGAGGGAGTAAGGAGGCGGAGGGGGTGAGTGGGTTATGTTTGGGAGCGTTGAGGTTTCGCCATCTTGTTATTTGGTGGTCTGAGGGTACCTTTTTGGAGTATCTATTATGAAGAGTTTGAGTTGAGTCAGCGTGCATCTGCTGTGCGCCTCCGTGAGCAAGTGGGAACGGACACCATTTTTGGGGCTTTTACCTATCTTACAACCTATGTTTTACGCTCGTAGAACGGACGTTGGGACTTTTATGGCTAAAATATATTCGAATCATTTAAGGACAAGTTCAAAAGAACTCCCTTTTCCATGCAAAGGTTGAACGTGATGGAAGATACATTAGTAAGAGGCGCATATAAATGAATCTTTACAATGCTCGTGCCGCACGCCGCTTCTAGTGTATATGGTGCTTTCACACGGTTTTTCTGTATCAAAAGCTAGCGTTCAATCCTTCCATGTCCGTCGGGATCTGCTTTCCATTCTCATTCCTTCGAGACGATCATCATGTACTTTTCCCACATTACACCTTCGACAAAACTGTTCGGGTAATGTGTTGAAGAAGATAGTTGATCGCCGGACGCTCTTGTTGCGGTGTGGAATGAGTAGCTTGGGAGCAGGGATGTGCGGCGACGAGGCGGCACCGTGGGATATCCAGCTGTCATGCCGATTGTTCATTGAGTATGACTTGTCTTTCCAGAGCACTCCTCCGAGACATTGTTCCGTAACGTAATGAAGATGATGTTGGCATCTCGTCTGGATTCGCGGCTCGCTGGATGATGAGATGTTTCGTTAATGCAGGGATGTCAGGGATGAAGTGCCACCGTATCCAGATGTGATACCAAAGTGTTCACTGCTCGAAACCCAGGAGCTTCTCATGCCGTTGTGTGAGAAGGCTTGGGATTCCCAGAAGTTCATCCCCCATTTCGTTTCGAACACCCATCCGCCGAATGTTCCTTGCGCACGCTTACGAATCAAAATGCACCGCAATCCTTCCACCCTCCCGAGACGCCGACATCAGCAACCCCGCCAACCCCTCAAACACGCCGCCCTCCCGCAACGCCGCGGCCGTCATATGGAAGTCCCATACGGGCGCCGTAGGCGGCGGCGGCGGCGGCGGCGAGTAAATCGGCGGCGAATTTATTGGCGGCGAGTACATCCGCTGATCCGCGGTGGTGCTCGGAGAGTAGGCGTAGGGGCGGAGCATGCCGATGGGCGCGGCGTTCGGGAGCATGTTCCCGATATTGGGGAAGGTCAGGAATGGATTATGGGTTGCGAGTTGGGTGCGCGGAAGGGTGTGTCGCCGGATGGGGCCCACCACGTCCGGGGGTTGAACTTCCTGGGGGGGCTTCCCGTTTCCGTGGTTGGTGTCGGGGAGCACTGATTGCGTGCTCATTCCGGGGATTGCTGTCATGAGATTGCCGCTGCCATTGCTCGATCGGCTTTCTTGATTCACGAGTTCCGACGATTTCTGAATTCCGCCTTGATCCAATGGCCGGTGTCCGCTCGCGCCGTTTTCACCCCTGGTCCGCACACTGCTCGTGAGTTTCACTGTTTCGCCAGCACCAGTCGGAGACCGAAGTCGCCGATCGTCACAGCCAAACATCATCGTGTTTCTTGCGAGTCGTCTGACCGTCTTAAAACCTTGTGTTTCCAGCGCCTGCAAATTGCGGTCTTGCGTAGTCGCTTTAGTGCCGACTCCTTGTTTCCGCTGGCTCAAAATCTTTTGCAGAGCAACATCCATCTCCTCACAGGGAGGAAGCGTGCGATCGGACGGAAGCACGGGCGCGGCGGGCTCTGTGTTCAGATCGTTCACATTGAGGTCTGAGTATGAGTCGGAGTCATCGAACGTTCGCTGGCTGGCCCTATCAGTGTCGCTAACTGCGTCCTCCTCATCTTCGTCGCTGGTCGCGTCGGAAAAGATGTTCACGGAGCTCTCCGAGATCATGTGTGCCGTGGCGGGTGTATCTTCCCGCTCGTGGAGGCGGACGTTGGGTGCCTCTGTTTCCATAGCCATCTGTTTGACTGCATTGTCGCTGGCGGGTTCCGTTCGCTCGGCCGCCTTGTCCGTGATCTCGATTTCCTGGCTCTCAGAAGAATCCTCGACATCGCTGATCTCTGAGGAAGATGGACTTGGCCGCTCCTTCCTTTTCCCAGCATTCTGTTCTGGTGGTTGAAGGGTTGGAGTCTTCTTGGCGGTTTGCCTGGTTGCAGCCTTCTTGACGGATCGAGTTCCGTGCGCTCCCCACGTCTCACTCCCCGCGAGTGTTGCTCCTTGTAGCTTCCTTGTCTCAACAAGCTCCCGCAATACTGCAAATCGCTCATCTTTACTCAAGTCCAGCCCATCCTGTCGCGTGCTCCTGATATAGTGGTTCAACGACCTGAAACAGGTGGCTATGGATGTGGGAGGGTACAGGTAGCCATCTTTCCTTTTGAGCTGACGAAAGAAGCCTTGCAGAAAGCCGTTCAGCTCATCGAGAGTCATGCTTGGCAGGGCCATGGATGTGAATTTGCCGTCGGAGACTTCGGATGCGTATTTGTCAACGGCGTTAAGCCACCCCTGAACCTGCGGCCTAACATTTGGCGGTACTGCCTTGGGGGCAGGAGGGCAGGAAATCTTCTGAGACTTCCGAGGCATGGTTACGGTCAAGGCGGGTAGATCTGGAGCTTGAGTTTCAGTGAGTCAAGAAAATCGATAGCGCCGACACCGCTAACTGGGATTTGGAAAGGTGACCCCGATTGGGAGGCTGAATGCATAGTAGTAGGCGTGAGCACGCTCACCTTCAGTTTTACTCAAAACAGCTTCCAATTGGGGGGTCAGGGTGTCAACACTTTCCTTTAGTGTGTGCCGACGTTGCTGCTTCTCGTGAACCGCTGGAACGCAAACCCTTTGAAAAACAAACTCTGAGAAAAAACGCAACCCAAGAGTCTGTTCCCTTGAGCAAAGTCGGGGGGGTGCCTTGCAAATTGGACGAACAGGGACAAAAACTCTGGACTTTCGACTGACGGCATGTGACAAAAAGGGGACACGCTGAGGTGCCTCTCTGACGACACAGATAGAGAACCCCGATGGCGGATTGCTGCATGCCCCACGTCATAGCAGAAGAAGAACAGGAAGGTCCAATCTTGGCCGCTGCGGTAAAATGAAAAAGTGACGGGCGAACCTGTCAGTGATTTTGCATCCGAGACCTCGGAACACGGTGGCCACACCTGAACGCCGAACAGCCGGTTGAAGATGACATGTTTTCAACGGCGCTTTGTTCCATACTCAATATTTCTTACAAGGAAAAGCGGACAAGAAAAACGTTGCACGGAAAGCAGACATCTTCGCCGGCAAGTTTGTATCGTAAGTATGCTTCGATTCTCAGGCTCTCCATCTGCCCTCTCGAACTATGCGTACCGACAGTAATGCGATGGTTTGAGCAGTGCTGTGCCGCCGCGTCCCACTCTACCTCCTCCAATCCAATAGTTTTGCTCCTGATCCACGAAACAAAACAGGCGCGATGAAGTCAGACATATCCGGTTTGAAGGGCCATTCACAACCCGGCAATGCGAACTTGCTGTTACTCTACCAACCATTTGTGCACCAGTACATAAGATGGCCTCCTGAAGCTTGAGCTCGTGCACGGACAGCCCTCATAGACGAAGAAGAAGTCTAGCGATCGATCTTCATGGAGCCAAGCGTGTCAGGGCCGAATGGACGAACTTCCGGTCTGTTCGCAAAGCCAAAACTTGGGAGGAAAACGCGTGACATAAGCCGCTGTCATTCCTCACACTGTCAGTCGTTCGTCTCCGCCTTTCTCACGGGAACCCGCATCTCTTAGGAGATAGCCGCGTTAGCCAGTATCTAACATCACCGACTCCCCAAGGATGACCAGCACGGCAGGAGAGCCCATTGGAGTCGCGACCCTTCACAACGACATCACGGGTCCTATAGCATGGGATTCCGGCCGGACACAGAGACGAATGCTGTCGCATTATGCGGAGGGGTCACATTACAACCCGAGTGTCCCGGCGGTCAGCGGCACGGGGAGATATGCAAGGATCGGGACGAATACAAGGAATGCGAGTGATTTGGTTTTTGCGTTTGGGAGTGTGCAAGATGGTAGGTGTGGCCTTGAGAGGGACGGTACATGACACGCACGCATGTTTTGCATAACCGCTTTGGAACTGGCGGGGGAGAAAGTAGAGAGTTATGCGAGCCGTAGCTGATTTATTTTTCTTGGTTTGATCGCCACTTTGGGCAGATGTACAGCGGTATCGCACAGACGTAGCCAATGCGGAGCGCGAAAGAAGACAGGCGGATCGGGATAGGAGGACGGAGCGCATTCAGCTTCGGAGGTCAGTAAACGAACGGCTTGGTGGAAGAGCGGAGAGACGGTGAATCCCAGACTCTTACCAAGCGCTTTCTGATACTTTTCGGTACGGCAGGAACTGGCTAACGAACATCGATGCTTCGCGCTGGGACCGCATGGCGGACCAACAGGACCACGCCGAGCGGGTGTTGGACACTAGGCGTGCGTCATGGCGGTCGGGACTTAATGGGTAGGTAGGTGTGCGGCACTCCGTTCTGGAACTAAGCTATGATCCCACTCTTTCCATGTCTAACGTTGGTTCCTTTCCCGCAGAGGTGGATACGACCCCGTAACGACTCGGTACGCGCCAACGCCGGCCGGGAAAGATCTCGCGGCGAAGGATCAGGAGGATATGGTATGTACGTTACGAACTCATAGCCAAAGGAACTCTGGACTAACGAAACCCATCCCACACTCCTGCAACGTGCAGCGCCTGCTCGCCAAACGCGCAACAAAGCTCTACCTGCACAATAACACCTTCGATCCGATCCGCGGGGAGGATATCCAGGCGCCGCCAGCCGCCGTCCCAAAACCAAAATCACAACCAGCCGCCGAGCCACAAAAGACACCTTCAGCACCACCGTCCTCCGCCCCGCAACCTACTCTCGCGTCGTCAATACAACAACAACCGCAAGAGCAGAAAGCGGTACCACCTCGCCGCGCCCCGCGCTTCCCCGTCAAAAGCGCCGCCGCGATGCTCGCCCGCATCGTGCCGCCGGATACCCCCGCGTACCGCGCCGGGTTTGAAGATGCTGTGCGGGAGATCAGGGCCGCGGCGGTTGCTGCGGGGCCAAGTGGCGGGAGTGGACGGAGGTGAGTGGGAGGGATGCGCACAAGTGGGAAAGCAGGGGTGTAGCGTGTATGGGTTTAGGACCGAAATATATAGGATTGTTGGGATCAACGCCCAGTGATATTTTTGGTGGGCTGGCTGTTTTATCATCGATATCTTGGGCGGATTGGGTTGCTTCGTAATGGCCCAGTTTGGAGGTGCTAAATACAGTACACCGGATTACGCCCACTTGAGACCGTCCTCTAATCTCTGATCTCAAGTCGACGGGAAACCCGCAGCTCGTTGTTGATCAGACTGCTAACTATAGATCCGCTACATGCTACGCCGAAGGAGCCCCCATGACGGATTGTCACCCCTCTGCCTGCCATAGTCGACTTGTCGCGTGTAAGGCTCCGACGTCTCATCGGATTCGCCATCTCAGCGCACATGTCTGCGGTCGTTGGCATTGAGTGTGGGAACGGAGACGGGAGGGTCCGTGAAACCTCCCTTATCTGCGTCAGATTTCTGGTCCATCTCTCGCCCGCGTTGCTTGCCGTGAGAGACGCGGGGTAGGCGACACGACACAATGGCCGGAATTTGACAGTCTTGGTGGTATCTAGTCCTGATCACCACTCGAGATCTTCAGGCCGGACCGGATGCGGCAGCGGGACGATGCTTTCCTTTCTCACGTCTCGCGGTAGTGCTTTCCTCATATCTGTCAATACGCGAAACGCCCATTAGTCAATCAAATGTACCCTCTTGCCACGAACGGAGGGCTAAGCGGGACTGTGATCGTACCAAACGCATCTTCAGTAGAATCATCAGGTTCTCCACCGCCGGTGTAGTACTCCAGCACGCGGCGATAGACGGAGTATCCGAACTTTTCGTACATCCCTATTGCGACTTTGTTGGAGACGCGGACAAAGAGGTCGACGAAGAAGGCGTTGTAACTAAGGGAATGGGGTAGTTAGGGGCATGGGGCGGGGCGGGAAGAGGATGCGAAGATGTGGAAAACAAACATTTTGTCGGAAACGGTTTCAAGTATCCCCATGAGCTCCTGCGCGAGCCCTAGCCGTCGGAACTCGGGCGCTACTGTGAGGGCTGTGACGTGTCCATGCCATAGTTTCCCACGACCTTCTGCTTTGCCCATTACTGGCGGGAATAACAAAGGTACAATTAATTGAGATTCTACATTATGAGCAAGAGATAGATGCGCATTCTAACCGTACCGTATCCCATGCAGGACCCGCTAGGAGCCTCGGCAGCGACAAAATAGTCTGGCCATTGTGCGAGATATTGCAGATAGAACGAGATGTTGTACTGTTGCGAAACTAAGGGTCAACGAGTTGTTCTTGGAATGCGATGCACCTGGTTGGCATGCATCAAAGAAGACAGTCCACCGAACTCACAGTTTCCGTCAGAGGATCAAGGTTTCTGTAGCGTGGGAAAATGCACTAATTTCAGTTATGGGAACTCTGACAGCCAGCCCATCACCGTCCCGGCGAGTGCCGCATACAAAGCAAAGGGTTTCGCCCTATTTCCCTTTCCCCGCCCTGCTTCGCAGACCATATCGTGCCCGTCCCCTCTCCCTTCAGCCTGAGACATCTTGGCCGGTTTGACGCGGACACTATTTTCCGGATACTAGTGCGCATAAATCAGCCCCCGAGTTGATGGCCAAAAAGGGATACGTACACGTTGTTGAAGGAGAACAGGTCGTCTGCGACGAACCGCCGTAAGGTTGTCATATCGAGTGTTGGGACGTATGCAGTGCGTTGCCGGTTGATGTTGTGCTGTTTCCTCCGAGTCCGTCCGTCCTTCCTCTCAGGAAGCCAGCGCAAACCACCGGTCAAAAGCGGTGGGCGCCCGCCTAATCAAAAAGCCAGCACGCTCCGGAGGCGATTCTAATGTCGCGCTAATCTGGGCATCGCGCTTTTGCATCCGCCTCAAACAGCCTGGGATTCAGGATGCCTTTGTGATGTGAAGTGGAAGCTGTCGGAGGGTGACGGGCCCTTGCGCCGGACGAATACATACACACCTCCCCAACGGACTGACTGCCCCCCCCCCCCAAGATCACCGTGACATAGAACGGTCGCCCAAGCACCCCGGCCGACATTCGGACGTTTGAAGTCTACGCCGAATTCACCCTCGCTCGTTGCCAACCCTCTGTACTCGCGCATACACTTGAGCCAGATAGACCGACATTCACAGGAACACCCTCGGTCATCCCAGATTTCCCCTTCTGTTGACCATCCCCCCGTATGTCAGGCCCACAAGGCCACGCAGGAGGCCGCGGTGGCGGTCCGCCGGCAGGTGGCTCCGCGGCTTCTGAGGGCATGCATACGGCGGGCCAAGAAGGGGGTCACCCTCCATACTCCCTCCCTGGCGTATTACACTACCTCCAGATGGAATGGCGGCGGTTCGAACGAGAGCGAAATGAGTGGGAAATTGAGAAGTCTGATCTTAAGGTATGCACGTTTTCGGCAGAGGAAGCAAGCATCCGATGCGCTGGGAAGCCCACTTCCGAGGCACGGAAGAACAGGTCTTGAATGTGAGAAGATCCTCACTCGGTGTCCTCACTTCCGAATTACAGGCCAAGATCGCGTTTCTAGAAGGCGAGAGAAGGGGAACAGAGAACCTACGAACTGATCTGATGCGGAGAGTAAAGATGCTAGAGTATGCGTTACGGCAAGAAAGGTATGATGGTCGATGTCATTCGTGCTGTTCTCCGTGTCCTTCAGAGCAAGCAACAACTGACCAGATGACTTTCGCGAACCTACGTATAACATTTATAGAACAAAGTTTACTAAACTGCAACAAGAGAAACGATCATCCGTCACGGCCTCTGATGATGCTACCGCTGCGAGTCAGAACAATGCTGCTGCCAGTACCGCGACCGTCTCGGAACCGCCAGCGGCATTGCCGGAAAACGTGCTGGCGGCGTCCGCGAATTATGGAACGCTGAACCTGGGAGGCGGGCTAGGGACATCGTTGAACTACACGAAAGGCTTTGGGCATGCGCGTAGCAAGGAAATCCTGAAAAAGTATGGATGGCTATTAGGTGCAATCTTCAGTCGTTTGGATAATCCCTGACGGGTCGCTATTACTTTCCTCTTAAATAGTTACCTCAAGGAGATGGGGTTCTTGATGACCACGGGAGGAGGACCGGGCTCTGAAACAAAATCAGATGATGTCGGAGACGACATCTCGATCGATTCACCATTGATGGGACGACCCCCGGGAAGGGGAGGAGAGCAGGGGACCGCTGGAGCTCCAAATGAGACTGGAGCTCAACGGAGCGTCACCATCGGGCGGAAAGCGACGGCAAAGATGTTACCAACGAAGGAGAATCATCTTTCCGTGCACCAGGAGCCGCCAGCAGAGAAGAGATCGCCCCCAAAAGCCGCTCCCTCCCTCGAACCTTCCATAGATCTCTCTTCCCGAACCAGCGACACAAAGCAGTCTGATAATCACACGGAAAGCAGGCCGCAGAAGGAGGTCGTAAGGGCGGAACCGACTGCTGGACCAAAGTCGAAACATGAGAAACGAGAAAATGGGAAACTTCCGCAAGGGTCGCGCAAGCCTACGGTGCTGGACGACGGACGACTGGTAGGGAAATGAAGGCATTGAAGGGGATCAGAATGGATCACAACGACCTAACATCCTTTTATTTGGTGATGAAATAGACGGCAGATGAGATGCATGAACTGAAGCTCACTCCTGAGAAAGTGAATAAAGTCATGAGCAGGATAGAGGGCAAACCTGCCAATAAAAAGAAGAATAACGGTAAGGGAACGCGGCAATCTGCTTATTGATCAGAAGGCCCTCGTGACGGGCTAACATCCCCTGATATCCCAGAGGTGGCAAGTTCCACCCAAATACCATCTGTGGTTGGCAACGCGATAGGGTTCGAGAACGATGGCCTGGCGTCATTAGCTCTGAACGACGAGGACACGAACGAGGGGTCGAAGGTGGGAGGTGCTTCGAGATGCTTCCCATGTCAGCCGAGTTTACTCACGATCATCGCAGAAGAAAGGTGGGAAAAAGCAACTCGGGAATCAACGGATATGGCGGCCCAAAGTTCTGCTAAGAAAGTGAGTACAGAGGAATGCATGAACAGCGATATTCAGAGGCGCGTGGGTAACTGATGCATGCCGTGACTCCTTTCTTGCACAGCCACCTCGACTCGATCCGAGCTGTTGCGTTCTCTACTCAGGATAACGCATTCGTGACCGCGTCAGAGGACGGGACGGCAAAGATATGGAATCTGAGTCGATTGGATGAGCGGTCGAGGTATGATTTTCTGGATTCGAGAGGGGCTGGTGCAATTCCGGCTCATTTTTTTTTTCTCTCTCAGAGCGTCAGCCGAGATAGAGCCGCTGCATACATTGCGTGGACATACGGAGCCATTAACATCACTGGCCCTGTCGGCCGATGGGTCTACATGCTTTACAGGGAGTGTGGACGCGACGATAAGAGCGTGGCGGATACCACCACCGTCTAGGGATCCATATGGCAGCTACCGTGAGTTCCACCATTGTCGTGCAGCAGTCACTATGTGCAGGCCTCTCACACCATACCTCCGTAAATTTCCCATCAGACGAAGCCAACCAATACAAACTTCACACCTACGTCGGCCATTCCGACGTAATCTGGGACTTGAAACTCCACCCGCTCCCCCAGCAAAGCCCCTGGCTCGCCTCCGTCTCCGGCGACGGCGCCCTCAAACTCTGGAACACCACCCCCGACGAATGGGGCCTCCGCACGACCCTATGGTACAACGGCGCGAGCCACGGCGGCGCAATCAACGAGCCGGGGGGCACGACCGAGGGCCAGAACCCGACCTCTGTCGACTGGATATATACCAACCTGAATCGGCTGGCGGTGTCGTATCAGAATAGTATGGTGAAGATCTTTGACCCGGAGACGGGGCAGGAGGTGTTGAGGTGTAAGAGTGATGAGAGTTATGGTAGGTTTTTGGGTTTTGGGGCGATGGCGAACGGGACGAAGGTGCTTGGAAATCTTGGAGCACGTTTTTCCTGCCTGTTAAATGGCCTCACTCCATTGAGTATTATTCTCATTTTTTGCTTTGTTTTATCACGTTAGACGGCACCGTACGGTCCCAAATCAACAAGGTCGTCGCGCACCCACTGCTACCTCTCCTCGTCACATGTCACGAGGACCGCTATGTCCGGATCTTTGACACGAATACAGGTGCGTTCGTCTTCCTCTTTCTTGCGGTCGTTCTTGATTGATCGTCATTCAGCCACGCCTAACTCGCAAAACACTTCTCTCTTTTTCGACAGGCCAATGCATACATTCCATGATCGCCCACCAAGACTCAGTCTCAACAGCCGATATCTCCTCCGATGGGCTCGTGCTCGCCACCGGAGGTACGTGAAAAAACCCGCAAATCCCCTACCTGCATCTCACCCTAACCCCACCCCACTCCCTCACACTCACACACCTTCGCTTACCCTCAGGCCACGACTGCTCCCTCCGCTGGTGGGACCTCTCGACCCGCAAATGCGTGCAAGAGTACACATCGCACCGCAAAAAGAACGACGAAGGGATCTGGGCGGTCAAGTTCCACCCGGAGCAGACGCATCAGATGGCTACGGGGGGTGCGGATGCGGTTGTGAAGGTTTATGCGTTTGAGATGGGAGGTGCGGGGTCGTGACCGCGGGAACCTTGAAGACACCACACACACCCAAGAAGGACGCCCCACCTCTACCCAAAGGAGAAGTGGGAAGACACGCATCCCGAACGCGGTCGCAGGGACTGGCTGGCTGATACCGGTGTTGAGACTCCCTCCCCCCATCCTGTGTGCATCTCGGACAGCCTCCCCCCCACCTCGTCGCACACACCCTTGCATCCCAATCCCCCCGGCATCCCATACGGAACGGCTTTTTGTGTACATAGGAAAATATCTCTCGGACTCGAAGCGGGGGGATGGGGGGGCAATACACTTGGGAGGCCTTTTTTTTTTCTTCTATGATTTTTGCTTTTCTCTTTTTTTTTTTTTTACATAGCCCCACTTATTTCAAATATTAAACGGTGAATGCGTTTGAGAAAACGGGAGTTCTGGAAACGAATACGGTGGGGGGGTTGGATTTGTAGTGCGAATGGGAAAAACGATAGATATAAATATGTATATTCCCCAAAATGGGGTGGAGATTTCATGCGAGGATTCGGGCCTACATTCGGGGCTATATGGCTATGACGACAAGAAAGGCGAAGGGGAGATGGTGTGTGATCTGATGCGGTCTGTGAGACGACAACCCGAAGGAGAGAAGGGCAGTTGATATGCAAGGGTGCGAAGCAGGGAACCCCGAGGGAGTCGAGGGGTAAAAAATCCCTTCATACCCCGAACCCAATCTGGGACCTGAAATGCTTCTGCAGCTTGTTATGTTTCTGGCCCGTCCTCGCCTTGAACTCCAGCTCCTTCCTCATGGCCTTCTTGGCCTGCATCCGGCGCTCATGGTGTGCGACGGCAACCTCATACGGCGTGGACGTGTAGCCCAGCTGGCGGTACTGGCCCATGAGCTGGTTGATGACGACCGAGTCGTTATTCGAGGAGAGGGGTTTGAGGGACTGTTTCCAGAATTTGTTGTAGGAGCGGTGCCCGATGAGTTGGCCCGAGGGGAGGACGAGTTGGGTTTCGTCGGGGGTGAGGTGGATGGAGAGGGGGTGGGAGGTGAGGTCGCCGAGCTCGGAATCGGAGTCGGAGTCTGATGTGGTGGTAGGGCGTGCTGCGCGGCCGCGGGATGAGGAGGACGGGGTGGTTTCGTCGGTCTCGTCGTCAACGTCTTCCCATTCCGCGTTGTCGTCGTCTTCGTCGTCTTCAGCGACTTCGTCGGGGTAGGTGGAGCTGAAATCGTAGAAATCGGCCACCTCCAGCTCGGCTCCGTCCTCGTACAGGATCTTGCAGTGACCCTTGTCGAGCATGTGTTTGCGGACGGCCTCGAGGGAGTGGTATGCGCGTCCCTTGCCGTTGCAGTAGAGACAGACGTGGGCGACGGCGATCTTTTCGCCGAGGTAGGCGATCAGGCCTTTGAGGTCGACGAGGAACTCCATGTCGGGAATGAAGAAGCTGTGGGCGCGGGCCATGTGGGCGAGGTTGTTTTCAAAAGTTTGGCAGCGTTGCGAGCAGAAGAGACAGTCGAGCTCGGTTAGGCGTTCGGTTGCGGCGGCTTTGCGTTCCATGATCGCGAGCACTTCGGCTTGTGTTTCGGCGTCGGCTAGTTGGCGGCGCCAGCTAACGGGTGCCGCTGCTGGGTCGGAGGAGGAGGATGAGGAGGCGGTGGTGGGTGTGGGCATCAATGCGCGCGGGGTGGGGCCGGACACGACGGGGGCGGGTCGTTTGCCGGTTGTGGGGAGTGCGACATGTTCAGAGCCGTTTGCATCGAATTTCGCCTGCGTCTCTTTGTGTTTCTTTGAGTTCAAGTGATTCGTGTATCCGTTCTCATTCGAGTAGGACTTTTTGCACGCCGCGCATTCTGCGACAAACCCGCCAACACCCCCGCCCTCCTTCCTCGATCCAGCGTTCTGCAGTGCCTGCTGCTGTTGCTGCTGTTGCACCCTCGCCGCAAAGTTCTCGGCTGTGACTGGTGGGATGTCGGCTACTTTCCGCTTGAGGTTGTACCTGTGCCAGTCTGAACGCATGTGCTCACGCTGGTTCTCTGCCGTGCGGAACGCGACGTGACATGCGAGACATGTGAACGGGTGGGCGGAGTGGGTGGTGGCGGACGAGGCCGCTGTAGAGACTGCCGTGGAGGGAGCAGTAGAGGCTCGGGAGTATTCGGAAAAGTCCGATGCTGTCTCCGAGTGAACAGACGCTGTTTCGACGTCCATTTTCAGATATATGTTGGCTGGGTGAGGTTTTTTAGCGTATCCTGTATTAGACGAACGAGCGAATGGAGCTCTTGGCGGGTGGGAGGTATGGGCCAGTGCTGGTGCGGGAGGGCGGAGTGAAGCTGGTCCTCTTCGTCTGTATATGCACTCTGCTGCTGTTGACTGAGAGAGAATAGACCGAGAGAGAAGGGGTAATGGATGCAGGTTGGGTATTAGTAACGAAAAACAGAGGAACAGAGGAGGACAAAGCCCTCGCGCGAAAACAGAGCGCTTTATAAATAGGGCCTTCGCACGCAGAGTCATGTGACTGAGACTTGAACTCGCTTGCTGAGGTAAGCACAGGCGCGTCGTTTGACGGGCACTCTGAGCACGGTAAGCGTCCATAGATCTGGGACCGTCCGCACACTGACGCACTTCCTCGGCTTGCTTTCTTTCTCGCCCTATGGGAGGTATTTCCATATTCTACTCAAGATATCTTACTGGAATCTGGTCGGTAGCGAGTTTGAAGACCCAGCGCGAGATTGATCGTCTATTTTCATGTTCGTTTCAAAGACGGTCTTCCGGTTCGCATTCTTGAACCCCACGCCAGAGTGAAGACCATCGTAGTGGCCGTCCATGATGGACGTCCATCAACTCCACGGTGCGGCCGACCCCGCCGCCGGTCTCGCCGGCCAGCGCACGACCTTCCGCGAAATGGTCGCCCGCAAACGGGAGCAGATCCTGTCCTCGTCACCAACAACCACCGGCTCCTCATTATCATCCCAACAACCCGCTCCGGCATCGATCATCGCTGCCGCCGCCGCAACAACATCCGTCCCCACCGCCCGCCTCTCCAAGACACGCAGCCACGCCGCCCTCATGAACTCGCAGAAAGATTCACAGCTGCTACATCACCAGCAACAACAACCTCATTCACCACAACCATCTCAGCAACAATCGCATTACACCCACGCCGCCAGCGACGCATTAACCAGACAAAAGCGGAAAATGTCCCTACACGCCTCATACGGCACCCTATGGGGCCCAGACCCCGTCATCGCCCCGCGGCACCCGATCCCGCCGCGAGCATTGCCGTCCTTGAGTGTCAAATCACAGGTCGACGGGGTTACCCCAGTGCCGCAGAAACCGTCCGCCCAGCGTCGACCCACCTCCGGCTCAACTAAGCGCGACAGCCTCCCTCCATCCTCCTTAACCACACTCCCCACATCAACATCATCCTCACCCACTCGCCGGCCCGCCAGCGCCGGTAAACGCAGCTCAGAATACCTCACCACCTCCCCCACCCCGTCCTCCACGCGCACGACCCGCCCCATCTCCCACCACTCCTCACTCACAGACCTCACCCCCACCTCCCCGCTCTCCATCTCCATCCAACCCGTCCCGCTACCGATCGATAAAGGCCGCCCGGGGTCCGGTGGCCGCCGGTTTCCTTCTACCACCATCACCGGTAAACCCGCAGACACCGAACCGGGTGATGACCCCTCCGCGGACGACGGGCCACTGTTGTCACGCAGCGCACGCACGAGCCAGGCGTCGATTGCGTCGGATGCGTCCGGGACATCGGCGGGGAGGAGGAGGTCGGAGAGGGACGATGAGGGAGGGAAGGGGAAGGGGAAACGAAAGGTGGGGAAGAAGAAAGCGGCGTCGGTGCCGTTGGAGTTGCCGCGGTGGAATGCGAGTACCAAAAAACCGACCGTGGCGGGCGCGAAGGTATGTTTGGTTTTTTTTCTGGGCGTTTCGGATCACAGCTGTTGACGGGTGGAGCGTATTGGACGCATACATAACACTCTCGTGCGGGCTTATTGATAGGGCGCGAAAAATACAGACAAGGCAAAGAAAACTGCAGGCCCACCCACCCCACCCGCGCCGCAGCTCTCCACCGACTCCCTCCCCCTCCCACGCAGCGCCTCGCCCCTCTCCGACGTCAACCCCACCTTCTCAACCTCCTACGACGCCCTCGATGACGACGACGACGACGACTACACAGACGCAAAGTACCCCGTCACCCCGTACCAACTCACTGTGTTCACGAAAGTGTGTCCGACACAAGACGATCTGGAGAGCAACGTGTCGTTGTGGAGCGGGCCGCCGTTTTGGGCGAGTGTGGGGTGGCGGGTGGCCCCTATCCCAAACCCACAAGCACAACCACGAGATCACCATCCATCTGTGACCCAGCCGGCGTCGGTGGTCATCAGTGATTTGGCGGCGGTGCTGAAAAGAATTCGCCAGACGCACGCCGTCCTCCGCACGCAGCTGTACCGCAACGACCGGATCGTGGATGCCGACGTCGAGGGGTTGCTCGACCAGCGGCCGTGGCGGGAGGTTCGGGACGATGAAGTTGTGGCCGTCGTTGATCTGCGGGGATGGGTGCGTGGGAGGTCTGACCATCACGAAGTGCGTGAAGTGGACACACGCACCATGACGTCGTACGTCCGGCACTGGATGGGCGGTCAGGAGCGGTTCGAGCGGCCGTTTTACGCGTTGGTGTTTCCGGGGGTTGTATCTTCGGACGGTGGAGGGACGGAACAGGAGACGTATGTGGTGTTCATGGCCTCCAAAGCCGTCGCGGACGAGTCCAGCTTGCGGTTCATCGCGCACGAGGTCATTGCGCTCTACACGACGTGTCAGACGGCCCGTCTCGCATCCCCTTCATCGACACGGGGGATTGATGTGTGCGTTGATGGGTACACCCCCCGCGAACGATACACCTTCCCCCTCTTCGCGCACTCCTGCACCCCCACCTCAACCTCCCTCGCCACCACGTCCCACCACACCCGCGGCGACCTCGCCTACTGGCATTCCGTGCTCATCGAGACCGTGCAAGACACCGTCGACGCCGCCGAGCGGGGACGGTTGGAAGTGCAGTTGGAGAAACTGGAGCGGGAGAAGGAAGGGTTGAAGGACCGGGTGGAGAAGTTGAGGAAACGGCGGGGGGAGTGTGAGGGGGAGTTGGAGGGGTTACGGGAGCAGCGGAGGGGGATGGAGGATGAAGGAGAAGACCCAAACGCCACGACCGCGGCGGCGGGGGAGTGTATGCGGTGGGAGGACCCGACGACGGGGTCCGTGCACCTGATTTCCCGGGACTCGCAGCTCACCTTGCTCGAAACCGTCCTCGGGCTCGACACCCGCCCCCCCGCCGCGGACTCCTCCACCACCCCTTACTCCACCTCCTTCGTGGTAACGCCCCCCACCGAGCCCGGGTCGATCCTCCCCTTCCTCCTGAAACACGACGTCCCCGCCGCCGTCCTCACCCTCCTGCAGGACCACAACCTCACCCAGATCACAGACTTTGCCGCCCTCACCGACTCCCACCTCACGCACACCCTCGCCCTGCTGCCCAAAGACCGCCGCCAGCTCCTCGCGCTGATCGAGTACGTCCGGAACAGGATCAAGGAAACCATCATGGAGAGCGGCAAGCGGAAACATGCGCTGGAGAGACGCATCGCCAAGTGTGTGCGGGAACGGGAGGGGTTGGACACACAGTTGCGAGATGCCGAGGCGGCGGTGGAGCGGGACGATGATCTGGGGATCCGGTTGAGGGGAGTGTTGCGGCCGCCGGTGGTGGAGGTGAAGGTGGCGCCGTTGGGGCTGGAGGGGTACGCGTTGCGCGGGGGTCGGGGTGGGGCTACCGAGCCGCAGCAGGGGGAGGATTTCACCCAGATGTGGGATATGGTCCCGATCACGCTCCCCGCGGAGCTTGTGAGCAACCTCCGCCTGTTCCAGGACGGGTACCGCGCGACGGCCCGGCAGCGGCGGCGGGCGCGGACGGGCACCGGCGGCAGGCGGAGTGCACAGTCCCGGTCGCGATCACGCGGTGGGGGAACGTCCGAGAGCTCGAATGTGGAGACCCACGACGACGAGGAGGAAGAGGATACCAACAACGCCCTCGGCGCGCGGCACGGCACGACGACCACGGCGTACAGCACGGCGACGGCCGCCGCGTGTCTCTCCGCCTTTGCCATCGTCCTCAAACACATCTCCGGGTCCGACAAATACCTCCTCGGGCTCACCCACAGTTTCCGACGGAACGGGTTGGCGGTCGGCCCCGTCTCCGACACGTTCCCGGTGAAGATCGACCTGACCAGGAAGGGGATCACCTTCTCCGCGCTGTTTGGGAGCGTGAGCAGGAGTATCCGCGCGGCCCGCCGCTGCGGCGCCGGGACGCCGAGCTGGAAGATCCCCACCCCGAGCGCAACGGCCCTCCCCATCGTCTTCGAATACACACCCCAGAAAGAAGCCGAGATGTGGCGTTCCTACGGCCTCTCCCCCGCCGACATCCTCCTCCACGCCGCCTCCTCCTCTTCCGACGGTGTGAGTTGGACCCACGATGAAACATCCCACGCGCATGTGAAATTACACCTGATCGAGACGGGGGAAGGGACGATTGTGGGCGGGTTGCGGTATAGGCGGGATGTGTATGAGGACGAGCAGGTTGGGAAATGGGTGGGGAAGTTTGTGGCGACGTTGGAGGGGATTGATCCTGGGCCGAGACAGATTCCGGTTGCTAGTATTATTTCGAGGTGGGTTGTTGCTTACTTTCCCTTTGGTGAGATGATGGCCTTGATTTATGGGTTTGCTGATGTCCGTTTTGTTTTTAGGTTTTACTCGACCCTCTGGCACGGCAACCCGGGAACGAGCGCTACCAACGTGCTCGTCAACGCACCACCGCCGGCATCGTCGCACTCGCATCCGATTGAGGCCGTGGCTGAGACCGACGAGTCGTGAGGGTTTCTCAGTCGTTTCTTGCATATATTTTTTTACGTTTTTTGGGGTGCTTCTTTGAGGCGCAATATGAGTGTACATTGTACAGATGGGTGTGCCTGCTATAAGTTTTTGGCGTTTTATCTGCCCATTTTCGAATACAATTCTCTGAGGCAATCGACCCGGAAGACGATGAATGATGGGACAAACGTACAGATGGATACTCACAGCTTGTGAGGAAGACCGCGAGAATAGAGGAAGTTGTTGGTGAAGATTAGACTATTTAATTCCGGTACGGACTACGAAGAAACACACAAAATCGAACGACACAGAGATGCTACAAGGCAAGCAAAAACTATATATACAAGAGTGTGGGGAAAGAGGATAGAGACTGTGTTGTCCTTACTGCCGCTTCCCACCATCACATCGCCGTCCTCATTGGCACAGGCTCAGCGCTCTTTGACAGCAGCGGCTCCTTCACCGACCCATCCGAATTATAGGTCTCCCCCGGGTCATGCAATGAAATAACCTCCGCGCGTGCCTTCTTCAACGCCGCATCGATATGCTTGGGGTCCTTGCCGGACTTTATCGCCTCATCGCGGAGGTACTCCTCCAGGAGGATGAGGTTGCGCATGTTGGGTTTGTAGGCGACGTCGAACATGGAGCCGACGATCGGGATCGCGCCGAAGGAGGCGTTGAGCATGACGTTCCACACCATTTTGGCGGTTACGATCCAGGGGACGTGGAAGCGTCGCGTGAGGTAGACGATGTAGCAGGAGAGCGCGGTCGAGATGACGTCGCCGACCATCGGGATCGCGCTGACGATTGGGTCTGAGGAATAGAGGCAGGGTGAGTACATGTACATGTACGGTTGTTTGTAAGGTTGACGAGTTGAATCAACTCGCGCAGCGCATCACTCGCGCAGCGAGGTTCCCAATGAAACCAGATCGCTCCCTTCGGTCGCAGCTCGCTGAGCACGCTAAGAGCCGTGATTAGGGGAGAATTGCGCCTTTGGCGCAGTGTGGCACGCTCCGCTCGTCCCCTCGCTATCGCTCGCAATCACTACGTTCGGCCGCTGGTACTTACCCACACCAATCTTGTACTTTGTGAAAGGCACCTTATACTTTGCATCCAACCAAGTACTGACAAACTGAATTCTCTCCAAGCTCCGCCTCTTCGCCTCGGGCGTATCCTCACCCAACCTCCCGTCCTCATTCACGATAAACGGCTTCAACGTCTTGTAAGCATGTTTGACAGGCGAGAACGCGAGCACCTCCTTGACGGTAGGAACATGAAGGTTCATATCGTTTGCAGCAGCTATTGCGCGGTCAGACATTTTCGTCGCGAGCTGTTTTGCGGCTGCGACTTGCTTGAGGGAGGATATTTTGGAGGGTGATGCTGCTGCTGCTGGTGCGAGGCCGGTTGTTGCGACGGGGGCTGTTGTTTGGGGGCTGGATGCGGCGTCGAGGGGGGGTTGTGGGGATGGGGTGCGGTGGCGGGGAGGGAGTGCGGGAGCGGCCACTTGGGGGCTGGTCATTGTTGCGAGGAGAGGGCTTTCGAATGAGGTTGAGGGCATGTGCTGTGGGAGTCTGGGTGTTAGCCTTGTTGGGGGTTTCGGGGAGCGTGGGCACTTTTGGGGGGGGGGTTGCTTTTATACATGCTACAGGGCGAAGGCAGAAGGAGGGCGTGACGACACAAGGCGCTCAGCCACGTTGGCATTCAGCGACTGATTAGGCCCATCCCCGCTTCTTGCCCCCCACTTCCTAATCAACCCTCTAATCAAATCAAAACGCTTGGCATTCGGTCGGCACGGTCCCTGGCTCTTACACAGAAGAGACGGGCAAAGCCACGCGTTTGCGCCGGGTGATGTCATGCATGGCTTTGGCCACTACACGCACACCCCCCCCCCCCCCCCCTTCTTCCTGTGAGCGTCGCTTCTCAAATCGAATGTTCGCTTTGAACATACCAGGAGACTATGGATGGATGGCGGTGTTTGACCTGAGGCACTTCATGCACGAGATGGATCTGGAGGTATGTCGTGAATTTCGGAGGCACAGCTTATTTTGAAGGTCAAATGGGAGCAACTACAGTATATCCCCTATCAAGGTGATGTGACTGTGCACTTACAGAGACCGTCTGTATATGTAAGTGCACTGTCACATCTCGCACTATCAACGCAACTCGCAGAGAAAGTCCGACGCATATCTTTTGGGAAATGCATTCGATCCAGTTCCAGGTGATCAACAAAACATACGAAAGGCCTCATTCTCTCTCCAACATACGCAATCACTCACGGTTCCAGTACTCACAAAGAGCATCCTCATCCTCCTCCTTCTTTTCGCCAATGATAATCGATGTTCTCGCCCAGCTTCTGTCCACACAAATTATACCAATCCTGCAGTTGAAGCCTCTTTATCGGAAACCCATCGTCGTAATCAACAGTCAGCTCCGGGTCAACGTTCTGGTGATAATCATGCATGTAGTCCCAGAAGAATAACTCCGCCTGCGGTTTGCCGTCCGTGTCTTCGGCCGTAAGCAGGATTCTGAGCTCGGTTTCGTTCATCCAGGTGTTTTCGTAAGAGCCTTTCAGGTATTCGATATGGAGCTGGTGGCCGCGGAAGGTGACGGTGCGGTCCAGTTTGACTTCGCTGTAGGTCCTCAAGACGTAGGAGGGGGTTGAGTTGAATGTGGTTATGGTGTTGTTGTGGACTACGACGGTGTGGTCGTCGGCTGCCGGTTCTGCGGCGACTATATCTTCCCTAGGTATGTCGGTGGACATGGCGGATGTTTGCCCTGGTACGTTTGCCGGTTTGCTGATGGCGTTTTCCTGTCTGTTCCGGCCTCGCCAACAGAAGGATTGCAACCGTTCTCTATTGACCCCAAACGACAATCGAGCACACACCAAGGGGTGAGTGGGGCAATTATGGGATGTCCTTTTCCTTTTCGGCGTGAAAGAAACCGCGGACCACGTGACCGCGTCTTTCCCCTTTTTTTTCTCAATCGTCTCCGTCACGCCGCCGTGATTTTTCCTCCGCCGCTGTCGATTTCCCCTGCGAGCAGAATTGTAACACCTCCTACCGGCAGTTTTCCAACAACGGGTTCACATTTGACCGCCCGCTTTGACTCTGCATGTCTGGAAGTCATTGGGAGAGCCGCGTGGAGACGGAGAGCGGCTCAAGACGGCGGTGGGGTCTGGTGGTGTGGGAAGGGAGACCGGCGTGCAAATGGCGCGCAGCATGGAGAGGAAAAAATCGTGAAATCAGATGTTGTGAAGCAGGATGGTTGACATTGAGTTGGTTTGGTTGGCTGAACATTGGAGGCAGGCCGTAGGTGGGTGCTGTCTCGGCATGGACTGGCTGATTAGCCTTGATGTTGGTTCGCCTGACACATGGGGAGTGCTTTGGGAGCAGTCAAAGAAGATTCCCGGCGTTGCCTCCGTGTTGCCTGCGTCATCTACCCGGTAGAGGTCGCAAAAGCGAACCCCGTTACGTCCTTGTATCGTATAGGGCATGATGCTCAGTTCTGCTCAATTCTGGTTCCGGGTAAATTTAGCTGACAGGGAAGAGAAGAGCGGGACGCCATACCCTTTGAGGGACTCGGGAACAGTGTTGGATTGCCGACAAACGAAGCAAGAGCAACACAGTCCCTCTAGTCAAACAATCGCCTCGTCCTAGCACTTCGCTTCAATCAGATTGAGCCGTACAACTCGAGTATTGTCTGCCGGTGTATTGTATAGTTCCATCTACCGCGACGGTCAGGGACGCAATGGGAAGCATATCGGTACGCAACTGACCCAAAGATTGCAAAACGATGCGAGTGGAGCACGCTCGGCGGACCCTTCAAATAGAGATAACGACCATGCCTTCCCGGCCGGGATCACCGCTGGGTAGCGAGCAGCAAGAAGGATGGGATGGAGCTGGACATGAACATGAACATGGACGAGGATGCGGTGCTCTGTGTTTTATCAGATCCAGTTGCGGACGGGGGTATGTTTGAAAATATCCGAGAGATACGTGGCTGGTACGCTTTTGAACAGCGCAAGCACGTCAGAAGTGACCTTTGGGATCGGGTGGTTCACCTGTCGACATCAAAAGACGGTGTCTTCAATGCCGGGAATGGCGCCGTCATCCACAGGAGTCGACTGAGGAGCCGGTGATATGCCGTAAGCGGCAGACCAGGCTGGATGCGGGAAACGTTATTAAATGACAACGGGAAAATATGTTACATGGATGCACCTACAGCGCTACTCCATGGGAATTCATCCCCTCCTTCGCCAGTCCCACCCGCCATCGTCAAGTCCACCGAGACCCCTCTGCCGAAGTCGCTGAAGCGCCGTTCGACCCTATCGCGGGTGACGCTATGGAATATGTTCCCTGCGAACAACCACGTCGTGCTTCGGTGTCCTCCGACTGGGACTTCCGACGACGCCGGGGGCGGCTTGCGATTCCATTGCACAGAACTTGAGAGACCACAGGTAAGAACTCTGGAACGGGGTCAAACTCCGGAACACTGGCCATACATGTAGCGACCGTTCCACAGTAAACCCATTTACGGTAAGAGCCCTAGTGGCGCTCACATCCTCTGAGGTTGCTAGTTGTCTTGTCCCTCGGCACATGACAGCTGGTAATGACACCGTAGGCCGCAAATTTCACTCGGACGGCATCCTCGTTCACTTCAAACGGCACGATGCAAACATAAATTGTTGGACGGCGCTTGCTCCGGCGGCGGGTCTCGGAGCCGCAGTAGGGGAAAAAGGCTCTGCGTACGAACTAGCGTCTCGCTCCTCCACATCGTAGACGGGCTCTGTTCATCCAAAAGAGGTTTTGGGGCCGCCGTGTCTTGACCAGCTTCAGCTTGGTAAATGAGACAGCGCAAGGCGGCGATAGGGTATTTTGGGGCACCATCAGTCTCGATGATCTTTTGGATCTTGGACTACACTGGCTCCGATGTTCTGCGTTACAGCCTTATGGACTGTGGCCACATCCTCCGCTGTGTACTTCTTTGGACGGCCGAGGGTGTTTTTGAGCGGTGCCGGTTGCTTGATTTCGCTCTACTGTCAGCTGGACCTTACCGTACGTTTTCTTCTCTGACTCGAAGACCACGACATTGATTTGGAATTAGAAAGGAAAGTCAGCCAAATACCTCCCGCGGAATCTGGCACCACATGTCCGGCAGTACGCAGCGGAATGCAGGTGGCCGAATCAGATGGAGCCAAAATGCGACTGAATATGTCACTGAATATGTCACGCAAAGGATAGTCCTCGAAAAACCTCACGTCACAGACATATCCGCCATATCCACCGCGGCGTGCAGCACATTTTTCATACCGCGGGGTGGCTTTCCACGGAGAAAATGACAGGCTCCAATCTCCGCCCAAGACTGACAGCATTCTGTACAACTCCAAACAAATTTATTTCTTTCCTCGTTCCCAGGAAGTCGGTGAAGGGACTTACACACATACATACAATAAGTGTATTGCTTCGAATACTGTCGAATGGATCTGTAACGTTGACAGAGCCCGCGAGCCAGAACCTTGGGAATGGCACCTTTTACCGAGATATCCATCTTCGCAGTGGGATGGGTTGCGCTTTGACATGAATAAGAGAACATGGAGAATTTTAAAACAGCGTCAGACGAGCAGACCATCTCGTACTCACTGGCAGGCAGGCATGTGGCCTCGTCATGAGTTTCGAGGCGAAGCGCAGGCGAAAATAGGTGAACTTTTCGAAGCGCCGACGCCAACCTTTTCTTCGTGAGGCGACAACTCACCTCACACGAGAAAAAGTCAGAACCGTGTCGTAATTTCAAAGCGAAAAATTGAAATACCAACCCCTCCGAAAACCATGCCTCTGGCTCACGGCGTCCCGACGGCGAGGTCATTTCACCGCGTCCTCCTGCAACGTGAACCAAGTTCCCAACGCATATGGCCATCGTTTCGCGCCAGGACCTTCTCATTCCGGGATATTTATTATTTGTGAGGAGGAGTCGAGACTGTGCGCGAGGAGCGAGTCAAGATGGCGGTGCTTTTGGGTAAGCCGTCTTTTGTGTGGGAGGGTATCCGACGAGACCAGATGATGAGAGGGATTGGGATCTCGCATATCCCTGCGATGCGCAAGTACCTGATGAATCTGCGCGATGCGAGCGAGCACTGGGAGGTCATCCAGGTCGAGCGGCTGGCATGGGGATGCCTCTTGCGGATGCGAACCGGGGGTATACGTACGTGCAGTGGCAGCTACAGTACACGGTAGGAGGAGAGCCACGCCCGAGGGATTTCCGGGGCACAAATTGTTTCTGTGCGTGCTTTGGGCGTGTGTGGAATCAAATAAATAATGTTTTTTGTATGGGAGACCCGACGCCCAACGGACTGACTGCCTGCCTGCTATGAGACGGCGCCTCCCGTATTGCAATTGCCTGATCAGCGTGATGATTTCCGGCTTGGGCCTCCTGAGAGAGAGTTGTGGTTGTTGCTGCATATTCATTTCACAATGCACCAATAAGGGAAGGCCCGTTAAGTCACTTGTGCATATGCTAAGGCCTTAAGTCATGACCTATGCGGCCGTTCTGGAATGAGGTTCCTGCCTGCTACCGTACATACAGTCCTATGCGAGAGCTTTTGCGGTTCGTCGGCCCAGCCGCCCCCAGAACTCATTCCCTAGGCCCACTATACTATCCCACGGGCCTCTCCTTCGCAGCAAGCATCTACAAGCGTCCGCTCGCTCGCTTGCTTGAGCTGACGTTGGACTGTACGGGAAACGCAGAGGAACATACGCTACTAGTCGACTCTCGCCGCCGACAAGCCCACCTGCAGACCATTCCCACAGGCAGCGGCTATAGCAGACATTTTGACAATCCAACACCCTAGTGCATACAAGGCTCTCGGTTCATACTACCTAACCACAGACCACCTCTTGTCCATACACTGGTGGCCTAGAAGCATCTCTCCCTTCTGCTTCTAGACCTGACCGGAGGAGCGAACGACCAGGAGGCAGCTTCGAATCCCGTCGTTTTTCGAAGCCTTACACAAGGCATTCCACACATTTAAGCTCAACTCTGAGCTTGTTGGTGGACCCAGCTCGCTTACGGACGGGGAAAAATCCGGGCACCGGGCATTGGAGGAGAGGACGCAGGAATAGGGGCAAACAAGCCACACGCATCCCGTCGACAGTAGTTTTTGGGGCATACAAAACTCCGCTTCGGTCGGCCGGCGTACTTGGATTTTCTTCAACTTTCTCATCTAGAGACGAACTCGTCTAGGGTTTGGAAATAGAGGATAACGACGATATATCTGCTAGATTATCATTCCCAACAAGTAGACCCACCGAGCTCATAGTCATCCCGACATCAAATCAACGAAAAGAGCATCGATTCTGCTTCCTTCGATCCCGGACCGGCAGACCAGGTCGTCCGTCGAGTGGATTAATACTTCGATACCCCATAGTTTTTTGTGTTCCTCGTTTCGAAAACGGGAGCCCCTCTTGCACTCGGGAGCATCACGGTGCCCTGTGGGGAATCCTCATCGGTGAGTTTTGCTGGCTGGCTGCGATGAAGGCTCGGAGATTTTGAAAACACACCATCCGCATCTGAGCGGGTGGATGCCTGAAATTGGAGCTGTTACTGATACAAATCCTTTTAGAAGCGTGGTATAGCTGAATTCGCAAGAAAATAATCTCGGCCATAATGCCATCTCCGGCTCACTATTCCAGCGACTCTAGTCGGCGTTCGCGCACGACTTCCAATGCATCCTCGGACCAATCTTACACAACCCATCCCCGCCACCTCGATGCTGGATTCGTTCGCGCAACCGAGCGATTCTGGGCTCAGCAGGAGGGGGATGTGCGCACACCGTCTCGATCGCGCCCACCGTCAGGTGGTTCTCAATCCAACGAACAGAGCAATACGTCAAGATACAGCTCGACAAGGGCGTCTCCATCGGTCCAAGACGATCACTCTAGTGAATTGACCGTCCCCAGCATGGACCGACCCGGTCGGCAGCGCACGTCGTCCGGCGCATCTCGTCAAAGCAACTCTCGTCCGACTTCAGGAGCATCGTCCGCTGCATCGCCAAGGGATTCCCGTCGGTCTTCGTCTTCAGTGCCCACCTCGCCAAGCCCTGGCCGTCAAGTCGCTGCTGGCTCTGGCAGTCGAAGATACACTTCCACATTCGGGCCATACCTCTTACAGCGAACCCTTGGAGAAGGGGAATTTGGCAAAGTCAAGCTGGCTATCCATCTGGATACGGGGAAGTCATTCGCCATCAAGCTCATGAAAAAGGATAGCCTTGACCAGCAGACTACCAAGCGGGCGAAAGTTATGCGCGAGATCTCAATCTTCCAGGTAAGGAAGCAATTCGTTGACAAGCTGCTGCCACATATGAAGGCAAATATGCTCACGATTCCCTTCTCATCTCTTCCGTACGCACAGACTGTTAGTCATCCATACATCGTCGCAGTTGAAGAGGTCGTAGAGACGCGAGAGTATATTGGAATGGTCATGGAGTATGCCTCCGGCGGCGAAATGTTCGAGTACGTCCTGACCCGTCGCCAACTCAAGGAACCCGAGGCTTGTAAATTCATGTGCCAGCTACTCTCCGGTGTTGCTTATCTACACAATCGGAAGATCGTTCACCGTGACCTTAAACTCGAAAACCTCCTTTTGGACGGAAATCGAAACGTTCTCATTACCGATTTCGGGTTCGCCAATCGAATGCAAGCGGAAAAGCCCGACGAGTCTAAATTGCTCTTGACCTCATGTGGATCACCCTGTTACGCGGCACCTGAACTTGTCCTCGGCCACGGATACATGGGTGAGGCCGCCGACATCTGGTCCTGTGGTGTTATCCTCCATGCGATGCTCTGCGGCTTTCTCCCGTACGACGATGACCCGACGAACCCGGACGGGAACGACATCAATCTGTTATACACTTACATCACCGGAACTAAGCTGAAGTTCCCTGACCACTTGTCATTCGAAGCAGCCGACTTGATGAGCAAAATGATTGTGATTGACCCGAGCCGCCGCGCCCGAATGCCTGAGATAATGGATCACCCGTTCCTTGAACCGTACAAGCACTACTTCCATGATGAACAGATGGAGCTGATGGGTTCAGCCGGGGTCAGCCGAACCACCACGGTATCCAATATCACCGACCTCGACACCGAAGACAGCATGCCACAAGAACTCGACGAGGCGGATGTCGGGGCGATGGATATCTCGCACACCATCGTCCCCGACACGGACACGCACGACGAAGACCATATGGACGTCGATGCATCCGACTCAGCCGTGCCAGCCTTCACTTCGTCTCAAAGCCGCGACAGTACGTACAGCTCAGCGGAACATCGCAGCGACGTGGCCCTAAACGCCGAACCCTTAACCGTGCCCATGGGCGGTCCGCTGGCGGTCGCTCCTCACTCGCCTGTCGCTCATCCTAATCTCGAGTACGCTCAAGCACAGTTGTCTGCTGATGAGTACGCGTTGTGGGTCAAGAACCGCATCAACGACCCATGGTACGCGTCTGAGACGCTCAAGCTGAAAGAAATGTTCCTGGCCGATCAGCCGACACTTTTCGACGAACTCGATGACCTGCAGATTGAGCTTCTCGCTCACAAGCTTTGGTATGCAAAATACCACGTCGCCGTGGTTAATCCGAAGTCGCTACTTACGGAGGCCCCAGCACTTGAGGAGTGGCGGCTCTGGAGGGACACTTGGGGCAAGGACAAATTCATGTCTGCGTATCTGGATACACTCATGAACGAGTGGCTTGCCGACCGCGCGCCGATCGACGAAAACGGGGTCGACTTCCTGCGCAGAAAGACGGTCAAGGATGCGCCGCCGTCTGAGAAACTGAAGGCCGAGACCCCGGTTGAAGAAGTCAGGGCTTTGATGCCGAGGGAGATGCTAGGCAAGGAAATCGAGGCTTGGCAAATGGAGTACTGGATCAAGATTCATTCGTGGATGCTCGGTGGGGACGACGGCCTCCTTCGCTTGCGGATTGAGGACGAGGCCAGGAAGCAAAACCTGCCGTTGTTCCCTAGTCACCGGTTATCGCCACCACCCGCTTCCAAGCGGCTGGCACAGCCGCCAGCTCCACAACAACCGGCCCCACCTGTTCTCCCACCAATCCGCACCGTTCGTGATGAAGGCAGTCAGACAGAACTCGACACACGCCCCAGAACTAAAGAAGCACAGACTTCACCTATTTCAACGCCTATCATCGAACGGGAGCATCAATCAACCAGCACAGAGCGCAGCCAACAACAACAACCCCCACTCAATCTACAAAAACCACTCCCGTCCCCATCCTCAAGATCAGAGCCGCCATCGACCAGCAACGAGATCGCGATCTACGGCGTCCCCACCTCCGTCGCGGCGCAGAGCACACCCAACCTGGTCCGAGCCTACTCCCAGCGTGACCCGACCACCCACGTGGCGTTTGCTAGAAATGAACAGCAAGATACCAACGCAGCTGCGGGTGCTGGATTTTCGACACAGCCGCGAAATACGGCGCCCTATGCTCGGAAGAGCTTTGATGTGAGGAGGTCGGACACACTGAATTCGTCGCGTAAGCAGTTGTTTGGTTGGATGAAACGCGGTAATACGAGTACGGGGGTCACAAGGATTCAGAATGAGGAGAATGTGCCGAGGGCGAGTTTTGCGGCGCCGACTGATGTGGTGAATAGGCAACGGCCTCATTCGTCGTTTATTGCTGATGGGAATGATTCGACCTTGCCGCTGCCGAGGACTTCGACGAATGCGGCGAGCGTGCATTCGGTTGCGAGTGACTGGGTTATGGCGCCACAGACGAATGGTGGGCCGGCCGTTAAAGTGAAACTCCGATACCACTCGGGTCCGATCGATCAACGCGCACTCGGGTCGAAGAATCCGCTTGGAATCATGGCCGACGTCAGGTCGGTGATTGAAGGGCTGGGCATGACGGTGGTGAAATCGGATGGAGTGAAGATGAGGGTCGTACGGACCTCGGAGTTGGCCATGCAACAGCGGCAAGCGCATCAGCAGGCCCTCGTCGCGCAAGCCAGACAGTGGGAGCAGGCCTCCCCTGTCGTTGACCAGCATCAGTCGGGCATTATACCTTCCGCTTCGCCGGGCTCCCCGCACCATTCGCATGGGCCGTTACCTTCCCCGCCGGCCAGTGCTGCTCAATCACCGACGACGAACTCGGCTGCACACTCTCATACCCCACAATTGGACCATCACCATCACCGGGGCCTCGGCCAAATGCTGGCTTCACTTCCAATCAGTCTCGTGAAAAAGTTGAAGAATATGGCGCGATACGGACCCGGATACAATAAGGGCTTTAACAAGGCCGACGTGGCAGCTATGTACTATAGCAATCCGGCCGCGCAAACCTCGACTGCCACATTCGCATCCACGTCCACTACCAATACAAACTACGGGTCGCCGGTGTCCAATGGCCATCACCCCTATATGGCGCATCTGAACGCATCGGGCGTGTCCATCAACGGCTCCCGCGAGAGTTTCGTATCGAGTAATGCCACACGCGCAACCTCTCAACATCAAAACCATCACCACAACCCCAACCCCGCGCAGGGGACCGGCAACGGCTTCTACTTGCACGGCAACAACTCCTCAGTCACCTCCCACGCCTCCCACTACACCAGCACACCAAACAACGCCCCGGCCCACCCCCACTTCCCACCCCAACAACCCCCCGCAGCCATCGGCGAGGTGCGGTTCACGGTGGAAGTGCAGCGCATCAAGAATCTCCCTGGGCTGTTTGTGGTCGAGTTCAAGCGTGCAAGAGGCGACGTGTGGGAGTTCAAGAGGCTTTATAATGAGGTCATTGAGGGGTGTGAGGGATTGGGACGGGTCGGGATGTAGAGTACCCTTTGGGCAACCATCGACATACGAAGAGAGATGGGGGAAGATTGGCGCATTGCTAGAACTGGGACACTTCCGCTCTTTGTTTCGCACGCTTCTATGAGACTTTTTTTTTTAACGACCGACAACACAACATTTCAGCTAGCGTTCACCTTGTTTCCCTCATCCCTTCGGACACACACCACCACGCAATATTCCCCCTCACGCAACTGTATTCTTTACAATTTTACCTTCTTGCCCCCTTTGACTTGATGTCAACGCGCGAACACTTTGTGGTGGACCACCCTCTTCTTTTTTTCGTATACTCCCCACCCCACCACCTCACCTCACTTAAGACCCCATCACGTTATTAGAGTCATCGTAATGTATGAGAACTGAGAGTATTCAGTGTGTGAGTGTTCCTGAGTTGTTGAGCAAGGATTTGGTGGTGATGAGATCGATGAGAATCGCTGGATTGTCTTTGGAAAGATTTCCTGCACATCAGTCCATTTGTGCGGGTGGAAGTGTTCCGGGGTCGGCACTCAATCCATCTAACAGGGTGTATCGGAGTCTCAGGCTACGGAGAAAACCTATGCGGTGGGCCCTCATCTATCGTGGGAGGGATCAGTTTTTGACGGGGTCGTTTTTGACGGGAGGTCTAGAAGAGGCAACCTAATTGAATTGGGAGAGGCATCACGTGCGCGCAGGCCTTCACGTTATTAAACTTCCAGTTCACGCTGTGCCAACTTCTCAGTCGGTTCCTCGACCTTTTGACATTGGCCCCTGTTGACAACTGCAAAGCGCTCAGGGAGGAGTAGGAGGTGTTATCGGCACTTTGTTTCGTCACTACAGAAGGTATGCTCCCCTCTACGCTCTGTGGGGCTCCTTGTGTCGGAAGAAACTTGCCCGCTCAAAACGTATCCCAACCCCTCCAATTTCTACAGAGTTTGTGCGCACAATGCCCTCAGGGACACTCTCGGGACGGCAACCGTCCAAAAGGACGAAAGGTACCGCTTCCTTTGAAGCTGCTGGCTGGATCATGGGTGGGAGGCTTGACCGCTGAGTTCATCGGCCCGACTGAAACCGGTTTGCGTTCCCCCTCCAGCCTCGGCACTGTACCAACCTTTTCGGGCAATTGGCTACGTCTGTGCCGACGTCCCGCTGAACGTACAGGCCCGTGGGAACGTCCATGCTTTGACGGCGTCTGTCGGGAACTCGTTCCATATCTATGATGTGAGTGTCTCATTTACGCTTTATGAGCGGCCGACCACACACTAAAGTCTTTCTTGGGTACAGGGAGAGAAATTGAAGCTCCTGTTCACAGGTTTGTCGGCGATACCGTAGAGGGAGAACAAATTGGAGGCGGTCTGGACTGACGGTGTGGGGGGTAATGTCAACATAGGTCCGCAAAATGCCGGACCGGTCACTGCCGTCGCTGCGTTCAAGGACAGGATCTTCTCGGCGTGCTCCAACGTGATATCTGTGGCGGAGCGTGGAAAGGAGATTGCGCGATGGGAGGCCAACGCGGCGTGCAAGATCTTCTCACTGCTGGTCTTTGGGAATCTGATACTGGCACTATGTGATGACAACGTGCTGCGAATCTGGGATCATTCTACTGGAGGTATTGTCAAAGGCTTTGAATAAAGGGTTTCGTAGCCATTCAAACACGGAGACTCAATCTCGATTTCTATAGAGTACTACAACGAGTTGTCGTTTCCGGATTCCTTCCGTGTCTCGGCCGTGCTGCATCCCAGCACATACCTCAACAAAGTACTGCTGGCGAGTCAGCAGGGAACGATGCAGCTATGGAACATCCGCACTTTGTATGTCGTCATCTGAAGATCCCCGCTGCAGTCCGACTTGCTAAATCACAACCTCTCTGAACGACAGAACAATGCTCTACGAGTTTGCATCACTGGAGTCGCCGATCGTATACTTCACACAAGCACCAGCGGTTGATGTCGTGGCGATCGGATTGCTGGACGGATCAACAGTATTGCACAACATCCGCGCGGACGTGGAGATTATGAGGCTGAAGCAAGATGGGAAGGTTACCGCTATCTCCTTCCGCACAGGTAGGGATCGGTCTCGCGAGAAATCGGTAGCAAGGGTTGGAGAAAGGAAAAAACGACTGACTTGCGTATGCAGACGAGAAGCAACACATGGTCACTGCGAGCATCTCGGGGGATTTGACGGTATGGGATCTCAGCAAACAGCAAGTGCTGAACGTGACGAGCGGCGCACATGCTGGGGCCATACATACTGCCCACTACTACGCCGGACAACCGATCCTGATCACCGCCGGCGCCGATAACGCCATTCGCGTAAGTCCGCATACTCAGTTCGCCACCTTCACGGAAAAGCCCAACTCACCCTTTCCTCAATCTATCTCCCACAGCAATGGATCTTTGACTCAGCAGAAGGCCACCCCCGCCTCCTCCGCCACCGCGGCGGACACCAGACCCCACCAACGCGGATCCACTACCACCCTCTCGAACAGCACCAGATCATCACAGCGGGAGCCGACCAGGCCATCCGTGTCTTCAACATTGCGCGTGACGCAAACTGCATGGAGATCCCGTTGTTTGATAAGAAGCTGAAGGGGTGGGCGGCTGAGGATGCGAGGATACCGCCTGTGGCGCAATTTGCCATTTGTAAGTCAAACATATGCGAATTTGGCGCGCTGGGTTGTGTGATTTTGATTGACGAGCTGATGCGGATATTCTTTTCTAGCGGAGGAGACGTTGCATAAGTCTGTCAATATCATTACGGCCCATGTGAAGGATCTGAATGCGAGGATTTGCTCGTACGGCGGGAAACCGTTGGACAAACGGGTGTTTACTTGCACTGACGGATCTCTTGTGAAGGTGAGACACGGAACATCATGCTCAACCTAGACGAGATTGGTGATGCTCACGTTGAAACTTTTACATTATTAGTCTGTTGCGATTAGCGCCTGCGGAAATTTCGGGTTCGTTGGGTCGGCGCTGGGCGGTGTGGACCGGTACAATTTGCAGTCGGGGCTGCTCCGAAAGACGTATGGACAGTCTGGGGGAGGGCACACGAAGGCTGTGATTGGGATTGTGACGGATAGGGTGAATCGGCTAGTGATCACAGCGGGTCTTGATGGGCTGGTCAAGGTATGTGTTGTTGTCGTTCAGGCAAAAGCAGTCGCTCTACGGCGCAGAACTCACGCGGATTTCGAACATAGTTCTGGTCCTTCCAATCCGCCTCCCTCCTGCACACCATCGCCCTCCCTTTCCCAATAACCTCGATCGACCTGCACCGCGAATCCAACCTCCTCTGCGTCACCACCGACGACTTCATCCTCCGCATCATCGACGTCAGCACACACCGCACCGTCCGCGAGTTTGCAGGCCACCGGTCCGCCATCACCGACACGGCATTCTCCCCGGACGGCCGCCACCTCATCTCGACATCCACGGACTCGACCATCCGCACGTGGGACCTGCCCACCGGCCACTGTGTGGATATCTCCCGCGTGGGCAGCGTGCCGCGCTGCGTAGCGGTGTCGGCGAACGGGGATTATATCGCGACGGCGCATGCCGACCAGGTCGGGATCTTCTTGTGGGCGAATAAAGTGAATTTTGGAGGGATTGTGCCGCAGAGGGTTGAGGAGGGGGATGAGGTTGTGTTGGAGTTGCCGACGACTGGGGAGGTTGAGGAAGAAGAAGAAGAAGAGGAGGAGGAGGGTGGGAATGGACCGGCACCACCACCGCCCGCAGACGCGGGTCTCCAACCGGGCGAGGAGGTGGATGACCAGCTGATTGTGCTGTCTGGCGTGCCGAAGTCCAAGTGGCAGAATCTGCTGAGTTTAGATGCTCTCAAGGTACGCGTCTACCATAACCTGTCGTTGATATTCCCCCGTTTATATACTAAACCCCAGCGATCTCCCCATCTAGAAACGAAGCCAACCAACCGAAGCCCCCAAAGCCGACCGCGCGCCCTTCTTCCTCCCCACCCTCCGCGACCAAAAGAAGCTTCTCACCGCCACCCCCACCCCCCCACCAAACCCCACCCAATCCCGCATCCTCACCACCCCGCTCACCCTCCACGAAACCCCCGACACGGAGTTCCTCCTCCTCCTCCGCCAGTCCCACCTCGACGCCGATTTCACCGACTTTGCCAACCATTTGAGGGACCTGGGACCGGCGCAGTTGGATCTGAGTCTGAGATTGTTGGATACCGCGGGCGGTGGGATGGAGGAGGGAGGCGATTTGGGACGGATGGTGGATGCGTTGGTGTGGATGATGGAACGGAGGAGGGATTTTGAGGCTGTCGAGAGTGTGCTGGCCGTTTTGGTCAAGGTATGTTCGCCAGTCCTTGTGATACGCCCTCGATTGTATTCGTAGTGTTTTTCACACCCCCCAACTCACTGACACGATGCATTCCATCCAACAGGTCCACTCAAAACAACTCCTGGAATGTCCCCGCCTCGACACCCTCCTCCGCCGGCACACGGATGCGTGGAACACGCTTGAGGGCATGTTTCAGTATGGATTGTGTTTGTTGGATTTCGTCAAGACTGCTTGAAAAGCAAGTCACACACATATTCCATGGTTGCGCGTACATGCAACACACACATCACATACACACACACCTCACACAGTACGTAGCATTGCCATTTCCCACACATGGTGTTTCACATAGCATTAGCGTAATTTATATAGGTCATTTGTTCTTTATTAAATTTTTGAAGTGTTTTTTGTGCGTATTGCGGTGTAGCGGTTTCACCAACAAATGAAAGGTTCGTTTTTTTTTTTTTGAATGACGAAGCGGTGGATGCCCCCCCGAGAAGAGTTCATGCGATTGGAGAAAACGCATCCCGCCGGCTACCATTGCGATATCGTTCGCCGCGAAGGAAAATTCCGAACCGAAAATCGTAAAGAGTGCAGGGTGGTTCATTCATTCGGTGGTTACCCTCTGCGTCCCCGAAGTGCAGGCAGTGGTGGTGGACGATCGGAAGCTGCTGGAAGTGGGCCGCTCAACCATGGTAGGACGGAGGCGGAGGCGGACGTTGGAGGAGATGTTCATCGAGAACGTCTGACAAGGCGACCAGGCCGCCGTCTGCCGTGATGATGTCCATTCGAACATCGCACCTATAATGTGCAGGCTGCAGCTCCTTATAGTAGCGGGCCTGACCCCACTCGAGGCAATCCGCGGGCGGCGCGATATCCCATACGGTTCCAAAAGTCCAAAGCCTCCTCATACGCGGCGATGGCCATCAACGGGTGTCCCCCTGGAAGACGGCTTTGGCCTCTATATACCGCACCATCTCTCTTCCGAGCCCCTGGCCACGGCTCCGAGGGCAAACCCACATCAGGTAGGGGCCGGTGGAGGATGGGGGTGGTGCCGAAGTCGTGGTAGAGCACGAAGCCCATGCGGTTGTTAGTGGGCGGCCCCGCGAAAGATATGCAGACAGACATGCAGGTTCTTGTGAAAGGAGGTCCCATTGATCCTAGGAGCCGCCTCCACGGCTATCGTGCTCTTCACGAAGAAATGCTTCCAGTCGTCCTTGTCGAGAAGCCGAGGTGGAGCGATGGAAGTGTAGTTGTTATACTGTATTTGCCGCGCAGTCACGGCCACCAAAAAGCCTCGCTTCACATGCCCCCCTTCAACCCCCCTTGGCGTTCAACTTTCCGGCCTCTCAAAAACAACCGCACCTACTGTAGATACACTTCCCAGCCCGACCTCTCTCACTACACAATCTCACTACTCACTCTCACACCACCCACACCACTCACTCACCCACTCACGCAAAGATGTCCTCCCAGCAAGGTCCCTCGAAAACAGGCCAGGTCCAGAACCAGGTTAACGAGGTTGTTGGGATCATGCAGGTGCGTGTCAGTCGACTCAACTGGAGATCACGGGAGGGTTTTGCGTGCGTGCGTGCGGAGGGGGAGGAAAGCGGAGCAAGTGGGGTGAGGTATTGAGGGGTGGAGTTCTGACCTCGTTTTGTTCCATCTATGGATAATAGGACAACATCAACAAGGTCATGCAACGCGGCGAACAATTAGACACCTTACAGAACAAGACCGGTGCGTAAACCCCCATCCCACCCCACCGCCCCATGTCATTCACATCCACCCAATTGACCCCAATACCCATCTGTCATAACTCCCTCTATCCATCAAATAAGATTGACATTCTGTTTTTTTCAACAGATGATCTCCAACAATCATCCCTCCAATTCCAACGCGGCGCCTCCCGCGTCCGGAAACAGATGTGGTGGAAGGATATGAAGATGAAACTTATCATTGGAGGCATTGTTGCTGTTATTCTTATTATCATCATTGGTAAGGGATTATTTCTTTTGGGTTGGATGCGATCGGGGATGCGGGATGCCAGGATGTGGGGAGGTGTGGTGGGCATGATGGGGATGTACGGCTGCGCGCGGAAAAGAGTTGGGCGGATGGACTTGATGTGGAATTGGCGAGGAGGTTTCGAGACGTGTCTGCTCATCACCCTTTTCTGTACATATAGTGTCGATCGTGAAGTCGGGTCAGTAGACGCAGGCGACGCAAAAGAGGATCCGGTCAGATCACATCACGACTCTGTGCACAAACCGTCGTTCACCTAGCCATTTCACCAGCGGGCCACACGTCGCCTGTACAGCCCACCATCCGCTTGTATCGCCGGTTACCGCAAAACTGCCCACCCCATCGCAACGAGCTGAGTTTCCCCAACCCCCCTAAATCCCACCGTCGTAATCCCGTCCGTCTTTTCCTCCGTTTTTGTTTTTTTTTTGGTTTATCCGGGACTCCCACCTTTTGTACCATAGTGAATATACGTACCATACAAATGTACAATTGACAACCGGTTGTTGAACTAACGATAGCGATGGATCGAGTTCGCGCGCGCTAAATACGTAGCTTGATGTACACTTCCAATAACAAGACCAAGGCGACTTCCCTCCATCGGAGAAGTCATCAAAGTCAGGCTGGGTAGACCCATCGGCGGACCGGCGTCGGTTTCCTCTTCTGGTCTCACATTGGGTTCCGGTTCAGGCAAAGCCAACTATCATTTAGCGTTAGTGACGCAGGTTGCGCTCAAGATGGACACGCTTGAAACCGAGCTGACTGTGTGCCCGATGCCGGCGTACTCCTCAAATGCAGACCCTGAGCGTTGGTTGAGCGAGCAGCCAGAAGCGTATCGTAAGAAGCACCTTCCCGTTCGGCCCACAGACGTTCAGCAAACGCCCATCGCCTTCGGAAAAGCCTTGGAATTTGTGACAGTGGACAAGGCCGGCAACACCATACCTTTCGTCGAGGGCAAATCCTGTTGGGTTCTTCTGGAAAAACAGACCTTTAGACAGAGCCTGACCCGTACGTAGAAAATCTACGACCCGATGGTGACAATCAAACTGGAGGATCTGGTCCGGCTCAGAACGTACTTGAAGTTTTTGAACGCCGCACCTTCGCCATCGCTCGTAGTAAATTACGTGCGGCTTTGAAATACAGTCAGGTAGCAAAAAGCTGTCTCTCCGCGAGATTAAGTCAGTGCCGCCCTCTCCGCCTTGTGGGACGGTCATTGACCTCAATTAGGAGGAGAGACAGCTTTTTGCTACCTGACTGTACAATGGCCTATACCTTTTGACGATGGCGATGATACAGAAGACCACGGTGATTGACAGGACGCAGATATGTTGCCGGTGGCGGATTACCTCCGCATGCTGCCTTCGCGTTCGGACGCAGTGCAGAGGTTGATCGATGAACACGACGCGTCGTTACAAAGACAGAAAAACGAGCAGCTTAGGAGGAGTGCATGGGGTGTCCTCGTATGATCTTCACCATCGCCGCGTACTGGCTGGCGATGCGCTCCTTCAGCGCCTTCTTCAACGGAGGGCTCAGGGGCACCCTCGCTGCGCCACCCATTTTGGGGGTTATCGCGACGGCGCCGGACGCCGTTTTGGGCCTCTCTTCCTCACCCATTCCTTACCCAAAATCTGCCATAACTCAGCCAGTCCGGAACTTTATTCAGATATTTTTGGTGATTCTGATAGCCCTGACAATTCCGCTGAAGTCCCGCACCAACGGCGCTCACGCGCTGCCCTTGCCTGTCCAGCGCTCTGCGTCGAAAAAGGGAAGCTCCGTTTATTGTGAAGCTGAAAACGGCGACGACGCGTAGATACTAGTGTCAGTTGCTGCAAACCACGGGTGCCCCGCAATTCAAATACACGCGTTCGGACGGTCACATGACTGTCCACGTGACTAGGCCTTGTCGAAGAAAAACCCACCCCCGCCCCCCGCCTATAAAAGGAGACCCTGCCACCGCCGGAGTTTACCACCCATTCCGTTCCCCAATCTGTTTTCGACGGAGCGTGCTGGGACAGGCAGGCGCTGCACCTGTATCTCTCTACTATCCGCGCGCCTATCTCTCTTCAGCGACGCTCCCCTCATAGGTGATCCCACAGCTCGGTATGTTTACGTTCCCACCCCCCTCATCAGGAATCACGCAGCACGATTCAAACTGGCAGACGCCCGGGTATGATGATAGCAATTCTTTCCCCGTCTAATCGACCATGTTGAAAACGGCGCCTCGCTTTACGGAGCGGGGTTCACTCTAGCCAGTGCTTTTTCTGACCCCTCTGCTTGTGGAAGACCGCTGCGTGATTCCTTTTATTCATCTCTTTGTGTTTTGGGATTGGTTCCTCATCAACTGTTTTCCTTCTCATACTTAAAGGTCCCAACATGGTTCGATGAGCAACAATCTCAGTACCGCTTTCATGTCGTGACCACAGTCGTCCGAGCAGGTTGGTTTCTCCCTTCCTCCTTCCCAGCATAGTGAGTGGGGGGTATCAGCACTGCCGTGGATGAAGATTACCATATTCGCAGTTTCCTCCGAAGGGACGCAAGTCCCGATGCCGGCAGAAGCACCTTCCTTGGATGTCTGAGGCGTGCTACCCCCCACTACTCATTGCCACTATCGTTGATATGCATTCGTGTTGTAACAGACGCTGATCCTGCATTTCCTTGTAATTGTTTAGGTTTCTTCGGGTACGTATGAAGGTCAAGTGAGTGAGCCAAGACAGGGTCACTCCTAGTAGGCAGGCGGCTTCGTTCACGCATCGCGAAGACACGACGGTGCCCGACAGTACACAGGCATAATTGAGGGGGTTGGCTTCCAAGCTTGTGATTCCAGGAACACATACGGACGGAGTCGTTGCGTTTACGCGCAACGACTCGCGTCTCACATTCACCTGGGACAGGCTCCCACAAGCACATAACACATGTTCGAAAGAACACAGGGCGCAAGCTCTGGTGGATTATCAGAAACTGCGGGTCATGCATCGGTTTCACTCTCCATGACGACTTTTCGGAGTTACCAGAGCTGGAAACTTGCAATCGACTCATGAAAGCGGTCCACGTGCAGCTACCCGTTAAGTGCAATTCACAAGTCGGCCTGCGGGCCGGACTCGAGTGGGATGCTCTGGATACCAACCCCTCTCACTTATGAGCCTTTTCGTTACTGTTGGCACCCTCCTGTTGCGCTCTTTTGCGGAAGCCGCCTTTGTAGATCTCGAGTCGTGCATGAGTACATTGGGTTGTTGTGAACTTGTCGTAAATACGTTTCGTGCTGTGTATCGTTTCTGCAATGCAATGTCCGCGTTCTCAAAAGAAAAAAATCGCCGTCTTCCTGTCGTGCTGTGTGTGAAGGGTGTAAGGAGACTGTACGTGCGAGAGAACAAGGCGACGGGCCCTGTTGCTATAGATCAAGACAGCATGCCCGACTCCCATTTGAGTCGTGTACAGTATCCGCGTCCCACCTTTAATAACAATGAGTTGTGTCTTTGAGCAGTTCTCTTACGGCGGGGGGCGAGCGGAGTCAAGAAAAGGCGGCGGTTAGTTAGTTAGCTAGCAAGCGACTGACGGCAACCGACAGGAGGGACTCTCGGGCGAAGTGAGCGAGACAAAGAACGTCCATTCTCCTCAGCCTGAACGTCTCGCAGTTTACAAAGTCAGATAGACATTAGACAGTCCAGACGGGACTACGGTGCTTGCGTACTTACCGTATGGTCTAAGAGGCGGAGGACTTACGGATATCCGCCGGCCGTTTAGCACCTGCGTCATCATGGTAGCACCCACAACGGCTAGACCTGCCAAGTCGAAGCAAAAACGGCCTCCTAATCCTCCTCAACCCCCTTCCACACGTCCTCCGTTCCCTCCGCCTATGCCGCCTTACTCTTATCACGATGGACAGTATCCTCCCGCGATGCTGCAAGGACAGTATTTCGCTCCCCCACCGCAACAGAACATGTTCTATCCTCCCTATCCTCCCTATCCTCACTATCAAGGCCCACCACCGGCGGGCTATGCGTTGCGGTATGAACCTCCTCCACATCCTACTTCCGGAGGCTACTACGTGCCAACACCCCCAGCAGTACCACTGCCGCCCGCAGGTGTATCCAAAGCGCCTGCCTTGTCGCCGCAAGACTTTCCGCTTCTTAAGTCCTCCTCAACCTCAACCACCTTATCACGGGCCTCTCCCGCAAAAGTCTCGATATCCGATCCATCTGGCAGGAAGGTGGAGATGGCTCCTCCTGCTGTCGCGAAGGCCGCAAAGGCTGCCGCACAAACGGTACCTTTCGACGCAGGTGTTGCGGCTTCTCTCCAACCCATAACCGAAGAATTTCAACGATCCTTACGCCGGCTCCGGAAGGTGGATGCCATGTTGGGCCAGGCACTGGGACGCCCGGCGGTCGCCATGGAACAACAGTTGTTGATGGAGGATCTGAACTCCTTTGCGACCGTGCAAAGCGAGGCATTCAGTGCCGTCGCAAAGGGTTGCGGGTTGCGGGTTGCGGGTTATCCGCACATGGGCGATGACAGCGCCCCTTTCAATTTCGATTTGGTGAAACTGCTGGAAGCCTCTGCCACTGACGTCCAGCAAAAGCAGCTGGAGATTGCCGCGATCGGAAATTACGCTTTTACTATCGAGGACGCGGTGATCTTGAGCAACGCCGCCCATGGGTTCTTTCAGGTCTCGGTCCCAGACCCTACGACTTGCGTAGAACCAGGCCAGAGCGCGCAGATCTCGCTCGCTTGCAACAGCGGGTGGCGAACGTCCGCTGGAAAAGTCGACGCCACGTTGTGCTTGATCGTAACGGTCTCCTCGCACTCATGCGCATCCTCGGCCGATGCGAAACCCTCCCTGCCCCGGATCGGCTCGCTATCCCTCCTTCTCACGCGAAACATCAGCATCAGCTTCGTCGACAGGGTCTCGCCTCTCTCTGTCCTTGCCGGGAAGTTCACCCCCGCATGGCTGCGAGAGCTCGCCTCCTTCGATCTGACCCCTTCACAGATCGCCACGATGCCCGCACCCCCGTCCGGTCTGAATTTGCGAAGATGGCTCCACGCCAACATGCCCAATATCACCGATCCGACTATCAACCAACTCGTCTCGCTACCCATTGTTTCCATGCTACCCGACCAACAGGAATCGAGGCTCTTCCTTAAGCTCTCCCCCGACACGTTTGGATTGCATTTCGACTTGCTTCTGCGTTTGGAGCTCGGTGCCGTGCAGCGGCAATATGCAGAGTACACACTCTACGACTCGACGCTGGAGTTCCACTCCAAGGCAAATGAACCGGGATGCTCAAACTACCTCATCAAAGTCCCCGGAATAGCAGATGGAAAGCCCCCCCTCCAGCGCGGGGACCCAGTCCACGTGCGCTTCTTCCCGCTGGTGCTCACTCAAGATAATTACGAGTCTAGCAAATGGACTGTGAAGGAACACCGCGGGTGGGTGCACAACCTGGTACGCCGCGATGGGAAGGTGTTTGTTGGGTTGCCGGATATCATGGCAACCGGGGATGGTGGACAATCGAGCCTGCATATGTTCAAGTATGTGGTCTCGTTCCCGCTGCCGGTGGAGGAAGCTGCGCTGGCGAGACGGGCGCTGTTGGCGCTGGACGCTGGGAATAATGGTGAGCACACCGCGATGGACGGGCTCAGGACAATGTTGTTCCCGACGGAAAGCGATTGCAAGGTCCTGGACGACAACATTCCCCTCGGCGACCCGGAACCGACCTTGACTTTCTACAACAACGAGCTGAACCCGGCACAGAAGATGGCCGCGGAACGGCTAGTGCAAGGCGATTACGGCGACGTGCCCTTTGTTATCATTGGTGGACCCGGGACGGGGAAGACATCCACGTTGGCGGAATGCTGTATGCAGATCTTGAAAAAGGAGAGATCCCCGACCGCCCGCGTGATCGTCTCGGCGCCGTCCAACTCGGCCTGCGACACCATCGCCCGCCGCCTCGCGGCGTATCTCGGGCCCGACGAGCTTATCAGGATCAATCACCCTTCCCGCCGAACAGAGGACGAGGTCCCCGAAGACCTCCGCCGATACTGCTGCACCACCCAAATCGACGGCATCCTCTTCCACACCGTGCCCCCGCTCGCCACGCTCATGAAGTACAAGGTGGTTGTCGTAACCTGCATCGATGCCGCCCTCCTTCAATCCCTCGGTCTCGCCAACAAAGACCTGCGCGCAACACTCCAACCCAACCGCACACCGCTAGCGAACGACCCCCTGTTCCACTTCACCCACCTCCTCATCGACGAAGCCGGCCAGGCCACCGAACCAGACACCTTGCTCCCCTTAACCCTCCTCACCGACGCGCTACCCTCCATCACCCGCACCGCAAAGCTCGTCCTTTGCGGCGACCCGTACCAACTCGGCCCACGCGTCACCTCCCACCCCGCGCGCGCCGCCCATCTCCACATCTCACTCATGGAACGCCTCATCGTCTCCCAAAAACTGTACCAACCCTCCCACTCCGGCCGCCTCGACCTCCGCATCGCCCCCAAACCGGGCTCCGACCCGCGCGTGATCCAAAAGGGCAAACGCGTCCGCCCCACCGTCTGCACCCTCGACGACAATTACCGCTCCCACCCCTCCCTCCTCACCGTCCCCTCGCGCTTATTCTACAACTCCCGCCTCCGCGCCGTGGGCGAACCATGCGAAACGCATCGGGTTGTGATTGCGGGGCTGGAGGGGGTGTTGGTGAACCCGCGGCTGCCGATGATGGTTGTGGATGTGGGCGAGGAGGACTCGGACGCCGTCGCGGAGGTTGTGGAGGGCGATGGGGTCAGTGGGTGGTGGAATCTGCGGGAGGCGAGGGAGGTGGTGAGGGTTGCGAGGGGTGTGGTTGAGGCCGGGGTTGTGGAGGCGAGGGAGGGTATGTGGGCTTTCCCGCCCCCTTTTTTTGAAACGCAATTGTTGGGGTTTCTTTGAATTATGAAAGGAGGACTGACCCCATCGTTTTGGTTTCGAATTTTTTTTTTCTAGTGGGAGTCATGTCACCGTTCAGAGAACAAGTCAAACGCATCCGCTCCATGCTCCGGAAAACTACCATCCGCACTTCAGGCGTTCCCTCGAAAAAGGCAAAAACACTCCGTGACGTTAACGTCGGCACCGTCGAAGACTACCAGGTGCGTCCCCCTCACCCTGCCACCCATTCGGTCGCCCCCCCCCCCCCCCCCCCCCTCGTCACTGACCCCCCCCTCCCGCCCCCTCTCTATGATCCCCCCCAGGGCCAAGAGTTCCCCATAATCCTCATCTCCCCCGTGCGCACGCGCCCCTCTGCCCTCGCCAAGGACATGGAGAACGACATGGGGCTCATTGGGTTTCCGAAACGGTTCAATGTGGCGGTCACGCGGGCGAAGAGTCTGTGTGTGGTTGTGGGGAGGGTTGAACTGCTTGTTCGGGATGCGGGGTGGAGCGAGTGGATTGGAGGCGTGCAGACGCGGGGTGGGGTTCTTCGGGTTAGGAGTCACGGAGACGCGGACCCGGTGGGCCTAGAGATTGGGGGAGCGGTTTTGGAGGCGGGCCTGGAAGATGGGGAAATTCCTGAACCCGCATCTGAAAGAACGCGGGGAACACCCCTCGGCGAGGAACTGGAAGATGGGGAGATCCCCGAAGCGGAGGTTGGAAGAAAGCCGGTGGCGCTCACCGGGTTCTTTGCGGAATCTGCCTCGGGGAGTTACGAGGAGCTCGGCGGGCTTGAGCTCGATCTTGACGATATGACGATACAGCCGGATGTGGTGGGGGATGCGTTCTTTGGGGAGTATGGGGAGTTGGGGGGTTTAGATGAGGGTTAGTGGGGAAGATGCGGGGTGGGTGGTTAGGGCTTAGAGGCGGGGATGAAGGCGTATGGGTTTTAGCGTAGATTGTTTTGAAGGCGTGATGTGTCTGTAGAGGCGTTGATGGATGTTGCTTTGCATTTTGGTTCTTTGATTATCATACGCATTCCAAAGGGTTTCTATCTTCGCTTTTTTTTTTATTGGGATATGTAATATGTACAAGATGGGGGGGTCGTTGTGATGCGCAGAACGAATACCGGAAGGTTGGTTTTTACGCACACGGGGAACACAGCAACCCATCACTCCTTATTCGACGTAAGTTCAATCAACAATTGCCTGCAAACGCATCAACATCAGTTGGTTCAGCGCCCACTATCACTATCACATCGAACGAAAACAGCGATTCGAATTGGTATGAGACGTACCAGTCGGAAGGGTTGTCCAGCATCACGGACTGCTTAAGGGCTGCTACTGCGTCGTCTTTGCCTACAGAATTCCAAATAAAAAAAGGGTAAGGAAAAACATCGGTTGGAGATGGAAGATTCGACGCAAAGGCAACACTTACGATTTACGGCTATACATGCGCGGGCCATTATCTGGAAGGCGTTGTACTGGGGTTGGGATGGGGAACATCAGTAATATTGTGATTCCGATAACCCGCCTGGGCACATCTACCCACATTAAGCGGATCCAAAGCGACGCTCTTCTCAAAACATTCAATCGCTTTTGTGAAATCCTTCTTGTTGTAGAACCCGACGCCGCATCGGAACCAGCCCAGGGAGTTGCGCGGGAGGGAGCCGATGCGGAGGAGGAGCCATTCTTCGGAGCTGTTTTGGGAGGAGGAGGGGGCGAGGGTCGGGGCCGACGTGAGTGGGAGGCTGGTGGAGGGGAGGGTGTCGGCGCCGGGTTCTTTTTGGATGGGTTCGGGGTCGGCGGTTGTTGCCATCGTGGGGGCGGTGGTGGTGGAGGTGGGGTGGGTAGGGTTGAGACTGGGCACTTACACTTGGGAAGCAGTATGCCCGGTGGGTGAAAGCCGGACGTGTTCCTTTTGCTTACCTAATCTCGCGTAGTGTTCGCGTTCATCTTGTTTGCGCCTTTCATTCACCATGTTCCAACCCCCAAAGGCATCTCCCTTTCCCAACTCACTTCACTCGGACTACCATAAGAGTGGTAGTTATTCAATCTCAATTGGCACCCGTTCTGCGCCAACACTCATCCTCCGTAAATATATGCATGAACATGCTAGCGACCGAGCCACCCGTCAGCGCCGTCGCCGGTTCTCGCGCGTTCGGGTTCCGCAGGAACGCCAAGGAGCTTGATGAGCAGGGGTGAGTTCGGGACGGAGTCTTGGAATTGATCGAAAGAGCTAGGAAGCACTTGCTCTTCATGTATCTTGGACTGATCTATGATTGTTGCTACTGGTCAATAGGAACACGCGTATGACCTTGAAGTACGTGCAGCAGCTATGCAAGGAACAGAAACTGTACAACACTCCGGAACTGAATGATAAGCTGTACCTGCATTTCAAAGGTAAGGAAAACCATCCAGCAGCAGTATCTGATCATCTACGGCCTCCCTCCACCTGCTCCGGCCGCTCACCGCCCCACCGGCAGGCTTCGCCAAGATCGAAAACCTCGAAGCATACACCGGCGTGCGCTCGCTCTGGCTCGAAGGCAATGGCATCTCGCGGATCGAGAACCTCTCAGCGCAAACCGACCTCCGCTGCCTGTTCCTGCAACAGAACTGCATCGAGGAGATCGAGAACCTGTCCGCGCTCACGCAGCTCGACACGCTCGCCCTCGACAATAACCTGCTCAAGCGCATCAATGGGGAGGGGCTGAAGGGGTTGAACAGTCTGAAGACGCTGCAGGTTGCGAAGAATCTGTTGAGGACTCGGGAGGATCTGGAGGGGTTAATGCAGGCGCCCGGGATCACGATTCTGGATCTGAGCGGGAACAAGTTGGAGGATCCTGCGATTGTGGATGTGCTCGCGGGGTTGCCAAACCTGGTAGGTGTTGGTTCTCGCAATGGGGGGAGGACATGATGAGAAGGAGGGCAACTGAATGTGGGCGTTTTTTCGTTTTCCCGGCAAAGGCGGTCCTGAACCTCATGTCCAACCCCGTCATCGCGAAAATCCCAAACTACCGCCGTGTCCTGATCTCCCGCATCCCGACACTGACCTATCTCGACGACCGGCCCGTGTTCGACAAGGAGAGGCTGGCTGTTGAGGCTTGGTAAGGCTTTGCAATCTTGATCGTCAAAAAGGTGAACATGAGAGAGTTTTGCTTATTTTGATGCGGATCCGATAGGGCGCGCGGCGGAGTCGAAGCCGAGCGCGAAGAACGGGAGCGGCAACGGAATGCCGAGAAGGAGGAGCAGAATCGGAACTTTGAAGGTAGAGAAAAAAACCCCGTCCTATTTCCACACCCCCACATCCCATCCCGAGGTATCTAAAATTTGCCCCATCATGAATATTCCCAGCCCTCCGCGACCTCCAATCCGCCGCGCGTGCCCGTCGTCTCGAGAAATACGGGCCCGACCCAGAACCCACCTTCACGCCCGCCCTCACGAAGCTCCGCGACTCGATGCTCGAGAAGATCTCGCCCGCCGCCCACGCCGCCGAGCCGTCCTCCGACTCGAACCCGGAGAAAGCGCGGAAGGTGAATGGCGCGCCCATCAGGCAGTTCACGCAGATGTCGACGGCGGGGCATCGCATCAGCGGGGGTGATGACGACACGGCGGGGTGGGTCCCTGAGCCGATGGTCGTTGACGAAGCGGAGGAAGACGACAATGAGGAGGAGGAGACAATCGCCAACCATGACATCCCACCCCTAGAAGACGCCAGCGACGACCTCACCGCCCTCTTCAACGGCGACGACGCAGCCCCATCGCTCCCCACACCCATCGGCACCCACGGCTGGGCGACGCGGCGGGAACGTGCCGCAGCCGCAGCCCGCACAGCCGGATCCCCCCCGTTCCACAGTGGGTTCACAAGCGGGATCCATGAACTCGCCGACGACGCCGTGCACGCTGACGCCGAGAAGACGTTCGTGGCAGCGGAAAACCCCAACCTGACCCTCCGGTCCAGTCGCAATCGAAGCGGAGCTGTGAGCACACGGGATCCGAGCGCGGAGCCTCACCCTACGCAGGATAACCCCTCCTCGGAGCTGTTGCCGCTGCTGGCGTTGTTGGAGAGCTCGGCGGCTGCGTCGGGCGGGTTGGATTGGATGGCGGGTGTGGATATGAATACTCCGCCTGGCCCCGCCGCCCCTACGACAGGAGCGAGAACGGACAGGAACGCTGACGAGCAGGACCACGCGGGGGTGGATGACGACGGTGATGGTGCCGGGCAGCGTTCCCCTCCCACCGACACGATTAAGCCACCCGGCCTGCACGCCGAACACCTCGCGACGCAAATGTTCCGCTCGGCCCCCAACACACCCACAGCCACACCCACCACCCGCTCAACAACCCTCCTCTTCCCAGACACCCCCGCCCCACCCCACATCCTGCACACATCCGTCCCCGCCAAACGCTCAGGCGTGCTGGCAAGCCGACGCCTGATTGAGGAGATTGAGGCGCGGGAGCCGCAGGAGCCGCTGGAGGCGAGGTTTGTTGTTGGGGATGATGACGAACCGGAGAAGGAAGAGGAGGGGTGGGTGGATGGAGCTAAAAGGGCGTGGGATTAACACTCCGATGTTATGTCTTTCGGAGTTTTCACTGGACATGATTCGAGATGCGAGGACCAGAATGGGGAACCAAATAAGTATAGATAAGTTACAGGACTATGTCTAACGAAAGGGAGGGGAACTACATATACATGTTTACTACGCTTATGTATGAACGCTCCCCCCCAATGCTTTATCTACCCAAAAATGGAGGTGATGTAATCTTGTGAAGGAGGATGAGGGCTCCAAGGACGTGTACAGTACATCTACGCCAAAAACCGTCCAAGCATATCCACCTCGTCCCTCACGTGGTGCAGGCCCAGTGCCGCTGTGGTGGGTGTTTGGTTGAGATATGTCTGCATCCAAAGAAATGTTAGAAAAAATCCACCGCATCTTTTTTTTTTGGGGGGGGGGGGGGGGGGGAGTTTGGGTACATACCACGACACCGGAATGAATCCCCTCCATAACCGCCACACTCTCCGCCCCATCCTCACTCTGAATAACCCCCCTCAGCCGCTCATACCCCAACATCAACCGTGTCGCAATCTTCAACAGGGCCAGCATCTCCGTCACGGGCGGTGCGTGGTCGCTGCGGAACCTTTCCGCGATGTTGGCGAGGACTTGGCGCCGCAGGGGTGGGGAGTGGGTGAAGAGGGAGGCGAGCGTGTCGAGGAGCGGTGTTGATGCTTTGCGGGCCTGAGAATCGCGGAACGGTTTTGATGCGGTATTGAGTCAGTCATAGGGATGTCAAAGGGAGAGACGAGGCAACGTACCTCGTTGCCTGCAGGCAGACTGAAAACAGCCACGGCAGCCGGTACAAACACATTGGCCAGACAGCCCACATACTCCTCGAAAACGCCTTCCGTGGCGCGCGGGTGGCTGGCAAGCACGTCCATAGCCGCCGCAATTCCGTAGCAGGTGTCGATGGGGAGGACCAATGATTGGTTCTGATCACAAACGAAACACGTCAGGATGATAGCCGAAAGATTGGGGAAGCCCACCACGGTTGTAAAACGTACCACCAGCTCATAAACACCCCCCAAAAACCCCTCCGCCAGGCCCAGATCCTGTCCAACCACATTCCTCATCTCCCCAACAACCGCCTTCCTCCTCTCCCAAAACACCGTCGGGGACATATCCCGTCCCAGCAAAGCCTCCGTCCCGATAACCATCCCCAGCGCCCGTGTTGTTGTTGCAGCAGAAGTGCGCAAGGCGTGGAAATTTGAGGAAGTGTAACCGACAACGCCGATGGTAAACACCAAGCTTGCGAAAGTGGCGTGCGGGAGCGGGTCGGGGCTTTGAGTGTGGCGGTGGTGGAGGAGTTGGAGGGCGAATAGCGTCGTCGAGGTCGGAGTCGATATATCTATTTCAAGGTGAAAATCAAATCAGTTTCCCAACAGGTAACGCCAGGAGGGGGGGATGTAAAAAAGGTACATACGCGTCAAACACTCCGCAACCCCCCTTGCCAACTTCTCCCCCCACGCTCCTAAGTAATACCCGACACTCAACGCCAGAACCTGCGTCTCCTCCGCCGCCTCCACAAACGGTCCAAACACCCCGCCTTTGGGGGTCTCCACCCAGAAAAACGGTGTAAGCGCACTCTGCAAGCCGGTAACGAACGCCGGGGTTCTGGCGAGGCCGCGCGGGTTGTTGCGGAGGGTGTGCAGGAGCATGGACAGGATGGAGAGAGTAAGGGTGGGGTTGGATTGTTTGAGTTGCCAGAGGCGTTTGGGGAGGGTTAGGAGGAAGGTTTGGAGGTGGGTGGTGACGGCGGCATCTGATTGTGAGGGTGATGCTGAGGGTGGCAGTTTGACCAACCGGAACAGGAACTCGAACCCGAGCGGGGCGCATGGCGTTCCCCCCGCCGCGTTGGTCATCGCGATGAACGCCTGGAGGAATTCAGAGTAGCCTGGTTCGCCGAGTGTGCTTAGGAGTGACCAGACTACGGGGAGACTGGCTTGTAGTTGTTGGGGTGTGAGCTGGGTGACGGTGGCGGTCTCGCCTTTGGACTTTTTCCCGTTGAAGACGTCGAGCATATAGTCCAGCATCAGCCCTTGCCATGAGTGGCCGGCTTCTTCCTCGGCCCGGTTTTTGGTTGGGTTTTGGAGGAGGAAGTGGGAGAGCAGCTCGCAGAAGAGGATGTTCATGTCTTGCAAGACGTTATCCACCTGCAGCAAAAAGAACATCGATCAATACAACATCCCCGCGCCCCTAACATCAAGATATTCTTACCTGTTTATCCCTATGCGCGAAATTCCCCTTCCCAAACGGAAAATGCACCATCAAATGTTTTTGAATCCCCTTGAACCACCCCTCAACCCACCCGCCATCGACGCGGTCCTTGAACTGCAGCAAAAACGTCCTCCAGATCAGATTCATCATCTTCAACACCGAGTGCATCACCCCGAGCGCTGGCGTGAGCGTGATGGTGCCCGCCGTGAAGACGCTGGGGGATGACTCGAGCCAGAGATCCACGAGGGTGGGCATTAGGACGTCCGTAAGGGCCTGTGAATCATGACGCCAAACATTCAATGAATGCAATTTGATATGCGAGACGGTTTGGGTGGTTACCTTTAGATGCTCCAGCTCGTCTAAATGATACACATTGCGAATCGATGTGTCTACTTTAGATGTGCTGGTGCTTACACCGATCGATACACGATCTGACTTGATGGCTGGTCCAGACCCGGCTCCAAAGAGGCCTGGGGTCGTTGCGCTCGCGGTTGCATTGGTATGAATGTCCAGGTACTCGACCGAATCGTGTATTACGATGCCTGTCTGCGAAATAAGAGGAATTAGATGAGACGTTCAGCGCGGACGGGTTGACAGAGCCTCTGGAAGCCTCACTTGTTTGTAATCCGACCATCTATATGTGCGTAGCTGTCCACGTATGCTGGACGCGGCTTTTTTGGGCGCCGACGATGGGAAGAACCACCATCTGGAGAGAAGTCGTTATCGCGTATGCTCGGTAGAAAGCGAAGGCAACCTAATCTACAAACGTACGGGTCATCATCCTTGCGCAAAATCAAGGTAAGAAAACCCAGCAAGCTCTCAAGGACTTCCACACGTGTCTACAATGAAGAAGCGGATCAGCAACCCCTGGACGCGAGGCAAATCGTCAAGAGTACAGCAAAGATCGCACCTTTGCAGACCCGAGTTGGCTACGAGGGTTGACGAGCAGGGAAGCGCCCGTGCTCGTCATGCCTCCCTTGTTCTTCCCATTCGAGATCAGCATCGATAGATAGTTTGGGATGACCTGCATCCGAAGTCAGTTAGATGCGGTGTTTGGCGAATATGAATACGATATCGAGATCGCAACACGCATGTTGGGCTGGGATCGCAGGAGAGAGCTTCGGCGCCGCATCGGCGCAATTCGCGGCCCTCGCCCGCCCGCTCGCTCGCAAAAACTCCCACCTCCACCAAACCCGCTCCGGCACGCCCTCGCCCAGATAATCTCTCCCTCTCCCATGATAAACCCACCTTTTCCGCAAACCCGCCGACAATCCCCGGCCACCGTCTAATCCACACATCCAACGCCCTCAACCCATCCAACCTAACCTCCTCCCCAATATGCGTCATCGCCGAGCAGGTATACGCCATCGTCAGGCCCATGAACGGTCTGACGTGCTCCGCGGTGACCCTTTGCGCGAGGTCATCAAAGAACGACAGGAGGAGTTTGCGCACTTGCGGCTCGTCGTCGACGAGGAGGGGGGCGAGGGAGGTAAAGAGGGCGCTGAGGTGCGATCGGAGGGGGATGGGGTGCCGGTGTTGGAGTTCCCGGAGGCCTACTAGGGCTTCTGTTTGGGGGATATGCGGGGGTTGAGTGGTGCAATATGAGAACGGTACGAGTTAGGGGAGACGGACCTTTCCGAGCCTGGGCGCTGTAATGCCGCAGCTGGGCAAGGAGGTCTTTCAAGCTCTGGTTTTTGCTGCTAAGGACTTCCTCATGTGGTTTGTCGTCGTTGATGCTTTGGTTGGGAACGACAATTGCTGTTGGAGAGAGAAACGGTCAGCCAAGTCCACCTCAGAGGATGGATTATGAGAGGGACAAAGGGCACATACCCTGCGACTTGAAGGAAACGTTGGTATCGTTGTTGGCGGCCGGCTTCTTCTTTCCCACTTTCAGTTTCGCTTTCTGTAGTGGAATTGGGGGGTGGGTGTGTGGGTGACTGGACGGGTGGATATGCATAGACGCTCGTGCAGTATCATACCTTGAAGTCCTGCTCCTTGAGCTTCTTCTTGCGGGTGGCCTTTGGCATGGTGGTGGTGCAGCTGAGTGTGTGTGTGTGTGTGTGTGTGGGTTGTGATGTTGTTGGGGGGGCGTGTGCTGTGCTCCCATTCCCAGATTCCCACGGGTTTCCCAGCAGCGCCTTGTGAAGGGTCTAAGGCTGTCTTAAGGAGAGAGCAGCGCCCAGCAGCAAAGAGAGAAAGAGAGCAAAGCAGCACGGGAGTCCAAAAGGTCAACCCACCCAACACACACACACACCCACACAGAGAACAGCCCACAAGGTAACACTCGTCCTCAACCACTCCTCCACGTCTCCCCCCTCTCGCTAAGCTAACCCGTCCGTCAGCCCTCCCTCCCCCACAGGAGCCTCAAGCACAATGTCCTCCATCAAAATCCGCCCAGCCGCTCCAACCGACGTCCCCCTCATCCTCTCCTTCATCCGCTCCCTCGCCCTCTTCGAAAAAGCCCTCGACAAGGTCCTCGCCACCGAAGCCTCCCTCACAGCCACCCTCTTCGGTGCCCACCCCTACGCCCACGTCGTGTTTGCATGCGACGAACAATCGGGCAGGGAGATGGGGATGGCCCTGTACTTTTTCAACTACTCGACGTGGAATGCGGCCCCCGGGTTGTATTTGGAAGACCTGATGGTCGCCGAGGAGGATCGGGGGAAGGGCGTCGGCACGGAGCTGTTGAGGTATTTGGCCGGCGTGGCCGTCGAGAAGGGGTGTGGGAGGATGGAGTGGCAGGCTTTGGATTGGAACACTCCAGCGATTGAGTTTTATAGGAAGAAGGTGGGCGCGAAGAGCCAGGACGAGTGGATTGGGTTTAGATTAGATGGGGAGGCGTTGACTTTGTTCGCAAAGAGCTCGTAGACGGGGACATTTCCGAGGAGTGGACTACCCATGCGGCGTAGGGAGATGTCAGGCGCCATCCACCGACTGACGATGTAGAGTGTAGGCTTGGTACTCGGCGTACAGTATGCGAACGCACCTTCCCACTTAGACTTGACAGGACAAAGGAAAAAATCGTCAAATGCCATGGCATGCCTCACCCATCCCCAATAACATTCCTAAAAAACTCGGGCGCCCTCAACGGCCTCCACTCCGCGGTATGCGGTATCCCGGGATACACATCCTCCAAAAAGTAATACACATGCCCGACCAACAACCCAACCAGATCCCCCACGGGCCAATGACTATTCAGCAGCACCGTGAACCCCATCAGCACCCACGGCAGGTACGGCGCGTTGAAGTTGAACACGCCCAGAAAGTTCATCCGCACGGACGAGTTGCGCCGCGACCACACGTACACCAGCATGAACGTCAGCGGCGCGGACAGGAACGGGATCGCGAGCGAGGATGGGATCAGCGGCGTTAGCAGCTGTGTGTCATAATTCTCATCAGCGGGGGTCCTCTCTCTCCCCGCCCCCACTTCTGAACACTCGTAAACTTACGATCGAAGCCGACATCCCAAACCCCAAAAACCACACAAAATCCGCCGTCCGTCCTCGAAACGACCCCTCCTCCAACATCCGGCTATACCGCACCCTAGGGGGTTTTTATCAAAACTCCAGTTAGCCCAGCCCCCCCCACCCACCGGTTTTACGTTTTTTTCTCACTCACAGAAAAAACAAATGAAACAAAAAATCCAACGAAAAACTCCCGAAATACAAGAAACTCGTCACAAGCCTCCACCACTGTGGGGGGGGGGGGGGTCGGTTCGGAAAAAACAAAAACAAAAATCAGCGGTTGGGCCCCGCACGATCAGATCCCCCCCGCATGGATTCGCGCATGTGAGCATCCCCCGTACGTACCTGCCCGCCCTTCCATATCAGACTCCAGTCGAAGTACAGGTGGAAGGGTGACACCAGTTCCAATTGCTACAAAAGGGGAGGGAATGGTGGATGTGAGTAGGCGGCGGAGGGGGGGGGGGATGGTATCCGAGGGGGGGACTCACGCAGGCGAGGGTGGTGAGGAAGACGGCGGTGACGTAGGAGCGGGTGACGATGGGAACTTCGTAGTACCATTCTTCTATTGGGAAGGGCATTGTGTGGGTTGGGGTGGTTTTAATTGGGGTGGGTGTGTGGGTTGGCGGTTGTATACTGTAGGGCGGCTTTGAGGAGGTTGCAAGTCGTGACGTGGACGGTCGCCGTTTGAAGACGCGAAGGCACAGTACAGTAATCCACCCCAACGCCCACGGGCTCTTATGGGATGGATGTCCAAGAGACTTCAATAACAGATGTAACACAGAGAAACACGCATAAAATGAAATTAGAACAGGGAAGACGGGAACATATGGGTTAGGATGGGAGAATAGCGGAAGGGATGGTGGGAAGCGGATGTGGGGGACAAGATTATCCTTGTACATCCGTACACGAGGTTTCAGCTCGAGGACGTGGGGAGGGGGAAGGCGTGTAGGGACCTGAGGGGAGACTCAAAAAAGGGAATATGGGACAACTCTCCTATGAAAATGTCTGTCCAAACGCCGCTGTTATATACGCCTATGTCGCACATCGCCTCACACGACGCCGATAATGGGGTGAGAACGCCTTGCGGTAGGGATTGCACTTTCAGACCCGACTGGCAGCTTCAGAATACTTTGCGAGATCTTTACCCCAAAAGGGACGAAACAAAGATTCAATACATAAACTACCCAAAAAAAACTGGCCCGATGAAAAAAACACACGAATGGGTACTCACACTCCTGCAACTGCGGCGACATAGCCCTCGGGGAAATCGTCCGTTGCGCCGCATTATTCTTGCCCTGTCGTCCCCTCTCCACCACAGCCGGCCGTCCCCTCTCCACATCCTGCCCATTCGCCGTCTGCGTTTGCCGCGGATACGGCCGTTGCATATGGACCATCCTCGGCTGCTGCTGCTGCTGGTATAAAATCGACCTATCCATCGGCGGGGACGTACCCAACACGGAACGAGATTGATCACCGACATAATGATGCGATTGTTCTCTCCCCCGTTGTTGCTGATGTGGGTGGGGTGGTGGTTGGCTGTAAACGGGCCGTTGTGGTGAGATGTGGTGGGACCGATCAGGGCTTTTGTTCTCTTTATCGCTGGTGGAAGCGGAGGATGTGAAGAGGCCGGAGATGGGTTTGCGTTCGGATTTGTTCCCGTTCGCGCCGTTGGCGAGGCGGGCGAGGGTTGATGTTTTTGCGTTTTTGCCTGTAATTGATCCATCACGAAGAGAGAAATGTTAGATCTGCGGAAATGTCCCAACGACCAGGGGCGGAGGTTGTATGAAAACCCATACCTGTAAACTCCTCCCCAAAATCAAACGACACATCCAAAAAATTCCTATCCTTCCTCCCGGCCCCACCCGCCACTATCGTCGAAAGCTGGGACACCTCCTCCCCCTTCCTCCCAGCATTCCCACGCTTCCTCGACGAAGAGGAGGGCGGTTTCAAATGCTCATCCGACACGACCTGTTTCAGCGTCGCGGGTCGTGCGCCCGGTTGTCGGATATTTTGTAATGATTTCGGGTCACGTAACGTTTTGGGGACGTAGTTTGCAGGGCGGGGTTTGAGGGGTGGGGAGATGGTGCGGTACTGCACTGGTACGTCCTCCTTTTCGTTCGTTCGGCCACGGTGGGGAGACGATGCTGTTACGGCAGGTACGGAGGGGAGCGGGCGCGCTTGTCTAAGATGAGGGGGCGTGGTTGCCTGCATCGTCGTGTTCCCATTCCCACTCACCACCGACATATTGATCGCAGCCGAGCGGTTAGTCGGCTCATACAATCCCTGCGGGAGGGACGGTCTGCGGGCCTTCATGATTGGGGATGGGAGGGCGAGGGGGTCGGTGGAGAGGGCGGAGATGCGGTGGGTTCCCCAGCTTTGAGGCGAGGTTGGGTGGGTTGTTTCTTGAGTGGGTGAGGCGGGCTCGTCGAGGAGGATGGATTTGTTGGAGATGTACTTGGAGCGTTCGGTGGCGGGGATGTAGGAGATCGGTGTTGCTGGATCTGATCAATCGCAAAGAGTGAGTGACGGAGGATAGGAAATTAGGACATGATGAATGACAACGTACCTAAAGCGGGAGATTTGGCAATATTCCCTTTACTAGGGACACCCCTCAACGTCGCCATCGACGGCGAATTCGGCGCCAACTCCCTCAACAACCCCCCAAATGGTGACGACGCATCCTCCACATCCTCATTCACTCCTCTCCCCATCTGCTGCTGCGCCTTCCTCGCCAACCGTTTCCTCATTGTCAGGAACTCCTGCACATCCCCTTCATCATCCGACCACGGTAGCGCTCGCCGGCCCGTGGGCGCCCCGCGGGTGTCATCCTGGTCTTGTTCCGGCGCGTCTTTTGCGGCATGCACAACGTAAGCCGCTCCACGGATGGTTTTAGGCGGCGAAGCCGAGCGGGCGCGGAGGGTGGCTTTCCAGTTCTTATTGCGGGTACGATAGGTATTGCGCACCGAGGGGAAGGGTTCTGGGTCATCCGGGATGACGTTGTAATGCTGTGGGTGCATGTTGGCTTGGGTGTCGATCTCAGGGGGTGGGAGGATGCTTGCGGAGTGGCAAACGTTGATGGGGAGTTCGATTACTAGCTCTTTGCTGGAGGGTCGGTGCGATGGGTTAGTGGATGCATATGGTGTTGGGCGTACATCAAGCACATGAACACATACTTGAAGGTACCCATGTTGAGGGACATCACCAACATACACGCGACTTCCGCCAACGCCGTATGCTTGCAAGTCCTCACGAATCGCTGGAAGGATCAAATCGAGAGAGCATCTCGATAAGCAAAGGATCCATCAAGTCCCACCATCAGACTCCCTATAACTCACAGGAATTTGCATGTTCAAGATATTCGCGCGATCTTCTCCAGGATCAAAGATGAAATCCTTCTCCTTGAAGGCCACTTCCGCGACAGTCTCCCTGACGATCTTCGTATCGCCGGTGGTCTGGCTTTTGCTTTTGCCGTCCTTGACCATGAGGAGCTTGCGGACGAGTGAGAGTTTAATGCCTGATACCTGCATAGAGAATGTCGTCAATGGGTGTATGGAATGCGATCCCTTCCTGAATCTGACATACCCTTCGTTTGGATTCGTTCCTCACACGCAACTCGACATAGACATCATTGCCAGAGCAGAAGAAGGACTTTTGTATAGTCCCCTCAATATGGACCTCACCCGCGCCTCCAAACCACACCTTCCGATGATTCTTAGCCCTCACCGGCTCGCTCGTCATAACCCCATTGTTACTACTATACCAATTCTCCACCACAAACCCCTCCTTCGAGCGAAACAAGCTATCACTGCGTCCGTTCTGCTGATACTGGACCACACCGGTGATGACGTATCGGAGGCTTGCGAGGGACTGGAAGGAGTAGGAGCTTGGCGCGTCGTCGGGGAGGCGGAAGGCGAAGGGGAAGGTGGTTTTGCCTTTGTTGGCTTGCCAGTAGCCGTTCTCGGAGGGGCCGCGGACGGCGTTGGAGGGGGGGAGGCGATCGCCTTGGAAGACGATGCGGGAGGAGAGGAAGGCTTGGCTACGGGCGTAGTCTTTGTCGGATACCTCTGTGAGAGAGACATTGGGGTGGGAATCGATTAGTACCGGGATGTGAGAAAATGTGCGGAAGGGTCTGATCCCAAGAGACATAGCTCGCTTCGTTCGAAGGAAGCCCACTCTCTACTACTACCACCCGGATCTCACCCTACACCCACTCAATCTCTACCTCACCGAAACTCACCCTCAAACCCATTCAACTCCACCGCAATCTCCCCCAACCTCAAACTCTTACTACTCGACGAAACCACCTCCAACCGCCCATGCAGGTTCCCTCCCGCCACATAAATCGTCGAATCCAGCAACACATTGATCTTCAATTTGGACGATTTGCCGGGGGACGTCGGGATCGGGTTGAACGCCATATTCGGGGTGGATTTCAGCACGCTTTGTTTAGGTGGTCCGGCAGCGGCCATTCGGGGGGAAGCGACGTGGGAGTGGGCGCTGAAAGTTGGGGAGGGAGCGCCGCGGGAGTCGGAGTGGGCGCCGAAAGTTGAGGTGGAGATTTGGTGATGGAGGGGGCGGGGACGGTCCATGCTGGTGGGGCTGGAGAGCATGGGGGAGGGAGTGCCCGACCTTGGTGGGTCGATAGGAAGGACTTTGAGTGTAGACTGTGACGGAGTGTACGGTCGGGGGTTGGTTGCAAAAAGTCCTGGGGATTCCCAAAGTTGTTTTTCCGTGGGAATGGCTTGGACCAGTGAGAGCTGCCGAAAAGTGCCGTTGGCGGGCCCGGAGATGAGCACAAGGATATAAGAAGGCTTGGCAGGTTGGGGAAGTCAGTTGCAGTGGAAGAGCGAGCGTCTTACCTCCTTCTCTGCAGCCTTGTTTTGGGCGGAGTGGGAAAGTCCCGAGTCACCAGGAGAGAAAGGGACTAGGGACTAGGGAAGGGAAAAACGAGAGGGGGCGAAATGAGCAAGGGGGGCGAGGGACAGGCCATCACGCGTAATCATGAATGACCTGTTACTGTTCCTTCCACGCGTTGTCCCCTTGCGCGTGGCTTCTCTCCTGAAGGTCTGGCTGGACACGCTCGAGTCGCTCGCTGCACAGAGGCAGGCCCTCACAACTGATGATGGCACGGGAGAGATGCACGACCACGTGGAAGAAGAGGCCTTCATGTTGGCATCTGCCATCCCTCAGTTAAGTGAGCTATCGAGATGCTGAAAGAAGAGGCAAATGCGGTAGGCTGCGGTTATCATGCATGCTTGTACAAAGTGGAAGCCATTCCGGTGCAGAAGATATCTATGCAGAGACAGGCGCTGTACGGCTGGAAGAACGACGCTGAACTTGGACGCTTTGCTTCAGGAAGAGCGACGGCGCGGACCTGTGCGAGTCGCTTACGTGTGCCCCGATGACAAGCGCGCCTTGGACCCAGAAAACCATCGGACCGACGTCGGACCGACGTTGAAGATGGGGCCGAATGGTTTGCAAAAGTTACCCTATTACAAGTCATACGAGTCGGGACCCACAGTCTATCAGCCTGTGATAAAAACATCACAACTTAAACGTGCAACCTTCTCTACCGATACATGCACCACATATGGGCTCCACATACACCAAGTCGGTTCCCGTTCAAGGAATCATCACAATCTATCATTCAAGTCAATATTAGAATGCACGGATAGCAGGATCAGAAGGCCCAAGTCTTCAGTCATAATCCACAGGTGAACGCAGTATCACCCATCCCATCAGAGGCCTGGTCTCATCCGTGGGATGTCTCGCGAGCACATAGTCAAAGATAGGGCCTCTGCTTCGGTGGAACCCGTAGTTCCTGAGCAACTCGTCACAGAGCAACAACCTCCCTGCCTGCACATACAGAAGCTCAGTGAACCCTTGTTTAGCCAAATTTTGACACAGCGCAGCGCGCCGCCTGTCCAAGAATCGGTGTAGGGCATTCGATCGCGGGTTATGGTCTCGCCATTGCTGTGCTTCCGCGGCAGTCGCCAACAAAGCGGGATCGGTGTCGTCAGATTCCCAAAGTAAGACATCGGAGGAGGGCGGACGGTTCGACGCATCCCAGCATGTATCAAACCAGCGCAACGCTCTCTGATTGTGGACATGCCAGCCACCGTGGATCGACTCCCAGACGCTACAGTTGATTACATGCAAAGGATCTTGTTGCTCTACACCGTTGCCATCATGAATCAGCTCGTAACCCGCACCGAAATCGTGGACCGACACTCTGTGCAAGGTATAGTATGACCGGATCCCGGGGTGAATGTCCAGTGCATCGAGAAACCGGTTCAACGCAGAGCCAGCCATGAGGTCAACGAGCCGGCTCCCATATTGGGGATGCGGCAAGTCCCCAGTGTCATCTAGGCCTTGGATGGGTGGCAAAACAATGGTTTTGACGAGCAAGTAGCTGATATCGACCGGGTGACTCCAGCATGCCATTTGTTTCAACACTTTCCATTCACCCGCGCGGAGGCGGCCTAGACGTAGCAGGTTCCGTCAGTATGCTGAGTCCACTTCGTACCGTCTTCGATGAGGGCGGCATCGAATAGGAGCACAACCTCAGCTGGGCCTCAGTGAGAAGCTGGCGACGGTTCCCTTGCTGTCGATGACGGGAAACTCTGGCTTTCACAGGTATGGGTAGGGGAGTGGCAGCGGGAGCGGCGACGACTTGAGCATAAAGGCGAGAGGTCACTACACAACGAGACGGTTTCTCAGCTTCTTCGAGTCCGTTTGGTATTCTGGACGGCCCGATCGGTGCGTTCAGGACCATAACTGGCACTCCTCCCGTCCAGATCGCAAAGGGCTGGTCTGAGCAGAAGGTCCCCAAACGCAGGGGCTTCCCTTCAAAAAGCCTGTCCTGTGGACCATAGCTTTGGAAAGAGCGTCGCCCTATGACCAAGAAGGGCACTGTCCCCGCAAAGTCGTACTGCTGAAGCCAGAGCTTATCCTCTTTGCTCAGCGCTTGGGACCACGCACGACAAGCGAGAAGACATTGCAATGCTGAAACCTTATCCTCCAGCGCGAGAGTGTACATAGATGATAGCGCGAACGATATGTAGCTGCTGTGCTAGCATGGTCTGCTGCTGACAGGGGAGGGGGCTCTCGTGCGTTCTGCTCCGAACTAGAAGTTGCAATGCCTGCGTGGAAAGCCGAAGAGCTTGGGGCGGGCAGAAGGGCAGCTTGCACTCTTCACGTGACGCCTGGACGAGATTAAGTTCCCGTCTTCTTCTTCTTGTGGAGGGGACCCGGTGCGTTGCTGGAAGAGACTTCCCATAGCCATACATAGCAGCACCCGCTTGAGCGTGCGGCGAGGAAGACGCTCCTTAGACCAGCCGACCGGCATCACCCGGCATACCTGCCTCGGCACCACAAACGTCAAGGAGATCCCCATGTCAGCGTGACCTCCACAATAGCAACAGAAGCAGCTGCTGATCAGCCCGTCACCATCGGTTTCGTTGTGATCAGCGTCTGGCCCTATACTCCGGTTGCAGCGCCCGCTGCCAACATTCCACCGGCCGGTGCACTCACACCGACACCGTCGTGTCAGATATGCCTTGGAAACTGAATAGGACGAGGAAAGACTTCATGGAAAGGATTGTCTGCACGGCTGGAACTCAAAGAAAGGCCTGGTGATGCATTGATGGGGTGGCGACAGCTGTACGCAAATGCTGGCTTTAACCGCAAGCGAGACAGCAAGCCCATCGGACCCGCTAAGCTCCGCATCATTATCAAAGCAGCGTTTCAGAGCATGAAGAGCACTAACCGTCTGGAAAGGCGTCTCCGTCGCGGCTGGCTTGCCACAGAGTTTGCGAGGTGACTGTACCACACCAAGGTTCGAATTCCGTAGGATTCGCAACAAAGTGGGATACATATGTGAAGAGTCGGATCATTGCTGAGAGCAGCCAAGCATGGCGGACGCACATATCGCACCAGGTTTCCAATTCCGAAGGAATTGCAACAATGAGGGATAGCATCGAGCCGCATCATATCATCATTCGCGAGTCAATGACCTCTTTACTCTCGCTCGCCGCCATTCACTCTGACGAGCTCTGGAGCGTCCTACCCGATTCTGTTGTGTATCGCCTCGAGGCGGAATCTAGGAACCTCCATCGGCCACGCTTTCAAGCCTGTCTCGACGACATTCGGCGGGCCGAAATCTGTTTCCGATCTCAGTAGTCTCAATAGGCGGGCAAAGTTCAACGCCATACGTGAGTACCCTCGCATTGGGTACCTCTACGAGCGAGAATGCCGCGAAAGTCCCAGCAAGGCGGGGGAATGGGCTCCTGTCGATCTGACAGACGGAAATTATAGTGTACCTCGAAAATCTGCGCAATTAGGTATACACAGCCAGCCGAATTGATCCATCGGAGGCAGGGAAGTCATCTGTGTTTGTTTTGCACTCCCTTCACGTCCTCAAGGGGAACAAGACTGGGTTTGCGTACGGACTCCCATCGATTCAGCGGCCTGTTACGCTGATGAGAAACCCATTGTAAACCTTGGACTGATCCGAACGGTACTTGCGAATCGCCAACATGTCATGAAAAAGGTCAATAAGTTCGTTTTCCGAGATCAGACGAAAAAAATATGATGAACATCACAATACGCCTGCCCGTGGTATTTACCAATCAGGAGAAGCTCACAAACAGGGAGAGGGCGATGTGGAAGGTTGGGGGGATGGAGGGATGGGCTGAGGGGAGAGTGACGACACTGGAGGGTGGGAATGCGGCCACGGGAGTCGGATAGCCTCACCTGTCGCCACGACCACACCTTGGTCATCAACAGAAGTCGGTGGTATTGTATCATCCGCCCATTGCTGGGCATTATATCTGAGTGTGTGGCTCTCGATAGGTGGATTATGAACGAGTATGGCGATATTCCTGCCCACAACTATTCTCCGTAGTTCATAGTTACCCATTAAACTCAAAGGAGATGGTGGGTGCGACCTTCAACATGTACAATCCATCCCCATAGTTTTGTTCAACTCTCAAAGACGGGTACGCACCCATACACGAATCAAAAATGATGTCTTTGTTCCCTGGGATCGGATTCATATATGTATTTTGAAATGGGTATATGGTGTGCATGTGGCGTCTCGCATGAAGTACGGGGGGGTTTCGTTTATGGCGTGGGGCAGGAAGTGTTGCGTGAGAGTCGCGGGCGCCACGCTCTCCATCTCGGTAGCGCGATGCTGCCTCTATATCCTCCGACATGTCCCCGATCCCACCCTCGCAGTCCGCCGCCGAACCTCACAGACGCCGCGCGAAGGAGAACATCCCCACCGCAGCTACGTAGGATGTGGCGCAGCGCTCGCCAGCTCCGCCGAACCTTCGTCTGCCCCATCCCCTCCGTCCGCTCCGCCGGCTCGCTAAACTATCTCCGTCCAGTGGTGTTCTTGACGCGGAACCTTGCGGTCGAGTCGTGTGCGACGCCAAGGACGATGATCCATACACTCCATTGCTGATGGTGTTGCGGGTGTTCAATGCGACGTAAATGTGCGCGTCATGTGCAAATATGTGTGTTTCAGTCGGATGTTCGCTCGATCGGGGCATGGGACAGACGGAAGTTCGCGATACCTTAGCGAGCGGTGCGGGTGTGCTGGATGGATGATGTAAGTGGCTGGGTTGGGGTTTCCATGGGTGCTGTTTACGTTTGTGAGACTTTGTGGGTGTTGAGGGGATGGTTTCGTTCGTGAAGAGAGTTTGTGGTGGTATGATCGCAGTGGGTGGTACAATGCGTTTGACGATCCTTGGCCGAGAGCAAAAACAAGTCGAACGAATGTGGGTGCTTCGCGGGACATGAGAGCTCTATTCCGCGTTTTGGATTCCGCCCATCACAACACCCTACTCTCCCAAAAAGCGCCATCACCGCACACTCCCCCCAGCCGACCCCGACCCCAACCCTTTCCCCTTCTCCACCCCACTCCCACCAACCCACCCCTCCAACCCCGCCCCAAACAACGCCGCTAAACCCCTAATTGTTCCCCCACCCGAACTCCTCGTCGACCCCCTACTCGGCGCCCTCTCACTCGCCGGACTCCCATGCCCATCCCCACCATGCTGCTGCTGATGCCGTCTCATCATCGCCGGGCTCCCACCCGCGTACCCCATACTCCTGCTCCGCGCCATCGCGACGGGCGATAGATTCGTTGACGCGCGAGCAACACCATCGTGTTGCTGACCGTTGGTGAAAACGGCGGAGAAGGAGCGGTTGAGGATGTAAGGGGAGTGTTGAGAAGGGTGTGAGGAGGTGATGGTGTGGTAGGGGGAGGAGGTGGAGTTGTGGGGGGTGTAGGTGCCGGGGATGTGGTCGTGAAAGCCCGGATGTGGGTCGGAGGAGGTTGTTGGGTGGTGGGCGGGCAGGACGCCCGTGCGGATTAGGGAGAGTGTTAGGGGGTCGTGGTAGCGCTGAAATACGAGAAAGAAATGGGGTGAGAATGAAGGTGTTGGTCTCACCGTCGGCCATCTACCGTCGCTCGCCTAGAAGTGCGCTTGTAAAGTGCAGCTCGCTCGCAAAATATCGATCGCTCTCGGGTATGGCTCATGACCTCATGCATCCCTGCGTCTCTCTTCGCTCGCGGCAGACCGCATTCGCTTCGCGAATCAGGGTCGCCGTCGCTCGCCAAGTTGCTTCTCCTTCAACGCTCTCCAACGCCCCGTACCTTCCTCACCTCATCACCCCCGCTCTCTTGTCCCCAAATACATACCATCATCGCCTCAAACTCCCTATCAACAGTCTCATAAACCGGCCTATATCTCCGTTCCCACTCCTCCCTCAAGTCCTCCATCTCCGCCTGGTGTTTTTGCAACAATAAATTCTTCTGAAAGCGCATTGTCGAAGGTGGTGTGGTGGAGGTTGATAACTGTGGTGGGTGTGCTTGTTGTGGGCGATGGGACGGGTTTGAGGACGTGGAGGAGCGTGAGGAGTGGGACGTGAGGGAGGAAGCGGCTAGACCTGCGGATATCGAGCCTGTTGAAGCAGTCGAGGGATGTTGCACTGGACGTTGGAGAGGTTGGAGCTGAGTTGCCTGTGGCTGTGGTTGTGGATGGGAGTTTGGGCCTGACGCTGTGGCCGCAGTTGCAGCTGGCAGTGCGGCGGGTTGCTGTTGTTGCGTTGGGCTCGCCATTGTACTGGATGCAGACGGGGGTTGTGAAGCAGGGGGCTGCCGGTCTCTTTCGCTGGAGGGGGCCAGTTATGATGATGCTGCCAGCGCGGAGCGAAGTGCAGGTTGCGGGGAAAAGGGCCCGAGCGGAAATGACGCGCGGGGGGCATCTCATAGATATCAGACATACTGTATCAGCTGGGGGTGACTGTACTGCATATGTGCACATGTAGGAATGCAGTACTCGCGCTAAGAGACGAGTGCTGTCAGAGTGCATAGCCCACGCGGCAAAAACCGGGGGCAACTGTAACATGTACGTCTATTCCTAAGCGTTCGTCTGCAGTGTCGTATATTAGTATCGGGTCTTTGAAATCTAATAGTTCTCCGCACTCCCATTACGCCTCCATTGTCACATCCTCGCCATAAATAATACTAGTATCTCCACCTCCGCTTTGACAAGGGCCCCATACGTTAATCATTCACAGAGATCCACTCTCCCCGGCTCAGTTCAATGGTTAGGCATATAATGCGCCTTCCTCGAAGCAAACCGCGCAGGTGTCGCTCTGGGAGGCGGAACCGAGCTCGAACTGCTTTCGTCCTGGGGCGAGGATGGGAACTCTTGGTACATGGGGGGCAAATCCGCGTCGTCGTCGGGAAGGGATTGGGTGGGGTACAACGATGCGGTGCTGGGAGGTGGCGGCGGTGGGGGTGGGATTTCAAACTCGTGATTTTGTGGTTGTTGTTGCGGCAATGGGAGCGCGACGGGGGCCACGGACGTCCACGGCGTGTTGACGGCCGCCCGCCCTTCATCCACCCTCCGGGTATCCTGACCACTCGCCTCTGGGATAGGTGAGCTCGTACGCCTTGCTAAAAGCCCCACACCCTCCTCCTCCTCCTCGCCCCTTGATGTCGTGTCGTTGCTATAAAACGACGTCCGCGGATCCACGGGGTGCGCTTCTACCGGTAAGATCTCATAGCCCATTGGCCCGCGTGGCAATACAAACGGCTGGTGTTGTGCGGGTTCGATATCGTCAGGCACGGACGATGTGCGCGGCGCGGGTCGTGGGAGGAGGGACGTGCCCTCATCGTTTGAGGACACTGATGACGCGGTTCGTCCTAGCCCTAAAGTCGTAGCACTGTGGAATGATCTCCGAGGGTTGACAGCCTCCTCGGCGGGCGGGATCTCGTACCCGTATGGGACGCTTCGACGGGGCATGGGTTGGGGGACGGCCCATGCGGTTTCGGTGGGCGTGGGGTTGTAGAGCATGCTTGAGTGACGGTCGTGCCATGATGCGCTTGTTGGTGGGGGTGGGAAGAGCTCGGAGGTGATGCGTTCCAAGGCTGCTGTTTGAGAGGGGGTTATGATTGAGATTCCCGCGCGGTTAGCGTCGTTTGATTGCGGAGGTGGGGAAGACGCGCGGCTGGATGCGCCGGTGGTGGGGGGGATGTTGGCGATCAAATCTTTGCGTCTCGTGCCGGGTTGCGCTGATTCCGATGCTCCGATCCCTACAGAGATCGCATCGTGGGAACCCGGGTGTTGCAGAGGCGGTGATGATGCGCTACTACTACTGCCCGATCCGGCTGCGACAGGAATGCTGGCAATCAGATCGTTGGGTCCCACGCCGGCAGAGTGCTGAAACGGTCCCGCCGCACTGTTCGCCAATGAGCTCGCTTCGATTAATGGCTGCTGCTGCTGTTGCTGCATTGCGGACGGGCCGTTGCCCAATGAAGCGTACGGAATATGAATGGTCTCATGCATATCCTCTTGTCCCCGGCCGGGAGCTAGCTGCGTTGCTGCGGCAGTCCCAGTGTTGCCCACGGAATGTGCTTCATTCGAAACCTGCGGAAGCGAGCGCGGCAGCGATGGAGAAGATGGGCGAGTGTCGGAGGTAGTGACTTGGATCGTTTCGACTCCGTTTTCCGGTGGCGCCGATGGTACGACCGGCTTGGAACCATGCCTTTTCCGATAGTTGGTAACGAATAGTCCTATGGCTATTATGATGAGAATGACGCCTACACCGATGCTCGCGCCTATAATAGGTGAATTCGACGAGCTACTCTTGGATGTGGAATCACCGGCGCTACTGTTGGGTGTGAAATCACCAGCGCTACTATTGGATGTGGGAGCACCAGCGCCAGCTGCTGGCGGCGCGAGTAAGGACCAATCGCTGCTCCACTTGTTCTTCCGAGTGTCAAAGATGTATGCATTGATGTCGTTGCTTCCCGCTCCTCCGGACCCTCCGTAAACGACCAGAGTGTCCCTTATTCCAACCATTCCATGCGAAGATCTAGCCGCGGGCGTGGCCCCGGGATCGCTCGGTTGCAACGGGGGTGCACTCCATGTTCGGGTGTTTGGGGAAAAGACCCAAAGGTCGCTGAGGTCGTACCCAGCGCGGTCAAGACCTCCGAAGAGGTATACGAGGCCATTTGCCACGGCGCACGCAGAGTGTGACCGGGCGGGGGGGACGATGTTCCTTGGATTTGCACCCAGCCCCCCGCCTCAGTATATATCCAGGTTTCAGCGAGAAAGCCGGTTTTATCATCGATGCCACCGAACAGAAGAATGGAATCGGAAGATAGGGTAACCATGCAATGGGCAGCCCGCGGGGACGGACGGGACCTGGTCATCTGAGTACTCGAGTACGCGGCCCCATTGAGGTCAACGATCCAGTGGTCGCTTAATAGCGTACCCTTTTCGGAAAACCCGCCGAAGAAGTGCAGTTTGGAACCCAACATGGCCGAGGCGTGGAACACCCGCGACTCCCCAGAAATCAAACTGGGGGTGAACGGGTCGGTTGCGAGGTTGTCCGCGTCTACAGAGGTGATTGACATGTTGCTATTCCGAAAGCCGGCTAAAAAGTCGGAACGAACTTATCAGGCATGCACATGGAACCAGACTAGGGTGTCCGGAGCAGCTCGAGGTCTATGCCAACTCACCGTTGAGATAGATCCGGTTATTGTAGGAGACACAGTTCATTCTATCACCCGGTGTCTCACTGTCCGGCAATTTGACCGGTTTGAGCTCAACCACACCGTTAATCACCGACACAGCTGTCTTTTGGATACGGTTGGTCTCGGCTATTTACGACCAAAGAAATGTGGAGGGGAGTAATCAATAAGAGGCGAGTTTCGATCATGGTAATTAGCAGCTACCACGTTCGGTGAGAGGGGTATTGGGCCCTTGGCGCAGTGTGGCTCGAGTGTTAAATATCGTAACCAGCCGCCATGTGTATAGGTTTGGGAAGGAAGAAGGCTTAAGGACAAGGGAGAACCTACCTCGGGCCTGGTCAAATGCAATGCCGCCCAAGACGACAATTTGAGACCCTTCTTTCAACGCATCTATAGCAACCATACAGAACCTCGATCTTTCCAAACCAAAGCTCTTCGGCGCACCTTGGGCCAGGAGTATCCCAGCCGAAATGACTGCACCCACTAAGGCCAGCCGCCCGTGAAACATCGCTGTATCGTTTGAGCAAAGACTCGGCTTTCCATAGTGTTCTAAGCAGCAGCACCGTCGAGAGGGAGCTGTATATAGATTGTCCAGCTGGGTTTGTGGCGTAGACACGATGTGGAATTCCGGCAGTGGCACGTATTTGGCTGGTGGGAAAGATTCCGAATGGCGGGCAACTGCTCCCACGGCTCCAAGGCGTAGGGGACTCGAGGTGGATAGTACTACTGAAGGCCGAACGGAGCGGAGAGAGCCTCACACTTTATCGTCTGAACGGTGTAGCGGCGGTATACGGAGTCTATTTTTCAGAATCCCCCGCCTGGGAAAAGATAAAGGCCCTCCACCAATGCCAACTCGCCGAGGGCGTAGTATCGATAAGTATGGGCTCTACCACAGTGGAACCGAACCTGCAAGGGCCTGGGCCGTCGGTGGAGTCGGAGGAGTCCGCGCAAAAAAGAGAAGCTTTCCTCACAGGCTGCTCCGTCGATTCCCAAAAAGTGTCGAATCACTGTCGAAGCCTGTGGGGAAACCAATGCTGCTCCCATCTTGCGATTCGGGCGCTCTCAAATCGGACTGGGTGGTTCATCCCGAGAACCTGGATCGATCCCATCAGAATCCCCGATTTGCCACCGTCGCCAGCCAGCAACGACACCCACCCAGCTACGGGATTCTCATCCACCATCACTTCCAGCACCGCGGCGTGTTCGTCGCTCCGTGCAGAAGTCTCTCAAACAAGGGCCTCCCCCCCCGACAACAAACCTCCTTTGCACTGAACCCAACCTCCTTCCCATCCTCCTCCTTTCTGTCCTCGCACATCAACGACCTCGCCGGCATGGCTCAAGAAAAAGTCTCTTACGGAAAACCGCAGAAATACGGACACAAGGTGATTCACTACACCTCGGGAAGGAAATTTATGCTCAAAGATAGGTAGAGAGGGATTTGCGGCGAGAGAAGCGAGAAGCAGCGGATGCTTGAGGTTGGGCGAGCGATAGTAAGCTTGACTCGCTCGAACGACAGCGAGGGTCCTGCGGCGAGCAAAGCAGCTTATCCATCGCCCATTGCGCCATAGGCGCAAGAATGCTTGAGATCGCGGCGGAGGCACGGGGATGCTTCGGGGTTGGTTCGCTTCCGGGAGCCCAAGGTATAACATCCTTATGGCCAGCGGAGGAACAAGGTTATGGTCAGCAGATTGATGGAGTGTGGGGCGAACTGAATGTGAAGAGAGGCGGTGTGTTCACGGTCAGCGAAACGGCGGAGGTCAATGGGATTAGCGACATTCTGGCCGAGGTTGAGGAGGAAGTTTGAGCTCATCGCCGACAGGGTTGTGTGCTGTAAGGGTTAGCATGCATGGTCGGCTTCCAGCGACTGCCAACATCTCAAACTCGCACTGCGAAGATTATTCTCGAAAATTCGTGCAGGTGAGCTGTCCTCGTTCCTGGCAGTGTTCTTTCCGACATGAACGAAGTAACAGATTACTCTCCTTCATCCAAGACGTACTGTGTATGTAGAGGTACACAACCGGACGAAAGGAATAACGAAGAAGGCAAAGCTGTGTGTACGCAGGGTCATTGACTGCATGTCTGTCAAAAGGGGCGTGCAGTTGGCCGGCAGGAGGTGATATCATCTGCTATCCTCCTCCCGGCCACTGCCCGCTTCTCACGATGCGACCGTCCGACGGGTCTTGTCGCTCGGTCCATGACCTCTCTCCTCGTTCACCGCACACTCCTACGCGTGCAGCGGAACGTCCCGGCCCTCGGAGGGTTTCCGATTGACCGCCAGACCCGGTTTTCGAATCATCCCGTTGAGAACAGTCTGACACATCCTCCCCCGACCCGGAAGGTTTTCGTATCTTTTTGGGGTCGGATGGATACGATCGCACGCAACAGTATCAATCCCTCTTCTGGGAAGGCGAGCGCATCAACAGGGCCCCTGCGTGTGTGAGGTCACCGCGTGGGGGCAGTAATGCTGGTTCGTACATTTTTGGTGCGCATGGGCTGTTGACATCCCCCATTTTTTCAAGATGTGTTTATGGAGGGTTGCGTTCATTGAGACGAGGGAAGACAATCAGCGCATGAAGGCAAAAGCAGTCTTTCATCTCCAACCAAAGATAGATAGTCTCCAGACACACTACAATACACTATCTTAATCAAATATCGGATATGAGGGGGACGGCGATGGTTGGTCCAGTGCTATCGTGGTAGTGCGAGCGCCGCGGCGAGTGCTCTGGCGTAAGTTCATGCTTCTGCTTTTCCTGGGCTGGAAGTCGAGTTGAAGCACTACGGGAGCCGACGATCAACGCCGGTATTGTTGGAAAGCATCGACTGCGGGGACTTGCTTTGCAGCGGTGACTGGATACTCTTTGAGACTCGGCCCAATGACTCTAATCCCAGAGCTGATCTCGCTGCTTTGATGAACGGCGGGAGATGTCGTCAGGAAAACGAGGTTTACACTCAACCCCCTTACTGCACAATGCAGAGCAGGAGCACGCCAAACCGCCGAAGGATAGCATTGGACGAGTCATTCGCCTTCAAATCTATCGTCCGGAAACCGTATACACTTCTATGAGACACATCGTGACCACGGCCAAACTCCTACAAAAGCCAGCTATGCAAGATCTACGCCGTTCTACAACGAAAACCCATCTATCTACAACCCCAACTGTCCCAAACTCCCCTCAAGCCTCTCCAACTCCGCCCTACGCTCCTCCTTGACCATCCGTCCAAGCTGTCCCAACCCCTCCTCTCCCTCCCCCTTACTCTCCCTCAACGCCAACCGATGCGCAACATCCAACGCAACCTCCGGCGCACACTCCATATCCGGCTTCACGCCCAACCCCTCCCACCCGCGTCCCAACACCTTATTCGTCGTGCATCCGATACTGATACTCGCCTGCAAATGGTCGTTCAACCGAAACCCATGGCAAGGGTGTCCCGCCCCGCCGGTGTTCTCGCCCACGACACACGCGCGTCCAATCGCCTGCGCGGTACCGGCGAACTTGTCAGCACACGAAAAAGTGCGTGCGGAGGTGAGGGTATACACCTTGCGTTTTGGTACCGCGGCCCGGGGACGTACGGGAGGGTGCGAAGCTGCTCGGTGGTGTTGGATGGCCGCCAGTGGACAGAGTTGGTGTGGATGGCGCGCGGGACGAGGTAGGAAAGGACGAAATCGGCGGTGCTGCCGTCGACGCCGAAACACGTGCGGAGGTCGATGATCAAGGAGTGTGTTGAGGCCAGGATCGTGAAGGCGGAGGTGATGACTGGGCCTGAGAGGGCGAGGGGGAAGAAGCCTGGAGATAACAACGCGGGATATGTCAATCTTCACACCATCCAGCCATCAACCACCCCACAAAAACGATACCCTGCTCTCCTCGCTCGCGACCCGCGGACCCACCTTGAAAAACAAGTAACCCAACCCCACCCTTCAAACACTCAACCCTCCTCAGCCCAAAATTGATCAACCCCCCACCCCCCAACTGCTGCAAATTCACCCCATCCTCCTCATCAACCGGCAACTCCTCCTCCGCCGGACACACAGGCAGATCCTCCCCTAAAACCGCCGGCGAGTACGTCACCCCCAGATGCCCATCGTTATTCACATGCAGAAGATCCTGGGACAGGAGGTTCGCGAGGGCGGGTTCGTCGGTGAGGAGGGAGTCGTAGGCACCGGACTCGAGGCGGGATTGGATGTGGAAGGCGAGTTGGTCGGGGAAGACGTAGTGTTGGCGGAGAAGGGTGGTGAGGACTTGGATGGGGGAGGTGGGGTTGGGCTGGCCATCATGCGGAGTGGAGGGCGGTGAAGATCAGAAAGATGCAGAGACTCTGCGGGGGTTGGGGTATAAGGCTGATTCGGCGGCGGCATGAGTGTCCGGCAGCTCTATTTATGTACTATACATCACGCTTTACGGCCTTGTACGGCCTGATCTACTGTACATGGTCTTGTTCGTGGGGAGTTGCGAAATCGTGTACTGTACAGCTGTACAGTATGAGCCCACGAATCTTGTTGGGGTCGGAGCGGCTTCTTTCCTCCCAGCCGCGAACTTCGACTTTTGCTTTGCAACCCCCAACCCCCAATGTACTGTACTGTACATTATGATGATGTAGCCAAGAACGGACACCCCCGAAGCGACGTTGCAATCGGGCCGACTCCGTGGGAATCGGGCCCATACATTCAAAACGATACCTGCATATGATGGACGTGGAAGGTAGTTGTACAAAGTGCGACGAGAAAACGGTCATTAGAGACTCGGCGTCCCAGCGCGAGTGCCAATTACCCAACCAAGGCATACACACACTCCAGTAACTTGAACACACAGAATGGAGTAGTGATGGAGAAGCTGAGGAACCGACGTTGTCGCTGGAACGAGAAAAGGCGGTGGGAATCTCGCGCGTTGGTTGTCAGGGCAGCCGTGTCAAATTTGAGGGCGCGACATTTTCCGTGACGTTTACGTGTCAACCTCGCGTTATCGACGTGTGCCGACTCTGCGGACGTCCTCGCTACGCTATGCATATGCGGCCATGGAGACGCCTCCCGCTTTCCGCTTTCTCGTTGAACAAGCCTTCGCATTCATAACCACCCGCAATGCCATAAAAACCGCCTCCTTCGGGCGATGTGATCCGCCCTTCTCCATAGATCCACACTAAACATCCCAAACGACATGACCCAATTCGACAAAACAGCAGAAGCCGCAACGCGCCAAGCCACAGAGCTCATCAAACAGCGTCTAAGGGCAGGTGTGCGGGGCCGTCACGTTGCCAAAGCTGGAGCAGTCCTAGCTGGCTCCTTTTTGACGTACAAGTATCTCAAGTCTGATTATTCCGTTTTCGCGGTAATTTCACTTCCTGATGCAGATTTTTGGCGCCACTCGCTCCTTATGCCACCCTTTCTGTAAAATCAGGTCGTTCCCGCGGGCCACGTCGGCGTCCTCGACCGCTTCGGCGTCGTTCAACCCACAGTTCTACACCCGGGTTTCAGCTGGAAATCGCCGTTGGAGAAGTGTATCCGCATCTCGACAAAGACGCAGCTGGAGGACTATTCATGCACGGCGCCTAGCAAGGAGGGGTTGTCTGTCACGATGGCTGTGTCGGTGCTGTTTCGGTTGGAGCCTGAGAGGTATTTTCGTACGTCGTCCGGGCTGATCATACCAGAATCCCGTCTCACTCACTTCCCCCTTTTCGCTTCACAGCGCCGCAAAAGTCTACAAAACTATCGGCCCCCAATATCTCGACATTGTCTTCCGCCCGCAACTCCGCTCCGCCATCCGCGACATCACCTCCGCCCACGACGCAAAAGACCTCTACTCCTCCTCGATGCGTACATCCATGACCCTCGCCGTCGAGCAATCCCTGCGCGCCTCCCTCTCGTCCCGGGGTATCCAAGTCGAAGAAGTCCGGTTCCGCGACCTGACCCTCCCCGCACGTCTCACCCAAGCGATCGAGGAGAAATTGCGCGCGGAGCAGGGGGCGATGCAGATGCATTTTGTGCTGGAACGGGAGAGAGCGGAGGCGGAGCGGAAGGCGATTGAGGCAGAGGGGATCGCAAGGTTTCAGAAGATTGTGGCGGAGGGGGTCAGTCAGAATTTGTTGAGGTGGAAGGGGATTGAGGCGACGGAGAGGTTGGCGATGTCGCCGAATGCGAAAGTTGTGGTTGTAGGTGGGAAAGATGGGTTGCCATTAATCCTGGGACAGTAGGCAGTCGAGAAAGACGTTGATCTCGCACTGTACATACATAGGCACACCATACCCTCTGATGCGGACGCCCGGTATCCGACGTACCCTCTGTGTTATCTTATGGGGGTCTCATCTTCGACGAAACGTTGCAAATGAGATGCCCGCAGGCAGGACATGGGTCGCGGACGAAAGCGACAGTGAGCTAAGGGAGGATCTCGTTCTCGTCTTACACACGCCCACTGGTGCTGAATACTTGCGCTGGCTGGCCAGTTCCGAATTGAAGAAGGTTCCCGTTCCGTCCTATCATGGAAATTCGGTCAGGAATTTGACGATCGAGATGTCTCCTGCGCTGTTATCTGTCGAAACTGTTTAACGCCATAGATAATTGTTACGTACAGTACGTGTTGGCGCTTTGTCCTTGAGGTGCCAAGCTCCGCATCATTATCAAAGCAGCGTTTCAGAGCATGAAGAGCACTAACCATCTGGAATGGCGTCTCCGTCGCGGCCGGCTTGCCTGTCTTCAGAGGTGCCTCTTTCAACAAGAACCACTGGACCTTTTACAGCGTGGTATTCACGGGTTTCAACAACAACGACCTGAAGGAGTACAAAAATCTCCATCAAGCAGCGCGGCGGAACCCAGACGTCATGGCGCACTTCGAGTTGCCGTCACCGAGGCTCTCTTACACTTCACTGGTACCCGGCCTTTGTCCGTTGCCATAACCCGTGGGTATTCCGCACGTCGACTCAAGCAGAGACCCGACCCGCCGCCATCGCTGGGGTCTGTCCAAATGCTGTCAAAACCTCCACACTTTTGCGGACCCTCTCTAAGACCTTTTTCTCACGCTCCTTCTGCGACCTTCTTCTTGCAACCCAAGCAAACTCTCACCACACCCCACACACAACCACACACACACAACCACAACCATGCCGAAGGCGACCCCCTCGCGCTCCAGCCAGCCGGATGGTGACGATCGTGGGTACACCTGCCTTGCCCCCGGTGGCCGCTGCTGTCACCTCGTCGCCGGCGAGGAGAACGGGGATTGTGGGGGAGGTCAAGACTGCGCGCGCTGCGTGCAACAAGTGCGGCCGGGCTGCTGCGTATAAAGCCCAATTCGCAGCCATCCCCGGCGCCGTAGTCGTCCCACAGGCCCCCGTCTCCACCGTTCCCGCCCCCATCCCTGCCCCCGTCTCTCACTTGAATTGCACTGAGAAAGGGGATGGCACTCACAAACGTTGCATTAAGAACCCAAACCCAAGAACTGTGCGAACCATACCTTCCAATTCACATTGCTCCACGGTATATGCAGAGCGGAAGCCGTACGTTGATATGGATATAGAGGCTAGAGAGAGGCGAGGCGAGGCGCAGACGTTGAAAGCAATGTGTGTATGTGTCGTGGGAAATGAAAGCAAATGCTGTGGGTATAGTTGAAAAGTTATTGGCATCGACGGGTGAGACGGGCGACAACACCACGACCTCCGCTTTACCGCCTTGTAAACGAAGGTTGGGGGCTGAGCTGGTGCGCAATTTCGTGAGATGCTGGGCACGTTCTTTCCGCTGCTTGATCTCGTCGGTAGCCTGCACGTTCATCGGGCGTTGCTGCTGTTGCTGCTGCTCCGGGTTTTGCTGCCCGGCCGCAGGCGACGGCGGTGGTGTGATCCAGGCATGCGTACGTAGGTTGGAAAGAAACTGCTGTCTCCGCGATTTCTGCAATTTATCCTCCCTCAACAGCTCCATATGCTTATCATGCCAGTTCCACCACCGCCTCAGCCTCGCCTGGTCGAACCGGCGAAGGGTGGCCTGTTGATGGAGGTTGCGCGGGCGCTTGTAGGAGACGCGGTGGACTTCGGGTATGCCGTGGTTGGTTAGGGTCTGGGTGAGGACCTGCTCATCGGGGGTGGGCAAAATCTTGCCCGGCACAGCCGAGGCGTTCTTTGTTTGCGATTCGCGGGTCTCGCGAGCGATGCGGGCCGCTCGCAGCTTTAGCACCATGCGAAGTCTCCTCCACCGACCGCCTTTTTTTGATTAGGCGCTTGCTTGCGAGGGCGGGGCGGGCGAGGGAGCGCGTCGGAGGCGGGGGGCCGGGGGTTTACTCCAGTTTCGAAACGACAATTGCCGCTGGCTAATCATTATCTTATTCATTCATTCATTCTCATCCACTCCCAATAAACCCGCCTGCAAACCCCCCATGTCATAACTCATCACGGAATCTCCCATACCCGGGTAATATAATCCTGACCACGTGCCCAGTTGGGGTTCGGGTTCGGGTTAGGGTTAGGGTTAGAGACCGGGTTAGAGTCCGGGTTAGGGTTAGGGTTAGGGTTAGGGTTGACCCACCCGTGCCGTGTACCACTCGGCCGACTTTTACACAAAGGTAGGTAGTGTTAGGGTTAGGCACAGTCGTGGCTTGTCCACACTGCTGATCGCCGCATCTCCAAGACCACACTCTCCTCCTCTCACACGAAACGTCAAGCGCTCGCAGCGGACGGCAGCCCCCTCACCCCCCTGGCCAACGCCCACCTCCTTCCAGCTCAAGCCCGGCAAGCCCATCTCCGCTGGGTGTTGACCGCCTGGGCACGCGGCCCATGTTGAGCACAACCGCTGCTTGCGGAGGTCGACCTACGTGGGCTGTGCTGTCTGGGCGTGTTTGCTATATGCTGATCTCGATGCCCATGTTGAGCACGACCGCCGCTTGCGGGAGGTCGACCTGCCTGGGCCGTGCTGTCTGGGCGTGTTTGCTATACAATGTCGAACTCGAAGTGCACACTCGCCATGTAGATATTCCATATGAGCTCGCAAAGAGATGTTGAGCGAGCGCGGCCGTTGGCAAAAGCGGTGGCGTTCCCTCGTTGTCCATGACCGAGATTACTCTCTTGCCCGACAAGTAGGGACCAAAGGTCTCGAGTCCGATCGCGATGGTTGCCATTTCAAACAGGGCTGATGAAGATCCGGCAGCGTGATAGCACCCGGGACACCAGCGACCGACGATGAAAAAGTCCTTGCAAGTAACACCGAGACCAATTTCGCCAGAGTCAGAGGCAATGCCAAAGAGCTCTTGCGTTTCCCATTCCTGCTCCGATAGCAAACAAACCCTAGACCACTGAACGAGCGTATCGTAGTGCCATCGGAGGTCATGGGGGGCGCGAGCCGACAGTCGGACTGTATGCTGGGAACCCTTGCTCGCGTTGACGACGCCGGTCAGCTTCCATAGTTCGCTGAGATATACGCGCGCCTGCCAGATGACTTGGGACGCCCACGAAAGGACTGTTGGGTTTCTCATATGCGCTGTTGGGTTGCCGCCTTTCCCCTAGCCCTCGATGCTTTGGAACGTCGCCGTGGCGGCTTGGACTTCGACACTGGCGTTGACGTTGACACTGTCATGGTGATTTGCCTGGTGAAGGGAGTATGTGAGTTAGTTGGGGCGGAGTATGTAGGTCATCGCGGGAGCATGGGAGTGGGTTTGTGACGTAGAACGGCAAACGTATCGCGAGGCTGCTCCTATTCCGAGCTGCCTCAGGCGATGGCGCACGTGGATAGCGTATTGCGAGGCTGCTCCTATTCCGAGCTGCCTCAGGCGATCGGTTTTGGTTGTGTGTGCGGCTTCTAATTCTCAACTGTAGTGTAGGGATTGGGTGGATCTGTTACCTTGGAGTTGAAGCGGTCGGTAGTGGTATGATACTTGTAGGTAATGCCTGGGAGGGGAATGTCGGCACTGGCTTGCTTTTATACCCATTCGAAAGGACCCTGAAGAAAAAGTCCGGCTCACGCCTCCAGGCTCCAGTGCAATGTATGATGGCCTAAATCTAACATAAAGTAAAATAGCACCGGCTTGATGAAAATAGATCCACGGCTAAATGCTAGAGAGGATCCACATATCATATAATAATCCAATAACCACCTAATATCAGAAACAATCAACCAACAATCACCGTACAAACAAACGTAGGAGTCTGAAGGCTCGGACATACTGTGCAGGACGTATAAATAGCCGCTCGTCATCGGACGGAACACCTTTTTCCTCCTCAGCATTTCAAGACCAAGATCAAGACCAAGATTCCGTGGCCCAGTCCCCAGATTCCGTTGCCCATTCCCCAGTACACGTAGAAGAAGTTGTGACCACTGCCGGCACGGCCAGGCGTGGTATTCACTGCCGGCACGGCCAGGCGTGATTGTTAACTATCTTCTGGTGGGTCTGGTGAATGATGAATGGTGAATGGTGAATGGTGAATGCTGGCTCTCGCTCAGACTCTTGCTCCACAACCGATGAACAGTTATGACCACTGCCGGCACGGCCAGGCGTGGTATTCACTGCCGGCACGGCCAGGCGTGATTGTTAACTGGGCGTCTGGTGAATGGAGCTCGCGCTTCGTGTGCGTCCTTTTTCCCACAAAGACCGAGAATCACCGTCTGTTTTTCAGTCAGAATCACCGTCCGACGACGACCAAAACTGCCTTTGTGTGTCCCTCTCTCTACCCGGAAGAGCATACTCACCAGTATCCGTTTGCACCATACCTCCGAAACTTCCGGAATCACCACCCTTAGCCTCGTTGCGGACGAACTCAAGATGGGTTGCTGAGCTTTTGCGCATCCGATGACAACAACTAGTTTACGGACCTGGCATGTCGAGCACCGATGATCTTCACCTCTCTGACGACGCTCGCCCGACGCAGGCTACTTCGTCCACCGACAATGTGCGCCCCGCCGACAACCAACGCCAGGCTCAGCCACGGGGTCTTGGGAACCGTCCGACTGCCGCCAAACAGATCGCTTCTTCGGTCCCGACCAATTGAGGGACTACCGATCCTGTGGGTCCCAAAATCCATTGAGGGCTCCACAGGCGAGAAGACAAATTCCAGACCTGCTTTCACACCTAGACCGAGCTCCTTCTTACAATTGCGCACAATTGCCCACACTTCCACCCTTGCACATCAAGGCAAACCCCCAACCAATCTCTAAAAGCCTTCAAGACATCGCAGGTAAGCAGGAATCCTGGATCCTCATCAAGAGCAGGCCCCTTTGCTCGGTCCCCTTGATCTCACCACCTGCCTGCACAGCACAGCACAGCATGGCCATCATGTCATCACACCAGGCGCTCCAGGGGCACCTGTGGGGTGGCATCTTTAGCGGAGCTACCACACCGCGGCGGAAGAGGAGGAAGGTTACTCTGGCTACCCCGCGGCTGCCCATACGTCTGCCAACCGCTGTGCAGACGCCATTGCAGCCCACGCGATTCGAGTTCCCACCGTCTGTCCAACGCCACTTGCCCCAAGCAATTGCAGACATGGTTAGCGAGAGTTCCGGCAATGAAGACGGGCAGCAGCATCAGCAACAGCAGCGAGGGCTTTCACCCGTGGACAGGGGCCTGCAGCGTCCGTTGAACCTCCCTGCTCCCATCCCTTTCCTTTTTCCCAGCACACCGGGTGTACGAACCCCCGCCACCACCACCAGCTCAACGACCCCGCCCGCAGACACACGCCAGCACCAAGGTTTCACTTCACCGAATCATCCACAATCAAGCTCAAAGGGAGCACCTGACAACATTCATTGGCAATGTTCACATACTTGCGCGCCACACCACCTTCTTCCTCAAGTACTACCTTGGTGAGTTTTTGGCGTACACTACACTGTATATTTACACTACACTGTACATTTCCCACAAAACAATGTCCTGACTGCTACGTCTGCTCACCGCAGCTGATCATCCTCTACACAATTTCCCGGACATCACCAACAAGCACATTAGTGTGATATTTGAGCTGCTAAACAACCCCGGCTACAATGGCAGTCCGATCATCGCGCAAGAGTTGCGTCCACGGGTTCAAGAGTACTGTAATGTTCACGGATTTGCCCCCATCCGCATGCGAAATAGCCAACAGACTGCAGCGTACACAGCTACGAGCATCTTCACTAACCTCAAAGTCAACGTACAGGAGCATTTTCTGCAAATGCTTCTGCGCTACTTCAACAAGCGGCTTGGTTTGAAGCAAGCCGTACTGCATCTTCGGAGAGCCGGAGTCAGCTGAGCGCAGCGCCAACAGTATTATCGGCGTGTCCGTCAATTCACAAAGTACGCGACATTTGAAGAGTACCCAACGGAAGAGGAGTTTGCCGGCCTCACACGACTTGAGCGGACTCTCCTCGACGAGTTATGTGCTCTGTTTCCTCCCCAGGATGAACCGCTTGCATACAGCCTTGCGGTGGACGCAATGCCATTTTTAGGTGAGTTGCATCCTGTATATTCTCATCCCTCCCCCCCCCCCTCCCCCCCCCCCCCCCCCCAGCCCGTGCGTGGCTGTGCAGCGGCACGAGCGCGCGCCTCGCTTGATACCCCGACCTGGCCGAGTGGTTGCTTGCCGGGACCCCGGCCGACGTGGTTCGCGATGCGCTGTTGCCGCTGGGCGCCCGCACGCTTGGCTCCTGCGGGCTCCCCCCCCCCCTCCTCCTCCCCCGCCTCGACGACGCCCCCAGTGCGCGCACAGCGGGCCCGGGGCACGCCCGATGCTCTTGCCCACCGCCATGGCGTTGGCGTAACCGCCCGCCCCTTTTGCCCCCCCCCCCCCCCTCGGCTTCCTCTTTTGTCTAATCATGGTCCACTCCTGTTTCACCACAGGTGCCTATTGTGAGCTCTCACGCCTTTATGAGCGCCGTGGAATGCGGCTGTTTTCTGCTATTCCACTGCGCAAATCTTGAATCCAGTCGCCTGTTCGGATGGACACGCTGATCCTGAGTACTCATATCCTGGATGTCAGCAGACGTTGCATGGGAAGACTCACTGATGAACGCAAGCGGGAGCTGTGGGGGCAGTTTATCAACGTGAATGTAAGTCTCTATCCTTATGTGCTTATTTCAATCAGATTACGTTGCTGAATGACGGATTATAGGACAAGGTCTTCAAACATCGAAAGAAGCTTGGTCTCAAGTTCGATGGGTCAATTAGCGCCAACGGGTATTCCGTTACCATCCACTTCAAGAAGCCAGGGCTCAAGTATGGGTATCGGGCCCGGAAGCGCAGCAAGGCCCAAATGCAGGAAGAAGTCAAGCAACTGTGTTTTGAGCACCACATTGACAAATTAAGGGAGGCTCCAAACATTGTCTGCATTGATCCGGGCAAGCGTGACCTCCTATTCTGTCGAGACAACAAGAAGGAGCAGCCATTTTGGTACGTTTCAGTTGATTACTACCGCCCTGCTGTCCCCGCTGTCCCTCCCCGCTGTCCCCGCCGTACCCGCTGTTGCCGCTGTCGCCGCTGTTGGTTACGCCATCAACTTTATGCTATCAACTTCCGCCATCGCTGATCTCGACGCTTCCTGTGCTGAGCACGACCGCCGCTTGCGGGAGGTCGACCGGCATGGGATGTGTTGTCGCTTCGCCGTCGTAGTCGTGAAGCGCGAAGCGCGAGCCCGGCTCCTACTCCAAGCTGGACTCAAGCGATCGCGGAAGTTGGCGGAACATTCAATGAGATCAGAATGCGGAGCAATGCATGGCGACTGCGACTGCGACGGCGACTGAATTCGATCTGCAGTACCTCCGCTATCCCCGCTGTCTCCGCTATCCCCGCTGTCGCCGCTGTCCCCGCTTCGCTGTCCCCGCTCCGCTGTCGCCTCTGTCCCTGCTGTCGCCGCCGTCCCCGCTGTCGCCGCTGTCCCCACTGTCGCCGCTATCCCAATGAACGCCCTCCTCAACCCTGTCCCCGTCCCCATCCCCACCATCCCCTCCCGTCACCATCCCCACCATCCCCTTTGTTCGACATTCCGTTGCCGCGTTCTCACAATGCACCACCCCATACCAGATACACATCCAATCAACGGGCGGTCAAGACAAAGTCTCGGTACTTTCAAAGAGACATGAGAGAGCGAAAGACCAATGCCGGCATTGCTGAGATGGAATCACATATTCCGTCGCACAAGAGCATGAACATCGAGGTGTTCTCAGCGTTCATTGTGGATTACAAACATGCGGGTATGATGTTCTACTTCAACTTTGATTTTCAACTTTGGTAACACATGGGCTGACATCCATCCATATCCCAGATCCCGCCCTGGATGAGTTTTACCAGGATGAGGTTCACGTGGCTCGCAGATTCAAGGCGTTCTCACTGCGGCAAAAGTCTGAGAGCAAGCTCATCAAGAACATGCGACGCCTGTATGGAAAGCATTTTTCAGTCATCTTGGGTGATTGGAGCGACGCTGGAAAGACCATGCGCTTTCAGGAGTCGTCGAAGACCAAAGGGTGAGTGATTATCATTGGTGGTACCTGCTATGTATTTTAATATGCCAACTCATCATGGAAATCAGATTCCGCACACTCTTTGCAAGAAGCAGCATTCCATGCTACTTGCTAGATGAGTATCGAACATCGTCCGTGTGCCCCAACTGCCACGGCCGTGTGAAGAAAAACATCCGACGACGGCTGTCATCTCGGCCGTGGCAAGCTAGAAAGGGAAGAATGGAATTCGTCCATGGATTGGTGGGTTGCCGCAACCCCGAATGTATCAACCAAGACTGGACGCCATTTGAGATTCCTGCTGGAAGACGACCACTATGACTACGGATGAAAGTGCACAATCGGGACGTCCTAAGTACCAAGAATTTCCTCTCGATTGTGCGTTCGGTGGTGCTTGGCAATGGCAGACCAGACGCATTCTCCCGTAACCAGTAGTCTAGAATTTGCCGTGGTGGTTATCTGCCATCCACATCATTGTACCTCTGCCGGAGGCATCGCCGATGATGGCAACTTGTAGTTGAAACTCTGACGTAGGGAGGAGCGTTGATGTGACTTGCACACGCATGACGCGAGGAAATGGACAGGACAAGGAAATGTTACGATCGTTGGAACAATATTATTGCATCAAGGGATTACTCAACTGAAAGCATTGCCTTTTTACAAAGGATCCCGATATAAGGGGAGATGTAATGTAGCTAAAAACATAGCTGACTACGCAATCACCTCGGCCGCTCATAAACAATCTCAATCCTTCCCACCCCATCCGGATCAACCTGCGCAACATCCGAATACTTCCTTGTCAGCCGCTTCCTCTTCCTCCACTGCCACAGCAGTCCCCCTCCCACACCTCCCATCAAAACCATCCCCAAAACCCACTTCACCACCCTCCCCACCACCCCCTGCGCTTCCCCGTCCGCCCTCGGTATAGTAGCAGCAACATGCAGCAAGATCGCCCCCAACGTCCAACTCACACTAAACGTCCCAATCTCGTTCACACTCTCAAACGCCGGATCGGAACTCGCACCCTCGCCATGCACATCCACCCCCCTCCCACTGTCATCCTCATCGTTCGGCACACGCACCATCTCCCTCGGCACGCCAAGCCCGTCATGCAGGACACTCATGATCCAGGCTGATTTGAAGCACTGGAGTTTCAGCCGGTCGATATCGTTCACCATGGGCCATCGCTTTTCACCAAAGTGTTGTTGGATCTCCGGCCACGGCTGTGAACAGAACTTTGTGGTGGAGTCCAGGAAAAGGGAGTGGTTGTAGCTACCTCCGAGGCCGTACACGTCCGACGCGGTGTACCAGTACTCGCTCACACCCAGAAAGTGCAACGCGTTCGAGACGGGCGCGTGCACGCCGTTGAAGAGGCAGGGGCGATCTGGGCAGGGCAGGGATTTGTTGAGGAGGGGAAGGAGGGAGGTGAGGCATTGGGTGAAGGAGCCGGTGCCGAGGAAGGTTGGGGTGGGCGTCGTGGAGGCGAGGTGGGGGTCTTTGTAGAGGAGGCCAGTGGGGAGGCAGGGTTCGGGGATTGGCAAATTGGTCGTATCCGTATGAGAACTATCCGCGGCGGTCAAACCTTCTAGGTACCGCCTCCTAGCCTCATTCACCCCAAACCCCAAGAAAGTCGTCACAAAAACGCGATAAGTCATCTCCACCCCATCCAAGAACCTCAACTTCATCGTCGTCAAATCATCGCTATGCCGTTCGGCCATATCCCGCGTCGGCTGGAATGCAATCTGCGTCGACGCCCCGCCCATATCCAGGAATCCAAACGTATGTTTTTTGGGAGTGTTGGGGTCGTTGGCGACGTCGAACCCGTTCTTGAGGTAGTTGACCGTCACCCAGCCGTAGATGCCCTCTAGCTCGCCGGAGATGACACGTACGTGTAAGGCGCAGCCCCCGTCGAGACGGTAGGGGGAGTGGGAGCGGATGTACTGGCATGTCCGGTCGAGCAGGCGGTCGCGGGCGGTTGGTTCGACTAGCCGCATGCCGGCGGTGGCGAGGAGGTACAAGGGGGTCTGGGCGCGTTTCCGTTTGGGGATCACACTGTCTGAGAAATCCAAAAGAGGTTGGAGATGTGACCCGATGGCTTCGGGTCTTGATGCAAAAGAGGAGATTCCGGGGTCTTCCTTGAACGTCCAGCGTTCGCCCTTCTCGTCGCCCTTTTCGATGACGGGTAATCTATTCATGGCGTTTTGACCGAGCGCCTTGCGCGCAAACGCCGGATTTGTCCATGAATACACTTGCACGCGCGACCCGGAACTTCCCGCGTCTATGACAATGGCGTATTGCCGGTTGCGCTCCCAGAGGGATTCAGATTCGAGGTCGGAGGTGAGATGCACGCCTTCTACTTTCGGGGCGCGGAAGCCTGTTTCTAGGTTCAGGACGGCTGTGTCTGGGTCTAGTTGTTTATGTCGTTGTGAGCTGTCTGATGTAGGTATGTAGTCGGGTGTTGACGAGCTTAGCGAGCTCAAGACTGTTATTGAGAGTCCGGCGGTCAGGAGGATCACTATCACCATCGTTGCCCGGTTTGCAAGGCGTCCTATTGATGAGAAAGAGGGGTGTTAGCAATGATCCATCACGCATCTCAAAAGCCGCTCGCTCTCGTACTCGCGACTCTCTCCGCTCCGCTTGGCACTCACCTCCTGGCATCATCCCCCAATGCCTAAGAGCCAG